GGACGCTACCAACTACGAACTCCTCAGAGTCTATGTGCATGAAGCATCATGTTTGGCAAAAGAAAATGGTGAACTGATGGCTGGATCATTTGCCTACACTGGATCCCTCACTGTTGACTTCAAACTGATTGCAGGTACCTTTAACTTACCTAAAGTTAACTTGGAAGCCGGTAGCGGCCCAAAACGCTCAAATGAAATACTTGCAGTCACAGGTAACTATGGCTGGGGGCGATACGTCCAAAAACCTACACCTGGAGGTAGTATACTGGACCTGGTTTTTTCCTGTGATATCATCCATGTCACCACCTACGTTAGTAGCGAATTCTTTGACAGTGACCATAGGATGGGATTCTATTGCCTACCAATACTTTCTTCCAATAAGAAGAACAAGAAATCTCATGGTCAAGTTGGCATTGAAGCTACAAGGATGTAGAATGGGAGAGTGTACATCGAGCTGGTCAGGGGCTTCATATAAGGTGACTACTTTATCATAGCCTCATTTACAGACATACTCACTTTTCCACAGAAATATAGAGCTACGCCTAATCACTGTCGCTACCGTGAAAAGGGTTAGGGTTTATAAGGAGCCAGACCTACATATCCCGAAAATATTCCGCAACAAACCTAGGAAACTATCACCACAATACCACTCATCAAAAGACTTCATGTCACTGTACTCAGTTTGTGAGACTTACGAATCTGTTAAGACACTACGTGCGAGACACGCAGTAAACGAAGAGATCGTGGCTCTCGAAAGTGGCTCCAGAATGCACAAGTTGACATCTCTTTCGGGTAAACGTCCGCAGCCTATCTACCACGTAATGGAATGGTATACAATGATCCCCTTAAGATTAGTGAACTGCTTAGCGAATCATTCACTATTTTCAAGCCTAATGCCTTCAACCCTACTAGTTTTACTCCAGTTACCACTAGTTCACGTACTAGAGTGGAGTTCACTGTCAAAAGTATCACTGAGGCTATCAAAAACCTGAAACTATCGACAGGTACGGGAACAGATGGCCTGAACTCAATATTCATCAGAAACAGTGTTGATGATATGCCGCTGTTCTTGCTTAAGATATTCACACTATCAATCGAAAGTGGGGAGTATCCTAGCAAGTGGAAAACAAGCTTCATAGTTCCTTGCTACAAGTCTGGTACCAAGGCGAATGCTAGTGACTACAGACCTATCCACATAATGCCAGTCGTCTCCCGAATTATGGAAAAGGTGATCGACAGCAGCATCTCTGACCGCCTACACAGAAAAAACCCCATTACAAGGTCTCGGCATGGTCTCATGTAAAACAGGTGTTGCACTACTTGGCATTTCGATTTCTTCAACCTTATCACCAGTGGCCATGAGGCATGTAAAATCGTCACTGTTCTATACTTTGGTACATCAAAGGCATTTGACAGGGTGCCACACAGAGTTCTCTTTGATGAGATAAAGCCGATTGGCATTCATAACCCTTTACTTCATCGGCGGAAATCATTTGTCAGTGATCGCAGCCAAATCGTCATGGTAAATTCTATAAGGTCTAAAACTAGGCTCAGAACGGGTGCAATAAAACAGGATAGTGTCCAGGGAACTCGTTGTTCATAATTTACATTAATAGTATGTGCAGGTGCTTCACTATAGGAGAAAACTTCCTATGCGCAGATGAACATAAGGTTGTATATTCATGCCACAACCATGAACTGGGTTACACGATATCCACTGCTCAACAAGAACTGGGCGAAGTTGCTGAATGGTGTGACGAGTCCCATCTCAAGTTGAACATATATAAATATGGTTGGCTTGGCATAGGCGGCGATAACCTAGAAGTGTCTCGCAAAGTATGTGGACAAAAGCTACCTAGACGTTCTTCAATGCCAGATCTTGGTTTTAGATGTTCCAGTGACCTAACATTCTCCGAACAAACGGCTTGCATCACATCTGAGTCACGCAGACTCCTTGGATGTATCGTCCGTTATTTTTATAGCACTGAATCAAGGGCTCTACTCTACGGAGTGAGCATCCGTCCAATTTTGAAATACTGCCCCTCTATCCTAAGTGGCCTTCGTATAAGTGACAAAGGAAAAATTGAAGGGGTACAACGCCACTTTACACTAAGAACACTAGGAGCCGGCCGCAACCTTGACTAAATCTCCAGGTGCAACATGCTAGGACTAGAACCTCTCCGGAGGAGGTGACTTAGAATGAATTTTATATTTCACTATAGATTACTTCGCAAAGGAATGCAATCATGTGGCCCGGAAACTAAAGTAGTTGTAACATCTACTCAACATTCAAGTAATCACCATCTACCAGCTGAAAATGAGTGTTGTACGGCCAAATTGCGTGGAATCTTCTTCCTCAATAAGTTCTCTCACATTTGGAATAGACTTCCTGGGGAAATACGTTCTGCAGGTTCATTATCTGTCTTCCGTTCTGCACTTAATAAGCTCCTAACAGATGATGGGTCTATCACTCGTCTGGGCACTATATATACGTTCTGGGCTAATGAAAACGTACTAGGACCTCTGAATGTATAGGGTAAGGCTATCATAAATTTCAGGTACTCTTTACCTCAGTAATAACCCGCGTGAACCTCGTGTAAGGAAAAAAGGAAGAGTTATTCTTACATGCATAAATTAAAGTTTACATAAAGTTGGGATGACTAAAAAGACAAGAACTTCCCTCCTGCCAGTTTTTCTTGCGTGGTATTTGATTGTCCAGTTTCTCCTTGCGCTTTCTTTTCTCTTTTTTCTCCAGTATCAGCCTGACGAGAAAGTCTTAAGCATTAGTTTGATCAAGAAGCATCAACTTACTGAAAATCCTATCTCGTACGTAATACTGGAAACTGATGTTAAAAGTATTCGACTGGCTCGTCCCCGGTTTCCTGTTTCTTGAACAGCTTAACAACCAACTCACCTCCCTACCAGTACCCTAAATAATACCATATAGGAAACCGCAAGCACAATAAGTGGTCTCCGATTTCTGGTCCGTGACAAATGCAGCGGAAATCTGGATAAACAATCAAACTCGAAAGATCACTTCACCTAATTGCGACACATCAATGATAGTGCTATGCAACATATTTCTCTGGTACTTTGCCTTGTATGAATCCATCTAACAGAATTCGATTGACGGCCAATGCATCTCCTCGACAATGTTGCATACTTCAATGTGAAATCCATGATGTTTTAGTTTATGTAATTTTCACCACTGTCGAACGAAGATGCTTCTAGTCTTTAATTATTTGCACCCGAAAAAATGTTTTCAGTACCACCAATCTGAATAGCTGGGAAAGGTAATACTTTAAGGGTGAGAAATACCTGAACTTAGACATTCACCTGGAATAAATGATTGTGTGGATACTTACTTATTCCTGAAATTATTGAAGTAAGTTATTGTTGGTCAATAGAGCTACGAATATAAGAATTACTGTTAAAATGGACGCTTATCTGACGAAACATTGGGTTCTGCAGATGGGTCACTCTTGTCTATTGCTCATAACGCAAACACCGAATATTGCGTCGTTTGATGTGAAATAAGAATTGTGACTGGAAATGACTTAAACCCAGAAAGATGTGTATGTACCGTAAAGTGATGTTTTCCTGCTATTTTCGTAACATTCAGACACTTGGTATCATGATGCAGTCTAATGTCCTCCCCCTGTAGCATTCAAAACTACTAAAACCTTTCATATTTCTCTGCAATTTTCAGCTTGATGAGTCCTGAAAACCGGCTTCTCTCATGTTAAATTCCTGACCTCTGTGTCAATTCCTATTTTCTTATTTATCATTCTACACAGGATTCTAAGAAGTTTCTTCCAACCTCATGTATCTTCCCACAAATTTGGAACATCTCAGAGGCATAATAGGAGAATAAAGAAGCAAAAAACGAAGAGTACTGCTCCTCGATTCCACTAATCAACCTCAGGAACCTACTATAAGTAGTAGCCTTGTCCACATCATCAGTTGTCCAACAATCACAGAAATCTGCTGGCAAGGGATTAATATAACCTCTCAGCCTCCTATCCTCAAACAACAAATCTGGATCCGAATCTGAAGCATAACTTTTACTGCTTTGGTATGTATGGTTAATGGAATGTCCTGTAGCGTCACACACTTCCCCAAAATCAATAGCCTAGGGTTTGACGACTTCGACATCGATGCTGACCCTGGTAGTTTAACTGGACTCGCTAAGCTGAAGGCACCCGGTTAAGCATCCTCGCCATTTGGCACGCTGTCGTGTTACGTTGCATTGCTCGTATTCGACTCTATAGCCAGTTAGTTGGAACGCATCCGTATTTTGGCACAACTATCCAAATATACTATTCCATCCGGCTACGCTATCGTGTTCTTCCTTGGGCTCGTATTCGTGGGTATACAACGAGTCCGAATAATTGGTGATTGGTCTCTGCGTCTGTCAAGTTCGCACCAGGACAATTCCTAAAGTCTGTTGGCGATATGCAGTCACAGCCCTCTTGTGTTGACTAAACCAAATACGGTTATACGTTTACGTCATTCCGCGTGGCCACCACAGATATACTCAAGGAATTACTAAGCTCACTAGCCATCTATTATTTCCCCCCTGCTTACTACTCGCTACCTGTCTTGTTGGTAGAGCTGCATTTCCTTTTAACTCTTCTTTTGCCACTTGAGCCATGCTCTACACTTTTACATCTCGGGTAGTTCCCATAAACCTTTTTTTACAATATTGCCATTCCGATTCAGGAGCCTATATAGGCAGGAGTCATGACGGACCTCTAATCTTCACAGAAACCCGTAGCTTCTTGATCAGTCGACAAATTGCAATTAATAACACAAAATAATTCACCTCATCAGAGCTGAAAGAAGGATACGCAAAGGTATTTCCTTTTGCACTGCAGAAACAGACTGAAAAACAGGCGAAACCCCAGGAACTGAACTCAGAAGATCAAAAAAAATCAATTTTTTACACTCGCATTTTCAATGTCCGATGTTGTTGGGTGTTGGACCACGGTACTGGTAACAATAATTTAAAGGTAGTCGCTGCGTTTGCAATATTTGAGTTTTCTTAGTTTCTGGGTTATCGGTGTTCTTACTAATTAATGTAGCCTACCCTCATAGAACTAATTTTGATAAAATGATTATTATTTTAGTCAAAAAGCCACTTAGTAAGTGTTCCGTTTTCTCTTCTTATGCAACTGTTTGCAGTTATACGTAACTGCCTATTGACATGCAGTTCACATCCTTCCGCATAACTTATGCATCCATGTGCTTCAGGGTATTTTATTTATTTGAATTTCAGTGGTTTAGCACAGCCGCATTTATTCAGTCGGCATATATATATATATATATATATATATATATATATATATATATATATATATATATATATATATATATATATATATAGCTCCCTACTCTGCTTGCATTTACCGTCACCATAGTGACGGTACACGCAAGTTGTTATCAATGAAAAGTCATATTCTCTAAATTTAAACAAGATGCCATCTTCTATGGAATCCAAAGTCCTTAGATTAACAGATGACGTCTCTTTTAAATCAAAAATTTCAAAGTGCACCCAAAGCGTTCGCCGGGTGCGGTGTTCCTCCATACTCACTCTACTGCACTTCGAACAAAATCTAAGATTTTTTTGCAGTAAAGCGATAGGAACCAAAGAAATTACATACTTAGAACGAAATTGTAAACGTATTACCCAGCAGGCAAACACTGGGTGCACTTGAAATTTTTGGGCGAAAACGGCAATAAAAGTTTGGAATTACTGCCGACAGTGCACATTTGGGCGCTGTGCTAGAATATAATTACATATAAGATTATTCATTCGATATAGCACACAATGACAGTACAATTTACTGGATGACGTTTGAAGCAGAATTTATTGCTCATGTTCATATCAAAGTAGTCATTCATTCATTTTAATGGTAGTAAACTTTTCCAGATATCTGCAATATGTGATGAATCATTCCTGTTACATATGTTGGGTGTGGATTGAATGGACAAAGATTTTGTGACCAATCTCTCCCTCCACCTAGCTTTATTAGATTTCAGAATTGTCGCTCTATCCCACCGTATAGTGTGGGTCAGTTCATGCAGAGCGATAGCCGAGTTTTTCTCTAAATTAGGATCTACCACTGTATGTTTCGCCAAGCGTTTTCGTGTTCTGCTATTCTCACTGGCCCAAATCAGCTGCTTTGACCTATATACTTGACCTTACAGTCATAATATAGTATTCGATTGATTAGGTTATTTTTTCTAATTGGCTCTACTGGGTCTTTCAGCCTACAAAGTTTCTCTCTCAGTAAGTTTGTGGGTTTATATTCTACCCTAATTCCAGCATTGTTAAGAAATCTACTTAGATCCATCTCTGGGAGTATTTCAGTGGCATAATTAAATATCTGAGACTAATATTCCCAGTAGAATGTATGGCACCATTAAGATTCCTAAAACAGATTGTCCAATTAGACCGATAATTGACTTTAGAAGCATACCAACATATGAGTTACGTAAATATCTGGTCACAATATTATGCTCTAGTAGAAATGGCTAAAACTCTAGGCTCACCAATTCATTTGAATTGAAACAGAATAAGTAATATACAAATAGGGGAGGGAGAAAAGATGGTCAGTTCTTGACGCGACGAACCTCTATACAAAAATATACCAACTTATATGGCACTGGAGGCAGTAATGAATGACCTAACAATTGACCGTGAACTTAGTAATAGGACTGAAGTCTCTATCAAAGAAATTACGCTGGGGATAAGATTTTGTTTAACTTCTACAGCTTACAAATTTAAAGATAAAACATATAAACAAACAGAAGGAATAGCGATGGAATCTCCAATATCCCCGATAATGGTAGACATTTGTGGACAGTTGGGAACAAATAGCATTAGGAATATTTCAACCTATATGTGGACGACGCATTTACTGCGTTGAAATCATACGGGATCCAGAGTTTTTCGCACAAAACTTGATGTTAGATCCAATCCGACCAACATATGAATTAGAAAATGAAGGAAAATTACCTATGTTGGACTGCGAAATCACGAGGAGAGAAAATGGAAGCTTAGATACCAGTGTTTATAGGAAACCAACGCATTCAAATAGATACTTGGACTTCACATTACCTCATCGTATATCTGTCGAGGTATGCTAGATGGGATAATCTAAGTAATAGGGCTAGGAGTTCGATAAGTTAGAAAACCTAAGTAAAGGAACAAAAGACACCGAAGAGACGCTACCTCTTAATAACTACCTTCCAGAATTTTTTAAATTTTATGAGGATTGATAAGAACGGTAGTGGTATTGTTAGAAGTGATTGCAGCGTGCCTAATAGGTAATTCGAATCCTCTGTAGTGTTGCTGTATAAAGAAAGCATATCGAAAATTTTATGTAGGATTCTTAACCATGCTGGAATTAGGGTAGAATATAAACCCACAAACTTACTGAGAGAGAAACTTTGTAGGCTGAAAGACCCAGTAGAGCCAATTAGAAAAAATAACCTAATCAATCGAATACTATATTATGACTGTAAGGTCAAGTATATAGGTCAAAGCAGCTGATTTGGGCCAGTGAGAATAGCAGAACACGAAAACGCTTGGCGAAACATACAGTGGTAGATCCTAATTTAGAGAAAAACTCGGCTATCGCTCTGCATGAACTGACCCACACTATATGGTGGGATAGAGCGACAATTCTGAAATCTAATAAAGCTAGGTGGAGGGAGAGATTGGTCACAAAATCTTTGTCCATTCAATCCACACCCAACATATGTAACAGGAATGATTCATCACATATTGCAGATATCTGGAAAAGTTTACTACCATTAAAATGAATGAATGACTACTTTGATATGAACATGAGCAATAAATTCTGCTTCAAACGTCATCCAGTAAATTGTACTGTCATTGTGTGCTATATCGAATGAATAATCTTATGTGTAATTATATTCTAGCACAGCGTTCAAAAGTTTGTCCTACATTAGCAATTTTTCCCATTATCATTTAGTGTGAGTGGTGATTGGGGTTCGCGGAACAAGAGGAACCAGTGACTGTAGACTCTAGGGGATATGGCTCAGAACCGATGTCAGTGCCGCAGATGTATACACACATTCTCCCCATCTCAACGATGCTATACCGAATCCCACCATTTTACCATTCTTGCCTTCTTTCTTCTCGTACTTTATATTTCTTTTGACTAAATTTTCTTATCTTCATCTTCAACTTCTCTACCTTTCTACTTGATGTACTGATATGAGCTGTGGCAGCTCTGACCGTTGCGCAGTAATGCCTGGACCTATGTTGATATTGATGATGATGATTGAGTGGTGTTTCTAAACTCGCTGCCTAAAGGTCTCATACAGGCGACCGAAAGTCATTTAGGAATTTATTGCGAACCGCAACAGATGTGGATTTTTACAGGAGAATTTTATGCAGGTTTAGCTTATTCTTTGCAAATTAGAAAGTTAACCGAATCCTTTCAAAGTTTGTAAATCGCAAATCGTTGTATAAGTGTTGTTTCTATGGTTTCCCTAAGTTGGGACATTGATAACCACTTCTGTCATTCACTGGCTATTATTATGAATGATGTGGCTCAGCTTTCAAGCAGTAGGTTGCAGATTCAAATTCTACCGCATCTGCTTTTGCTCGGACAATCTCGTCGTAGCCCAATAGGTAAATAATCGTTTTAGACTGAGTTGTACATATCACGTGCTCCAAAACGTCAATGAGAGTAACAGTGGTCTGATGCAACAATTGTATCATGTCATAAGATTAGGTTCCCCGTCGAATCTCCTTGGCCCTTTGCTTCGATCACGGTAGTGGACTCAACTGAAAACCAGAAATAAATCACTTATATTTTGGAGAATTATTTGATTCACTTTAAAATCATGTTGCCTATAAACTTCTCAGGTACTAACCGTAATCGCTACTCGACAACTACCTAGTGGAACCGAGGAGTTTTCTGCATTCATTAGACTGACTGATTAACAAGTAAAATGCAGTGTTTCAGTATACAGAAGCCAATACATCCGTTCCTGGTTTTGTGTTAAATTATGTAAAAGACTTCGAAAAATTGTCTATTGAAAAAAACTAAATCTTAACCAGTGAAGAAACTCTTGTTGATATTTATGTTCTGTTAAAATACTGTCAAAAAGATGCTGAATTTCGTCACTAAAATTACTGCACTTTAGTGATTTTATGTATCTAAATGTTGCAAGATAACCTTATCATCATCTAGTTTACAGGCTTTTTCTATGGTATTGATTTTCACTTTCAGCTGTAATCATCTAACCAATCTTTACAAACAGCTTCGACTCATTGCCAATGAAACTTAGCAGCTTTCCGCCGTCATCAGGTATTGCTGTTCAGGTGAGATTTGAGAGATATTTAATAATAACAACTTCGGTGTGGCTTGTAAATAAGACTACTAGAAAATCACGTATTGGCATTCAGCTTTATTTTGTCGGCTGATCATCAAAACTCAAAAAGAAGTACGAAATGTAGATTTAGGAATCATGAAGTTTGGGATTTTTCACGAAATGTTGAACGTCATCATCATTCTGTTACTATGGTAACAATAGTAAAACAATGATGGAGTAGTTGGTTAGGTGTGAAGGGAATCTGCAATAAAGTTAGGCTGATGCAGCCGTGACTCATTGATCTAGACAGTTGACTTTCAACCAGTGGACTACGGGCTTAAACCATTCTTCCTCTACTGAGGTTCTCACAACCAGTTATTATTACCAGCTTTCATACATGTGTGGTCACTGCCTAGGGCACAAACCCGCACATAGTTGCTGTCTTGTTTTTTTTTCTGAGTTGCGGTAAATTCATATGAGTAGACTCATTTGAAGTACTATAGTGTATAAACTAGTACGGAAATTTCTATTTTGTCTTGCCTTCATCGTATGCGGACATGTTTTATACGTGATCTCTAAATCTCTCTTCTTTCGCACCCGTTTGGAGTGTTTTTGGTTTTTTAACTGGACTGTTTGTTTCATGAATCCAAACAAAATTATTTTTACAGGTGGTGACAATTTCAAAAACAGCATTTCTTCTTAACTTTTATGCCTCCCGCATTGATTCTAAAGGTACCGGTTTATTTCCAATAATGGCTGTCTGCTGACACACTTCTTTTGTATGTATTGCTTTGCATTCAAATGACTTTCCGTTCTTGGTTCGGTCGCCTTTAGTTCCCGTTCTTTACTAGATATGCTTAAAATAAAGTTCCAGCGTTTGGAACTACTTAGTTTTCAGCGCCTCTGAGCTTTCGCTAAAATGGAAATTGCTAGATCAATGAGTATTATACTGAAGTCAAAGACATCTTTTGTCTTATGCTGAACGTATTTATATTTATATATAAGGGTTCTAATTCCAAGTAAACTTGCGAGATTGCACGTTCTAGTCAACAGTTAAAATTCTGTATCGAATCGGATCCCCAAAATATCAAATCCTTTTCAATAATTCAAGGTGAATAGGTTTGGAATACTCCTTTTGACTTTCGATCCAGACTAGCTTTGGGTTCCATCTACTTAACTCATCCAGCTAAACATGATGCTTCGATATCTTGAACAAATATTAGTTTATCGGTCATCCAGGTGCATGACAATGTAGTCAAAAGTTATGACGAAATCTCCAGTTGTCACCTATAACTAACTATGTATGTTCCTATCTGGCCTCTGGTTCTCTGGAAGAAGAATTACGCGTTTATGTAATGTTACTGGTAATCATTTAAATTGAGTTAGTTTAATGGGTTTCTTAAGCATTTCCATGTGGGACTAAATTACTAGTGGCTCATTTTCTGTGGATCATAATTCATTATTACATCGTAAAACTGTTAATATTTTTTCACCATGAGAAAACCGACATTAAAACCAGAATTCCTAATCATTGCACTTTTGCAATCAAAATCATTTGTTGCAGCTAAACATTTAGATTATATCACACTTTCATGTCGAGATTCCTACAATATCCTTGATCTCGTCCCATAACCCCTAGTTCCAATCATTAGCTCCTATACTAATGCAGACTTGCAAGTTCGAGTCCGTATTTTTCGTGTGGAGAGTTCTGCAAAGTACCATCGATTGATGAAGTCTTAACTATGTGGTAGGAAAGTATACACCACTTGTTTGCACGCTTGACTTTTAATGAATGGTAGTCAATTACTCACTGAAATCAAAATTAGTATAAGTTTGTAAATGATGTTTCAGTACTCTCTATTAAAAATTATTTTTCATCGATGGTAAGCCTACTGAAACTCCTCAGTAATAAAAAGTGTTCAGTGCTTTTAACCAACTTACGTTTTAGTCAAGGTATGTTACAATGTAGACTTGACCTCAGGTATCTCTTTCCTGCCTTGGATATTAGAACTGTGTCAAAAATTACGAAGTTCTCCCTCAAAATATTCGTACTCCTGAAAAATGCCAGCGTTCTGCCTAACAGGTTTATGCCATTTGTGTTTTACAACGGAGGTGGGATACTGATTCATAAGTTTTGCAGCTCAATGATTCACTTCCATTATTATGTATACTACAACAAAGTCGATTAAAATACAACACAAAGTCTATGAGTGACACTCATTGTATCAAGGCTGATGATGCCCAAACCTCACTAAGCAGAGCTAGTTTTGAACTCGTTATCTACTGGTAATGATGAATAGTGGCTGGCATTGGCATCCGGGCCATGCATCTCGTCCTATTTGGGACTCATTAGCTGGATGTTCCTCCCTCGTAGTGAGTGTTGGCCCCGCTAAGACTCGGACGCAGAACCGATCACTCGAAAGCTTAGAGCGTTGTTCACCCAGGCACTAAGTTACAATAGCCACTCGTTACCCACTAGTTGAAAATTTATCGCTCAAACCAGCGAGTTGCAGCTTTACAAAGAACAAAACTGAAGTCGTTTTGTATTACTGATAAGTAACATTTGGACTAAAAAAGTGGAGATGGATTGGGCATACACTAAGAAAACCATTTGGGGACATCACGTGCCAGGCCCTCAAGTGAAATCCAAAGGGGAAACGACGAGTCAGGTTACTCGAGGGTGACATGGAGGAGGTCGTGCGGGGAAGAAATGAAAGCTTGAGGGCAGTCGTGGAGCCAGATTGTAAAAAAAGCAGAGAAGAGAGTTAAGTGGTGACGTGCTACTGAAGCCCTATGTTCCACTAGGAACCTAAGGGACAAATACTAAAAATAATAATGATAACATTTACACTAATTGAGCCTGGTTGTCATGAAAAATCCACAACTGGAATAAACAGATAGTTGATAAATCAGATTTACAGACTTTTTATGCCTGAAGTTTATTTTACAAGGCATTTGAATACATTTTTGTCAGAGTTCACTTTTTTCTTAGGATAAACTGCTATTTCTACTCCAAAAATATAATCCTTCGGTGTTTAAAGAAATTTCACAAGGATGTTTTTTTCCCCACTAATTTCATTACCTCAATACACATTCAGCCAAACGTTCGGTGCTTGGTTGGACTGTATGGATCGATCAAGGATTCCAGTATGGAAGATCTCGATCGGTTATTGGAAGAAGACCGAAATGAACAAGAAATTCTAAGATATGCAATTAATCATGAAGAGTCTGATGAGGTCCGGTTTTTAGTTGGTTCTCAGTCTTTAAAAGCACAGGGCAGCCAGGCAAGTTTTTATTTGACTAAACACTGCAGATAAAGATTGTATTTATTCACCACCTTTAATCTATACCACCTATTCGCTAATTTTAGTTTGATTTTTTTTTATCATCCCAATAATTACATACTCCATAGCCACATTGATGTAGTTTTCCAAATGGATTGCAAGTTCAAATTCTGCTCTTTCTATCTGTGTTGAACATCTGAGTTGTACTGTAACACATGGCATATTATGTGTGAATTTATAGTCTAGCGCATTGACTGTTACCGGGTTTCTAAAATGCCGTTCCCTTTACAGATTCTATTTTATTTATTTTTTAATTCGAGAAATGCTACAAAGTTTTAGTAAATATCAATGTATCATATGAACAGATAAGATAACGTGTTAACTCACCTAATGGCTTATCAGTTTAAGCAAAGTATTGGAATAAACCAAAAGAAGCAAGTGAATGTTGACCAACTAGTTATTCTGTTTCACCATCATTTGAAGGAGGTTAGTAAAAAACAGGTTTTAATGATTGGGATCAATTCTTTCTATCTTTTATCTCATTAAAGCCTATCAATCCATTCTCTCCAATTTGTTCGAATGAGGAGAATTAGTGACTTGAAACTAAACTGACCTCCGGTTTCCTTCATTTAAACTAGGTTAGGATAAACCACTAGAAGTGCGCTAATAATGATGTGCTGATTTAGAGTGTGATATATTTGGGCGATACGCAGCTATATGGCTTTTTATTGTTCCTATCTGTCTGTCACCGAAAGAACACATTTTAATAAATGCAAACATAATCTTCATTAGCATATCAGCAGCATATCCTTAATTGTTAATTATTTATATCTTTGTACTACTTTGAAGTCGGATTGTGAACTGGTGTTTGCACTCAGCGCTGGTAAGAACTCGTTAACTGACATATCTGCAAGAAACGCGCTAGTTTTAATTTCCATGCCACTTTCATGCGAAATCTCGTAATTTATATAGGTGAATAAATCTAGCATACTAGTTAATTTAGGTCATTTTAGCAGTTCGATTATACCTACATAAATGCCTGCATTTATAAGAGTGCAATATAAGTAACTAAAGACTACACAAGAATAAGTAGTAGAATTGCAACGATACATTCTTCAAACGTCATGTCTCCTAATAATTAATAAGATATTCATGAGGCGCACGGAGATAAGTTACTGAAGGTATCCATCGCGTTGTAAGGCTATTTAATTACATTGGGTTGATTTTAGGGGAATTGTAGTTCTAGTATACTTTATATGTATTTGAATAACATAGTAACATGCTGTATGTCTTTAGCCACATAAATCTGTACTTTATCTGTTTGACGAGCATTCACTCGATAACCATTAGGACCGTTTTTACGTAAAATAAATATTAAAAGAAACAAATATATTAAGCCACCAGTCCCCCTAAAAACTGATGTTCTAGATACCAATGAAATCCTATTCCACATGGAAGACAGTGATTTCTGCTATATAACACATTTGATAACCATACTACGTCTATTCAAAAGACTTCGAATCGTTTCGCTGCCAGCTTTTTACAGAATGATTAAAAATAAACTCGACAACTGCTCTGGAGATGTGTTCCTGTAACTTAAGCACTTTGTTTCCAATCTGTAGGCTAAAAGCCAAAATTCTCTTATACATACTTCGTCCTGAGTAACCGGTTAGTATCATAAACCCTCAAATTAAGTGTTACTCAATGTCTAGTACATAAACAATGTTTGCTGGCCTGAGTTACACCACTTTACTACTTTACAGTCAACACTTTTGTTTCTATGTATTGATCAACTTTACGTCTCAGTGATAATGGATTAACATTAAATCTTTGCATTGTCGATTTTCTTATTTTCTGTTTTCATCATCCCTATGTTTAAGCCTTTTTCCTTTTTGTTACTTACACCTCCATTTTAGATCACCTTAGTGACGCTTGTAGAGTCACTAGATATTGATTTGAAAAAACAAACATTTGCTCATCCAGATGGAGAAATCACTTCACTCGTTACACTCGCATCTAGACCAGACTGGTTTGTATCACTGTTTGCTTCATGTAAGCTTTATATGTATTCACTTTGGTATACTTATTTAAGTTATTTTTATCATTGATTACTTCATTTCACTGGACATTGCCAGTGTACCCATTTCTCCATGTATATAAGTACAACGCAAACTAATACAGAAGCAACGGGATCATATGTAACCATTCTAGAAGTACAGAAGTCACTACCGTTAAATCGATTCTAGTGATCTGTAAGTAAGGAAGTGCATGAAAAGCTACCAAAAAAGTTTGTGGTTTATTCACGGTTAATAACTGTTGTGTTTCGCGACTGAGGAATTGAGTTGAATGGACTTTTCTGTCATATACATTGATATTTTGAGCGTTGACTTTCCAGATTAGAAATTTTGTTGATGTAAACGATTGAAAAATATTGACTATCCGCGTACTTTTTCATAGGTTTAATTGTGCGGGGATCCGTTTAAGCTTTTTGCAGTGATCTTTTAGTTAAATTAATCACTATTTGGATTTCACTCTGCACTCTCTAACCATTTTTTAAATAAGTTTCATAGGTGTCTAAATAACACTAACTATCACTGATGTGTTGTGTGGGAATTCATAAGTGAAAAAAATAGTGTTTTTAAGGGGTTTATTACTGCATTTTGACCAGGGTTAATATATATCTTATTTTTTATTCCTCTTTAAAAATGTATTGTAATGTTCGGATTATAGTTTCTTTCTTTCATCAAGTAAACTGTTACTGATAAAAACATAGATAACTTTCATTACTGTTCATTCAGCCGTGTACGCTGTAATACTGAGTTGATACTCTGTCACTGAGAACGATTGATCTAGTTGACAGATGTTTGATCACAACAATACAGTGGAGTGCCGACTGTTTTCAGACTCCAACTGAGTGGATACAGGAGCAGAGAGGTGGTTATTAACTGACTGGTGAGAAAAGTCACTGCAGATGTACAAAATATGACCAACGTAAACAATATGGACGTTGTATCAAATAGTAGGTAAACAATCAAGTCCTGACTAGGCACACTGTGTGTACGATCAAGCGTTAGTAACGTCTCTCGAATTCACATGGTAGTCGGACAAAACCCTTGGCGATTGAAGTGAAATAATAATATGGTCTGCAGTCGGGCCTCGTAGCTCAGCTGGTAGGGCACCGGGCGGGTAACCCGGTGGTCGCTGGTTGGAATCCGGTAGCGGTTCAAATTTTCATTTCCCCTTCAATCATCATCCAGTATAAATACTAGTCTGCCAAACCACGGCTATCTCAGATAATCAAAATGATAGTCAAGGATTAAACAAACGTCACTTGGCAGTCAACAAATTCTTACCAATAAGCGTAAAGCTACACTTCGGTCAACTATAACAAATATCTTAACCATATACCGTATGAATAGGATTTTGAATGGAATATGATGATAAAATAAAATTGGCGGCATTCATCCATACTCGCTACTTAGTTCGTACCATCCAGTAAAGGAACTATTGTGTTGTGGTAAGCAACGACAACCTTTCAGTTCAAAAAATGTGCTTACAGTGCGCTAATCTGGGGACTCTGTCACACCAGAAGCTGGTTTTGCTGGTGTTGGTGTCACTCCAAGTGTCAGAAATGTAGCTGGACTAGTCGACCGGATCCTCATCAACAGCCATGTTTGTGCTGTCTGACTACAAAGTTCGATCAGAGTTACAAGCAAGTGGCAAAGGAAACAATGTCTCTGTCATTTCTGCCAATACCTTGACTGACTGAGGTTTGGATGCAGTTAAAGACAGTTTCAATCATCAACTAAGTGACCTGTACAAAGTGCACTCAGCAGATATTATAGTGGCACCTAAGAACTTGGATGTAGAGGTCGGGCATCTGGGCCCAAAAGAGGCTCTGTTCGCCTCTAGAAGGACACCTAGGTAGGTGTTAGTCAGCTATCTTAGTTATATTCCGTCGTCTTGTCTTTATTATTCATGTCTGCCCTCACTTGGTCAGTAGATGATACATTTTAGTTGCAAGTGAGCCTCATGTAGGATAAATTCCCTGTCCTAGAGCTTGCGGCATCATCATCAGCATTCGATGATAGGCACTATTTTTCGACAGAATGCTAAACATTCAGCATTTTTCTTTCCCTTTGTATAGTTCCAAAACGTCATCGTAATAGCGATTACACATAAGCTGCATAATTTGTGTTTTTAAGATTCCAGTGAACGACCAGAATTGCGTACAGGCGCTCGAATATGGAGAATACCTAGTTCTAGTGAAAGCTCATTGGAGGATGAAGGAAGTGAATCAAATTTTTCGAAGTCACCGTTAGATCAAAATTCATCTACATTGGGCAATTCATTAGAGTATGTGGCTACATTGCCGTTAGATAAATATTGTAGTATTAAAAAGTGAGCGATCTAGCTTTGTTTTTGTTTATATTTTCATCTATACATTAATCAGTTTGTGACATATTATTCAAGGATGGTCTTGGTTGATAGGATCTTTTATTGTAAATGACTAGTGACTATTTTTTAATGGTCTAGGTATTGTTCTACTACAGATTCAAGTACTAGACTACACTCTATGTACGCTTGTGATACTGTTTATCTAATCTAGCCTCAGTAAGTAAGTTGGATTCAATTCTGTGATCCAGCGGTTTTTAGTAGAATATCTAAGCCTACCGAGTTGAAACAGTTAAATCGTCAATTAGTCTGCACTGATTTGTCCTTAATATGCTACCTATCGTACTGTGAATTCAAATTCGTACGAATGAAGCTGTGATGGGTTACCATATCAGATTTTCTCAAAATTGATATTCTGCTTTGTTTACGCTCAAATCTCAATGAATACGCGTTAAAAAGTCCTATCAAACTAGATCATTTGAATGCAAAAATTGCGAACTTCAGAATACTGGGTTACAAATGCGTAACAGTAAACCGCTTAACTTATGAGATATGCCGACTGCCTTAAGATGCTCATGTGGCTGAATTTTGCGGTTAATCAATGCAGTCTAGTTACACTTACAAGTAATAAGCTTACTACCTTCTTAATAGTGCCACATGTAGTATTCATGCCTGGTTTACATATTGTAATTCAGATTTAAATATACAGTTCATCTATCCTTTTTGTTCTGTGTTATACTTCTGAAACGTATGCTTATTAATAAGAGCCATTCTAAGTTAAGTGATCTCTACCTTTTTAGCATTTACCAGTTGAGCAGTGTATAAGTGTGACTTTCATACGATAAAGTGGTCAGTGTTGACTGACTGATATTACCTTTTCCTGTATTATTTCTCTACTAGCCTTTGGTTCTGAAAGAAAATATAGTGAAGGTTGCAAAATATAATAAAAGCATTATATTACAAATACTTGAAATAATCGTCGAATCATTTACCTTGTATATGTTGGATGTCGATTCGATAAATCTGTCTTTTACGACTTGCTTAATAGACCAGTAGGCCTGGTTAAGTTTACAATAAAAGTAAATAAGAGTGATAATATTTCTCTTATAATTGTATGACAACGTACTCACCAGTGAAAGCATGTCCACCCGTTATATTTCGTAACTCATTTAGGTAAGATGCCTATCGGCATTAATCTGGATGGCCATTTGTATGGATTAAGCCATGAACCAGTTTTTCACTCAGCTTCAATCATCCGTCGTGTTTAATGCAAGTGCATACTGATAAGAATTATCATAGGCCTAACAACTAATTATACGTTTAGTAATTGCTTATTTGTTATATTTTCTTCGTAACAGGATCACTTCTCATCCTTCTACAACATGTTCAGATTTAGCGTGTATTGTTGGACCACCAACAGAATTTCCTGGGTAAATAATTATTTCAAATAATTTATCTTATAAACATGAATTCGTGTGTCTCATCATATATCCAATATATTGTTTTGGTAATGAATTCTTACTGTGGCTTAACAAAGCTTGGAATAATAGGTTTAGCTAGAGATGTAGTTAATATTTTGACTGTAAGAGAGAGATATCCGGTATAGGCCTTTGGCACTGTCTTCAATAGATTGTCTCAGGCTTTCAATACTGTTATACATAGATGTCAAATAACTCAGTTTAGAACTTTGGGCAAGTGTTACAGCTCTCAAAAATATGGAAAGATGTCAGCAAAAGGCAAATGTAACAGAAAAACTACAAAAAAAATTGTGAGCAAAGACAACAAGTAGATGAAAATAAACTGTTCAGGATTTCGGAAATTATGTCGAGTTTGTCTGTCCTACAGTGATCAGTTTTGAGACATGTTATCGACAATTTCCAACCATTGCTTGCTGGTATCTTCGGAATTCTAAATAAACACTACTCTGCATCGTTCAAACCTACGGTCCGAGACTTTTCGGGTAGTTATGGTGTACAAATCAAATTATGTCTAACCTTAGTTCATCGTGATGCTACTGCAGCTAACACTACACTTGGGAATGCACAGTATCTCAGTATGCGTAACGTATGTATCAGCCACTTGAGTTAGGGTAGGTTTACAACTTAGTCATATGGTCTTCCTTGCTTGTCCACAACTCTATACCTATCTTCAGCGTTACTGAATTTATTGTTTTACACAAAGCAAATCACGCTCTCAAAACACTGAAGATTGAAAATAGGCAGCTTCATCGTTTCATTCACCAGCAGCCATTTTCGTCAGTTTAAAAGAAGAATAAATCGGAACTCTGGACTAAACTCTTACACTCTGATAGGTAGCTGTGTATCTTACTGGCATTAGCGAATACGTGTTCTGCGAAATTAACTTTTTTCGACGTTTGTACATGCCCGAAACAGCTATAAGGTAGTGTTTTGTCCTTACAGCTAACATTTTTATTGCTAATTCCTAAGATAATGTAGTTTGCATTGTTTGATCACTGAAGAGCAACCAATTTCATGTTTTCTACTCCTGAATGGTGAGCGAATTGCAATGCGGCCACCAAGCTAAGGGGTTCACCATCGCAGTGGATGTTAGTTGGTTGGAAGGAATCGGTAGTGAGCCTTGAACCCATGTTTCGTGCTTGCTGGCAGTCGTCGGCAAGGCGTATCCTCAACTTCGAGGAAACTAATGTCCCCTGTGAGATTTGAACATGGGTTACGCAGTGTTGAGGTTAGTCACGTTGACTGCAACACCTTGGAGAGGAAATTAGTTCCCTCGAGGTTGGGGATACGCTTTGCTGACGAGTGCCAACAAGTGCGGGATCTGAGTCCCGGGCCTCCTGCCGATTGCCTCTAGCTAACTAACAATGTAGTTCTCACAATTCGTTTAGAGATAGTATAAACCGATCACTCAAAATAACTTTTTGTTTAGTCAGAGGAAGAATGAGAAACTAATCAGTTGCAGCGACTTCAGAATAATCAACTACACTAGGTTATTCACGTATAGAACTAAGCTATCTGTTAACAAGCAGTAACCGTTGACTTCTCTCTGAATTTCATGCTGAAAATGTTAAACCACCATACTGAAAAGTTGGTATCTATACTGTCTTTGAAAAACACTCTGAACTACGAATCTTTATCGTCTCAAAGATAAAGTCAACCATTTGTTATAAAAAGTTTATTTTCATGGTAGACAATCCTAAACTATTGAAGTTATTCTCTCCTAGAGTAATCAATTATCAAGGTGGTATTGATCACTGAATGACGCTATTTGGAGAACCATTGAAAACCTGGGAGTACTGGACAGCTGTTACATCCTAGTGTTGTACTTCTTAGGAGTGGACATCTATGACCCTGCTTGAGGGAATACCCACTGACAACATTACATGATGGTTGCGAGCTGAGAAAAGTAAGATGATGCTCATTGTGTAGGTCCTGAGTTCGATCCCTGGCAAGGTCATGTGTGCACACTGTTGTTGAGTCCCATACTAAGAGAAAACTGTCTAGTGCTCCCAACTTTTTGGTGGCTCTCTGAATAGTGTCAGTCTGTGATGAATGCCACCTTGAAATAAATCAATCCAAACTAATCATTTATATTTATTTCATGTACATGTCACCATTCCTTTTCTTTAATATTTCTTCTCTGTACATAGTTCAAACGCATATCCATCTCTTGTAACAACTTCAACAAGCTATTTGGTCATCCTTCAAGCTCCATCGGATTCTAATTCCGGTGATTATCAGATTAGTACAAGTGCACAGTTATATTTGCCGCCTTCTTCTCCAAATGACGGATTACGTTCAAGTATGAAAACGTCAGCTAATTGTTTATCAGCTACTGCATCGCCTAATGCTATTCGATGGTCACCACATGAACAGTCTAATCAACTTGCCATGGCTTTTGATAATGGCATACTCGGTTGGGATGTTCGCTGCATGAAGTAAGTTTGTCTTAGTGCGAGCTTAGGTGCATGTCAGTTTTTTTTGGAAGTGTCAAGTCAAATTTTGTAGTGGTAACTGCTTTTATAGAGTAGTTGACCAATTTAATATCGTATCTTATTGAATCAGGGAAGTGGAATACTTGTTGTATTCATATTGGTGGCTTGTGGTGGAATCCAGGACGTGGGTTTCCCCGTATTTGGGACTCGTAGGCTGGATGTATCTACATACCAGTGAGTAGTGTTCCCACTGGGACTCGAACCCAGGACGAACCGCCTCAAGTGCCAAAGCGTTCGTTACCCACTAGGCCCCTGGGACACGAGAGCCACCATTTGTGCAATGAGTATCATTTGTTGTTGTTTTAATACTTGTATGAAATACTTATTCTTTAAGCGTATCAGTGAGGTTGACTAAACGAAGCTATCGTCATAAATTAGTTTTCACCTTGTTTGTAAGGAGAGAGGTATACTGATGCCTTTGTTAATGCAACTAAGTTAAAAACATCCGTTTGAATGACTCCTATATTTTTGACTCTATTTTTACACATTCGGGAGCGGAAAGAGTTAAGAACATCGATCCTGAAATCGAACGTCCATCGTATTCCAAGGAATTTCATATCGGACACTTTTTTGGAGTGTATGCAGAATCTGTATGCACCCGAAATGAAAAATACTTCCCTTGTTGTTAGAACTAAGTTATTCGTATCTGTAGACCGTCGATCAACATATATCCACGTAACTTTCAAATCTGTTGGTTCGCATATTTCTAATCATCGAATCTCTCCAATCTGTGTAAATGGTTTACCATAGGAAATATCATACTCATCTATTTTCATGTGTTTGTCTCCCACATGACAACAGAAATCAGTGGTTAGAGACTAGGTGACACGGCTCAGTGTCGATCTTAATTGGACAGATGGGTCTACGTATCATCTTCATCTTGATCGGCATAGTGAATTCAATACGTTTTTGTTCCTCCTTGTTATTTTGTCACGACTTAATACCACTTCTGACTGCTTTCTTCGCCATTACTTTATTTTTCATCTTAGTACATTATCGCTTGATGTGGTGATATGTGTAACAACTTGGGTTGTTACACATTAATACCACATCCTATGTGAATTTTGTCTATCTGTCACGTATCTGTTAGGAAAACTAACGGCTAATAAACAAATGTCTCTGTTAACTTTCCTACTTGTTCTCATGTATCCCTTCGTATTCCCTTTTAATATCTTCAGCTTTATACTACTTAGTATTCTTGAGTAGCATAGATCATGTTTCTTTATAATATTATCCCCTCACCTACATCCTTTACTGTTCAACCGTACCTTGTTCACCATTTAACATCCGTAGATATCAGTATCTTTCATGGTTTGTGATGGTGTTGTAATTTCTTTCATTGGTACCTGATGTCATATTTTACCTTGAACATTTGTTTATCTTGCGTCTTTACCTCATCGTGAGAACTTAGACTCATCTTTTAAGCCCCCTTCTGGTAGACTGGACGCAGGTTTGCTTTTTTTGCTCTTGACGCATTCTTTGTAAAGTGCTTTGATAGCGATAAACCCCCAGATACCTCAAGATTCGATGTTTGTATTTTATTACTCAATATCGCCTATTAATATAGAATCGTATTTCCGACAAATCCTGTGTTTTGGATTTTACGCGTGACTCGAGCGTGTGGTTTATTGTTGAGAAGTCGCTTGTTCGCTTTGGTTGCGAAATTCTGAGGAAGAAATTCAGTCTCTCAGGGGTACCAAACTGGACAAGATACAAGTCTTTTGTTACGCTATCGTGTATGTACGCTCTTTTTAGAGCAACAACAGTAAGAACAAATGATCTATTTTCCATCTTTCACTATTGATATAACTTCAGTGGTTATTAATCTCGAAAATGTAACTGCTTAACACTGTAAGTTTCCATTCGTATCAACTTCCATGGATATTATAAAGATACCACTCAGGTAGTTCATACTGCACACAACTCTGACAGTGTAGGGATTTCTTATGACTACTTCCAAAATATAATTTATTCATCAATTCAGTTGGATTTATTATCATTTATCTCCATTAACCTTATGTTTCGCTTCAGTTTTCCACATATCTTCAGCTTGAGTCAGTCATTTTCCCTCATGGTTTGGAGTCTATGGTCTTCTAAACTATCACTTCTAACCACATTTCAGAGTTTTTAGCATTCATACCTGGTGCTAAATCAAGCAACAGACATAATTCATCCAAACCATAGCGTTTTGGATAGTATTTCATTTCTCAAAAATTGACGTCTTCTTATCCACATATTAGATAACAGATTATGAAACTCTGACTGGTTTAATAAATTGAAATATGTCCATTGATACCACACTTCATGTTATATTACCATGGTTGTTAGGCTTTTTTATGCTACCTGGTTTACCGACTGTGATGGCTAATCATAATCATATTAAACTCCGATTTCCTTTAGAATGCCTGCACACTTCTTCCCACTCAACATATACACTCACTGTGTTACCCTAGAGATACATGCTCAATAAAGCTTACTTTTGAGTAGGAAGAATAGACTCAAGATAATAGAAGACTTACAACACGTCGCCACTCATATGAACACGTACATCTACGCTTTAAATTCAGTCACATCAACTGTATGTCTCTTGAGAAATTAACACACTGAGACAAACTGTTCGAAATATTCACTCTGATCTTGTTCTCGAGAAAGTAATGGTTGAATAAGATCAATTCTTGCACACACCAGTTTCTTACTTTTCAAACAATCACTATTTAAGTTCTTATCGAATAGTGAATGTCAGTTTTCGTCTGTCTTGCAAGGCCTTGTTTCTGGATGGAAAATGCTCATTGGCCGTGTGTTCGTGATTTGGATTATAATCCCCATCGTCCCAATCTCTTACTAACAGGTGGAGATGATGGGGTTTTACGCATTTGGGATCTTCGCTATTTACGCACAAGATATCGATGTTTGTACACAGCTGCTGCTGCTGCTGCTGCTGTTACCACCTCTGCTAATTCGACAAACACCACTATTCCAAATGCATCTGAGCGAATTATGCAGTATGGCACAGAACCAACTGTTCAGCCTTTGTTCGCAATTCCATCTCATTCTCATTGGGTTAGTCCTTTTTAATTTCCTTTGATATTTATACATTGCTTATAGTCTAATAAGGCAGTGTGAAACATTTGTTCACCGTTTCAACTGAGTTCATTCTTGTCCTGGAGTTCTCTCTCCCCGGTTAGCAAGACTTCGTGGTATTTGCAGTTTGACTGTCTTAAATGCCGTACTCATAATGTCATTGACTATAGCTTTTGCGTTTGATTGAATTTTCGTTCATGTGTGACTGACTGATTTGATAGCCTTCCATTGGGTGGATAGATGACATGCTAACATGTTGCACTGAAGCGTGAAGGAATGTAAACATCATCAAATGGTGTCGGATGAGTAGTGATTTCCCCTCAGTTAAACACCATTCTTCGTTTAGGGTGTTTTGTTTGTGCCCGTTTTTTACCACTGGATGGGTCTCTTCTAGGTGCTGAAGAAATTCCAATTCGTTCAACTAGGAAGAGTAATGATGCACATGTTTGGAAGTCATGAAGAACATATTAAAATTGTTGTCAGCATGTATATGAAATATCAATAAGTCACGGTAATTTGTGAGTTAAGGATAACAAGGATGCGGATTACGCTATTTGGGATACTAGTAAAAATAGGGGTATTATTAAGAATAATACGAACGTAGAAAAGGGTATGGTAATGGAAGCAGGTGGTCAAACAGACAAGTAGGGTGAGGGTTGAATAGAACAACAAATCTGAATATCTCTGAAGGATAAACGCACAAACGAATGAAGTTTGTGAATTTATTAAAGGTATGAAAGAATAACAAAATTTTGAATAAAATAAGGAATGAAGAGCATTTTGGAAACCTACAGGAAGGGTCACTCATGAAATCTTCCGTGGTGAAGGCAAGGATGAAGCCTGTACAGATTTCATCCGATTACAACACTTCGTTTTTCATCGTTCATTTTAATTTTTTATAGTCTCGGGGAAAAATCGAGTTCGAACTTCATAGGAAAGGTTATATGGGATAAGGTTAATCATTCTAAGCGCTTTCGTTTTACCCACTATGTCACCATTTATCAACTAGATGCGACAAAATAGAGTTTCTCATAGATTTAGCTCGTCTTTTTCGCAACCACGAAGGCAGGTGTTCGCTTATACGTTAATCAAGTTACCTAGCTTTGTAGCTGATATAACTCTTAGCAGGGGCAATTAAATCGACTAGTACACATGCAAGTGGTTAAATTCAATTACTTTTCCTGAGCTTGACGTAGAACAATCCATCGACTGGAAAATGATCGACAGAGTTCAGATGCATATAAAGTTATTTCAATGTTCCCTGATATTCTGTGAAATAGGACACTACTATGCATATCCCCATTAAATGGAGCTGTGGCTCATTGGTTTAGGGAGATGTCTTTCAACCAATGAGCCAAGGGTATGTGCCCCGCTCCACCTACCAAGGTTTGGGCAGCCGGGTATTATCATTAGCCCTCACAGTAGATGTGACTCATTGCCTACTGCACGAATGTCCAGAAGGTTGATTACCGCATTAATTGAAATCAAAAAATATCCCAAACAAATTGTGGCTTTATGGATAATAGTTCCTCTTGAACAGTTCCCATTTCAAGTTTCCTACCAACTCTTTCCATGTGCGTTTTTTTGTAGAAAATTACGGGGATAACCTATTTTAATTGGTGAATTCAAAGTGTACTATAGCTCACTCTATAAAATGACGTCAAAACACTTTCCCTGCTATGTTTTCCCATGTTGCTCGATTTCGTTTATATATATATCATATTTTCTTTTCAGATTTGGTCAGTACGTTATCATCCTACACGAGATCAACTTGTTCTGTCCTCAGGAAGCGATGGTCGTGTTTGTCTGTACAATTTACCGAGTTATTCATCTGATGCTCTTAATAATGATGTGAACGAAGTGAATCAACAGTCTGTTGGTAATCATTGTGAAACAGATGTTCAATATGACTCTGATGATCATTCAGTTTATTCTAATGAAGATGAAAGTGATGGGTAAGCAGCATAATTTTCATTCACTTATTATCATCCCATGTCTACCTAACACAACATATTATTGAACTATACGCTTTATATATATGGTTCGGGAATTCAATACTATTACTTCACCTATGTATACAATAATTCGGTTCGGCAAAACCCTTGGTGATTGAACAGAAATCAAAACCTGATTAGCAGCTGGGTCTCATAGCTCGGTTGATAGGGCACCGGGCCGATAACCTGCAGACTTCTGGTTCGAATCCTACCGGGATCGAAAATTTCACTTCACCTCCAATCATTACTTAGTATCAATAAAATTCATATGTCAATTTAACAGTTAAAGTTACTAGGATCTACAAACTCTAAACCTCTTGATGTTCACATGTTTTTCAGAACATTCAAGGCTGACTCATATGAATTCCTGCTCTTTAAATTGATGAGATCGAAAAGCAAATGTACTGTATACTTGAAGTAGATAAACATCTAGTAATTACATCAAGCGAGCCAACTAAAAGGCCACTATGAAAAAGAACTTGTTGTAAGCACATTCAGTTAAAGTCAATGTTATGTAAAAACAAGATTTCAGGAAGTACCAGATGCAATAGGATGGGAGAAAAAATGTCAATCTGGACATGAGAAGAGGATTATTATCTTGGTTGGGTCGTTTCTTGTGGAAACCCTGTTAAGATCATAGTCGGGGAGTTGAATAACTGTTCGACAGTGGGAAATGTCAACATAAAGTGTAGAACTTTCAAACCGATCAACCATTCCATAGCATATTACTTTATTCAAGTGAGCTAACCGGATTTACTGAGTGCGAACAAATCAGTTTTTTGAGTTGAATTTTTATGGATTAGCTGCTGGTAAACTCGATCCCGAAAATTTTTTTGGGTGTTTATATTAATCTGACATTTCTTTAGCAGAATCTGTAGATCAACTTGTTAATTTTTGTTTTTCATTTTCTGTTTAAAGGAATAAAGATGGTTTAATTGCTCGCTTGGAACAACATGAAGAAAGTGTATATGCAGCTGAATGGAGTCCTGTGGATGCCTGGTATTTTGCGTCAATTAGCTATGATGGAAATCTTCTCATAAATCATGTACCTGAAGCAATCAAATTAAATATTTTATTGCAATCTAAGGATTATTAAGTCAAATACATTTCTCAAGGTCATTTCTGTCATCTAAGTTTCTTATTTTTGGCGTTTCATTTGCTTGTTTGTTCTTTACTCTTGAAAATATCTACATTTTTTAGTCTTTACTGACACTCATCATATTTGGCTGTGATAGGTTTTCACATACTTGTTTCTTATGTTCACTTTGATAATTAATATCTGTGATCTATCTTTCAATGCGTTCTCCTATTGAATAACAGCAGCCGTTAAAACGGCTGCTGTATTTATGACGATGAGAAATTGCAGTTCTTTATGTTATAAATTTCAACCATATACAGGTAGCCTCTTTCTTCTACAGTATCCTCATATATCGTGATATCTTTGAACTTTCTTTAACTCTCATTCTTCATAGTTTTTCTAATATTTTCGAGGTTGACCAATCACAGAGCATTTTGGGATTAGTTTCTCATAACTTTTAAAGTTGAGTGAGAGCATCCATATGTATATATGCCTGTAAGGTCTTTTGAAGTCAGAAAACTGCCTTGAATTTTTGTAATAATAAACAAACAGATAGGAACAACAAAGAAGCAGGCGTTACTGCATACCAGTCCAAGTTGCTACATGTCATGTTACCACGTTAAGGGAGAAAGCAGTAAGATGAAAAATAAATTAATCGAGAAAAAGGTAGTCAAAAGTGGTAAAAAGTTGTGGTAAGATAACAAGGAAATGCTGAATTCAGTATGACGATCAAGAGGAGGATAATATGCAGACCTATCTGCACCGTTGAGATCGATTCTGAGCCGTGTAACCTACAGTCTCCAACCACTGGTTTTTGTTATCGCGTGGACCCCAGCCGGTAAGTCTGCATTTCTATACACAGTTCAGACCAACAGTCAAAAGACTCCATGTAATGATGCCGCCCATAACCTTTTTCCAGCCTAAATCTGTTTCAGCCGACATCGTGCAATGAGGCAGATGGCGACTAGGCATGCGTAACACATATCTGAACCACCTGTACCGCTGGAGGTTCATTATATCCTTAATTAACCTTCCTCTTCTCCGTAAACCCCTGACTTCTACATTGCTGATGTGGTAACACCACGACACGTGGCCTATGCTACGAAGGCAGTGTTGGTCAAATACCTTTAGCCTTCCTCTACCTTTAATGGCCATGTTTCAAAGCCATACAATGGAACAAAACGAACTGCAATACAGTACACTTGCCCCTTAACAGACAATTGAGTGTAGCGGTGATGCCATAAGTGGCATAATTTGGCGGAAGTCAGGTGAGTCCTTTGTATTCCTGCAGAGATTTCGTCGGCCAACAGGGGTGATACGACTTTCCAGGTAAGTGAAAGGATCAACCCACTCAACCACTTCACTCCATATTGTTAGATGGGGGAGTGTTGAAACCAGTCATGAAGCAACAATTCGTATCTGTGTGACGAGAAATCCATCCCAAACAGTCTCCGATTGTCACTCAAGGTATCCAGAAGACTGCCTATTCTCAGTGTCTTCGCCTAATAGGACTATTTCATCTCTGTAGCCTAGATTTACCAAGGAGTCTCCTCTGATTTGATCCATTCATGTCAAGCCAAACGACGGGGGAGGTGGGACTTCTATAAGAACATCTATGACGAAATTGAACAAGGACGGGAAGAATGGGCACCCTTGAGTGACACGACTCGATATACACAGTCCATCTGACAACTCACCATAGACTTTAACACGTCCACGGGTGTCCGAGTAAGGAGCCTTCAGCAGTGTGATGCACTTACTCGGTGCCTCTTCGAGTCAGAGACGCTACCATAAGACTTCTCGATCGATAATGTCGAAAGATGCTTTCAGGTCGAGAAATAAAGCTAATGTCAGGCATCGGTAAGGGGGCTTGTGTTCCCGAACGTGGCGTAGTGTGAATGTGTCATCGATGGACCGGTTTGAAACCTACCCGGTTCTCTCGGTCCAGCTGTTCCCGAGCTCCACTCAAACGTCTCATCGTTATAGAAACTAGAGTCCTCGACGCCATCTTCATCAGGCCGATTCCTCTGTGATTATCACATCTCACCTTTCTTGAAGACTAGGACAACCAGTGATTGAGACCAGTCAGATGAGGTCGTATTTGTTTCCTACACACTAGATAACACTTCGATTAACTTAGTTAAAAATCCTTGACCAATATCCTTCAATACCTCTGGAAATAGTTCGTCTGACCCCGTTGCTATTCTTCGCTTCAGGTTGCCTACCGCTTTCTTGACTTCTGTAGGTGTTAGGGGCTCTATCTCGATGTTGCGTTTTGGATCCGACTGAATATTGGGCAAGGGAATAGTAGCTGAAGGTCAGCTCCATTGTTTTTCGAAAAGTCTCACCCATCGTTTCAGTTGTATTCCCTGCGTATGAATCGCAGATGCATCCTCACTAATCACTGACTATTTCCCCCCACTCTCGTTGATAATTATAGATAACTATCTACTGTTACTTATCTGTTTCGCATTCGCTGCTCACCAGTTCGCGGTCATTGTGAAGACTTTTGTTAGTTGACGTTTGAGTTGCATTCGCTGTTCATCTTATTCGCAGCCCACGGAGATGCGTTCGTGTGCATGTGTTTATTTGGAAGCTGTTGAGATTCACTGGCTTCTTCGACCATTCTATGAGAGCCAGATACGGTCTGTTTTTACAGCAGACTGGAGATGTCAAGCTTTTTTGGAATGAGTGATATTGTTCTGTTCCCGGTAACTGTCAACCTAGTTTCTCATTGAAAGTGGCCCTATTGCTCTCATTATCAAGCTGCACTTGTAATGGTCTTGTTGCTAAAGTTTTTCTACGTCATTTAGAGATTCAGCCACGCACATGCTCGAACCAGTGCGTGGTCGCTATCCAAACAAGTGCTCCGGATAAAGCTCCAGTCTTCTACCCCAACTCTCCAGTGATGACTATTAGCAGTGTGGTCTACCTGTGTCCACCACGGAGTTGAGCTTGGTGGACGTCACGTCAGATGTTTCTCTTAATGTTTGAAGTTTGAGCTGGCTGAAAATAAATGGTTTTCTGAGCTCAGTTATAGTAGGCTATTCCCGTTTATCTGGTTGATCTACTGGGATTCCAAAAGTGCTATCTAAGTGCCTCTCTGCCTGACGTAGCGCACCCACTTGTGCATTGAAATTACCTGCAACAACTACCACCTCTAGGCCCTGGGCTTTCAGCAGGAGGCTAGACAGTTTTCGGTAGAAATCATCCTTCACTTCATGCGAGCTGCAGTTACTGGGCGCATAAGGAGAGATTGCAAAGAGACAACGGTGAGTTTCACTATTACTTTTTGTCCTCACTATGCAGTTCAGTTGGACAGCACCTGAGCGACTTTGAACTGAGATAGAGTCGAGTTGTGCACTTTCTGCTTTATGACTCAATGCTGTGCCTACACCTGCAAGAGAGCAAGAGGTAATCGTCAAATCTCCAGAGACTCGAGGGATGGATTTCATGGATTCACTATATTTATCTGGTGAGGTTAAGCGAATAACCGCACTTGCGTCCTGTATGCAGACGCAGAACACATCTATGGCCCAAGTTGAAAGAGTTTTGGCTAGTGAAGCTTGTTAGGCGATTTGACGTATGGTGCGGACATTGAGAGCTCAAATGTGTAATTTAGGGCACGGTTTAGGAGACCAAGGAAGTGACAGGGATTCGAGAGACTTGAGTGCTGACAGAGTTGTGATGATGGTTGACACTTCCCAGCTGCACACACTGTTGAGGACTGCTTCTTAGTGAGTTAACTGAAGGAGTAGGTTTAGTGCGTGACCACAGAGCCCAAGGGGTATCTGTTTGAAGTTGAATACTTTAGTTTTTTCCTTGCATGTCTGACTATGAACCGATATCGCCGGCACCGGTATGCCACGGAGGAAGGGGAGTGTGTTATTTCCAGGGCAAACTTTCACCATGGGGAGGGCAGCATGGCGCTGCTGGTCATCAGTGGGAAACACCTTACTGTTGTCACACCCTCTTCCATTCAGTAGTACAACTTCCTTCTGCAGCCCGTCATAGTGTAGCGACTTGCGCTACAATGATAATTACTTTCTGCCTTACCATTATCCAGCTGACGTTTCTGGTATAATAGGACCTAGAGGGAACAAGGTCTCCATTAGCATATCTCATTGGGTGATTGTGATATGCAAGCCCGACCACCATATCACGGTAGCAGCTGTCGGTCGGGAATAATAATAAGTTCCCCTATATTTCTTGACAGTTATGAGTTGCTCTAACTGCAAATCTAGCAACTAATGTCACGACCGATGTGGTTTCTTTATTTCATGAAAAAGCCGCCTTTCTAACCAAAGTGGAAAGAACATGAACTGGCTATTTCAACGGTTGCTAAAATGCCCTTTACATCCACTCATACTGTAAGTTAAGCATACTTGATTTGATGTAACAGCAGCTAAAAAAGTGAACAACATTTTACATAGAATCAGCATGACAAATTCAATTTAGCTGAATGCCAATTGATGATGTCAATCAATGAAATGAGCACAAATACACGTCTGTTCAAGGTAAATAAACTAGGAGACTAGTGTTCAAAATATTAATCGCTTGTAAGTGGCATTGTCAGATAGCATTGATTGGTTTTAGCAAAGACGATAAAACAGGGATAGATGTCAAAATGAATTGTGATACTTAATGTCCCAGTAATTCTGCAAAGCTTCACTCATAGGCAATAGTTTAGATGACCGGCCGATAGCTGCTACCTTAATGTGGTGGTCGAGTTTGCATATCGCAATGACCTATCGAGCCATTGTGGTGGAACACGTGTTCTCTCGTAGTCCTAACATCCCAGAAAGGTCTGTTGGATAGTGATGAGACGAAAAGCAGTTACCGTTGCAGCGTAAATTACTGCACTATGATCGGGGTTTGAGAACGAAGTTGTGCTGCTGTCTGGATAGGGTGTGATATCAGTAAGGCGTTTTCTTTGGATGATCGGCAGTGCTACTCTGTTGCTGCCTTCTCAACGGAAAGAGGGGGTTAAGAAAAGTTGACCCTAAAAATAACACCCCACCTTCCCCTACGATCTTCCGGGACTGGCGGTATGAGTTTTGTCTATCTGGTGTTGGACCAAGCAAATCTCGAAACGAAATCCCGCATGTGACAGACCTCAAGGAGATGTCCTATGGGATCTGCGGTAACACAAATCTTTTCTTTCAGGTACAATAGGAAGAAATCATCATTCACGGTGCTGGCAGCCGGGAATTGTCAATTGCCCGCACGTTTCCTGTAGTACACAAGACAAAACCAAGCATAACCTATCCTCCTCAACTCTGTCTCCTCCTTCATCTTCATCTCCTACCTCTTACACATTACCCAACCTCTCATTCTGCAACTATTGCCAACGATCACCGCCATTGAAACTTCATTCCTAATATCCTAAGGGCCCACCACCGATGTCATATAGGAGCTTTCAACGTCCGCGCTATTTGCCAAATCGGGCAGAAAGCATTGCTCGCCATAACTCTATAATCTCAAGCCATGGATATATGCTGCCTCTGAAACATGTATACAAGACCGGAGTGTGGTTATTAAATTGACCTCACCTGGACATTGTAGCGGGTCTTCAAAATTCACCTCATGAGTATCCGGAGACTAAATGGCTAGCTCTTGTGGACTCGCTGGTGTAGGCATAGCATTGAGCTGTAGAGCCGAAAGTGCGCTTGTCGGCTGGATAACAGTCAACAGCTGTCTATGTACTGTTCGACTGAATGGATATGTATGAACTAGAAAGGATCATGAGACTAGGCGATGGCTATTCGTAATCTCCCCCTACTCACCTACCGAATGTAGTTAGGATGATGCAAGGGATACATTTTATGAGAAACTGTCGATTTGGCTGCACAAAGAAAAACGTTCAGATTTATTCATAATCGCAAGTGACTTTAATGCTCAAGTGAGAAGCCGAGCCAGTCGGAGAGGCATCTTGATGGTATTTTCGGAATCCCATGCGAATGAACCAACAGTGGTGATCATCTGTTGCGATTTCGCTGCAACAATCACTTGTTTCTGGCCAGCACTAACCGTAGACATGGCATCCGTCGACGTCAAAGCCAATACATCATATTGCTATAAGCCAACGTTTAAGACGATTACCGCTGTTTCTGAAATATCAGTCTGGACCCCGATCTCACACGATTGGGGCTCTTGTATGTCTGCACCTTATTGGTCGCAGGGAACAATCGATAGTAAAGCCTGTCTATGTTCGATTGGATGATGAAAACATCAAGTCTGAATTTAGGCGGGGAGATAGGTAACCACCTATTTGAACATTACAGCAATGCCCATTCTGAGGAAACCTGCCTGCTGTATAAACAGCGGTAAAGACAGCTGGTAGTCTATGATCGAAGGCTAGTAAACGTCATTGTATTTCTGCGACGTCATCCGAACTGATTGATATGAGAAGACTGATTACAGATCGCTCTGACCACGATGAAGAGTGAAATCAATTTGAACGTAAGTTAAACAAGAGTCTTCGCATTGATCGCGAGCAGTGATAGGGGGCAAAAGCTAGAGAGTTAGAGAGGGCATCAGCGATGGGTAACATTCGACAACTTCTTAGGCTTATTTAGGATAGGGCTAGGAGGAAAGCCATGGTAAGTGAAACCATCACGAAAAGGATGGGACATTGACAACCTCCCAGGACAGGCGGCTAGAACACCGGGGGTAAAACTTTGAAGCACAGTTCAACCAGCACTCAGAAAAGCTTCAGTTGTCAAACATCCAGCTTGAACCTGAATGGCACGATGTCGGTCTTCCAACTCAAAGTTGAGAAAGCTGAATCGAACTTGAAATGATGCAAAACAGCAGGACCTGACAGTTCTCAAGAATAGACGTAGGGAGTTGCTAACTAAAGTGACGGAGTTACTAGGTAGTGTATGTGAATCAGAGGTAATGCCATCGATCTGGTGTACTTCACTGATCATCCTAGTTTATAAGAAAGGGGAAAAATCTTGTTGTGACAGCTATAAGGGAATTAGTTTGACTAATACTGTGCCCATGAAACTAGAGTCCATAGTTGTCCTAAACCTAACTGGAGCTCGAGAAAACCAGGCAGGTTTCCGACAGATCTGGAAGAGGTAGCATCGATCATATTTTCATCCTCCGACAAGTTCTGCAACAAAAGCATAACTACTGGCCAGTGGCCGGCACTTACCACATTTTTTGACCTGAAGGTGGGATTTGACTCAGTCGACCATGGGGTGTTGTGGCAGTGTCTGACTGTGAGAATACTGAAGAAGTACATTGTGCTTATGTGCTGGGTTGTTACTATTACACTTATTAATAGCATAGGAAGGGATAAATAGCAACAGTGGGATGAAAAAGTGATAAATAAAATTAATAATGTGGGTGGGAAGGTCAGAGAGTAGTTATATGTGCACCATTGTAACCGATCTCGAGCTGCGTCAATAAGAGTTGCAAACCATCAATATCCAGCATCTCTATAGTACTATTCCATAAGCTAACAGTTCACACAGTTGTAAATAACAGTTAGTAAAATTATCAAATAGGTATCATGGCTTGATATTGCAATCGTTAGCTTTCCTGCAGCCTACTCGTAGTACGGTCTGCACAGAATATCATAGTAGGCAATAGCTCATCGAACACTAAAAATAATAATGACGATAAGTAGCCAACATATGAAACATATATGGTATTCATGCAACCGGCTTTGTGTCTTTACCCGGGAACGAGGAAATAACACCCCAACAATAATGAGTGACCTTATCTTTACTGTTTTTCCTCGACACTATGACCAGGTCATCTACCCTTTTCAGACCTTGTTGATTTCTTCTGTATTCTACCAAATAGACTATTCTTGATTATGGACTAGTAGAATAAACCTGTGTGACGTTGGCAGCAGTTCGAATCTTATTAAAAAACAAAACCGCGAAATAACAGTTAATACAATCAATTTAAATTGCGAAAAGTATAAGCAATCACAAAACAGTAACAGCAGATAGTACAAGTACAGATAAAGTACAAGATTGACAATTCTGTCACCTATTGTTCATATAGATTTACACTGGTTATGATGGTCAAGACCATTTCATACATATAGAATAAGGAAGGATAAGAAAATCTCGGTCGAAATTCACCAACACATGCCACAAAATAAACTAGTAAGATGTACGCTTATTCCTTAGTGAATAAATGTAGAACAACGTGGTTCTTCATAACTTCCAAACATGTGCATAATTACTCTTCCTAGTTGAACGAATTGGAATTTCTTCAGCACCTAGAAGAGACCCATCCAGTGGTAAAAAACGGGCACAAACAAAACACTCTAAACGAAGAATGGTGTTTAACTGAGGGGAAATCACTACTCATCCGACACCATTTGATGGTGTTTACATTCCTTCACGCTTCAGTGCAACATGTTAGCATGTCATCTATCCACCCAATGGAAGGCTATCGAATCAATCAGTCACATATGAACGAAAATTCAATCAAACGCAAAAGCTATAGTCAATGACATTATGAGTACGGCATTTAAGACAGTCAAACTGCAAATACCACGAAGTCTTGCTAACCGGGGAGAGAGAACTCCAGGACAAGAATGAACTCAGTTGAAACGGTGAACAAATGTTTCACACTGCCTTATTAGACTATAAGCAATGTATAAATATCAAAGGAAATTAAAAAGGACTAACCCAATGAGAATGAGATGGAATTGCGAACAAAGGCTGAACAGTTGGTTCTGTGCCATACTGCATAATTCGCTCAGATGCATTTGGAATAGTGGTGTTTGTCGAATTAGCAGAGGTGGTAACAGCAGCAGCAGCAGCAGCAGCTGTGTACAAACATCGATATCTTGTGCGTAAATAGCGAAGATCCCAAATGCGTAAAACCCCATCATCTCCACCTGTTAGTAAGAGATTGGGACGATGGGGATTATAATCCAAATCACGAACACACGGCCAATGAGCATTTTCCATCCAGAAACAAGGCCTTGCAAGACAGACGAAAACTGACATTCACTATTCGATAAGAACTTAAATAGTGATTGTTTGAAAAGTAAGAAACTGGTGTGTGCAAGAATTGATCTTATTCAACCATTACTTTCTCGAGAACAAGATCAGAGTGAATATTTCGAACAGTTTGTCTCAGTGTGTTAATTTCTCAAGAGACATACAGTTGATGTGACTGAATTTAAAGCGTAGATGTACGTGTTCATATGAGTGGCGACGTGTTGTAAGTCTTCTATTATCTTGAGTCTATTCTTCCTACTCAAAAGTAAGCTTTATTGAGCATGTATCTCTAGGGTAACACAGTGAGTGTATATGTTGAGTGGGAAGAAGTGTGCAGGCATTCTAAAGGAAATCGGAATTGCCAATCGATATTCATGCTGAAAAGGAAGAGAGTGACCTTTTTGTTCAATGTAGCGTTTAATTTAGCTGATTGTGAATATTACATTTCGTTTAACGTCTTTAGCTGTTGTGCCCTTTGGTCTGCATAATATAAGACCTGGGAAGAATTTGTTGTTTTACGAGCTAAAGTGGTTCCAAAAGGCCCTATCATATCCTTATCGTTGTTTGGTGTTTTTTTATACATCCTAAAGTTGTTATACCGCAGTGTTGTGCTGTTTTGAATAAAGTCCATTCACAACTATTTTTTGTCTTTGTTACTGTCGTGGCTGAAGATTTGTTCTGTGTATGTTGGCTTCCCACACCGGAACCACCAATTTTCCTATGTTGATGAAAACGTCCAGGAGTGGTTGTCTATTATTTGATTGACTTTTTACTGCGTTTCTGATGTCACTAAAAATGTTGTTGATCAAGTTGTGAGTGCTTTTCACTTCAGCCTTTTGAATAGTTACAAAAGTATCGACTGCAAGGTAGTCCAAATTTTTGGTTTGATCACTAGTAAAACGATGGCTTCAGATCTTTGCATTACTGCTTCTCGAATTAGTCCAAATAACAGTGATCCCACAGGAGTTTTTAACTTCTGTTTGCATAATTTACTATTGAATTGGAAGCACACTGTTAGACAGTAATCATTGCCTTCTTATCTGACTTGAACACTTAAGTTTTGTGCGTCCCGAAAGCTTGTGTCGACAGTGAGGAGGAGAGATATAGTATTCTTAGCCAGTTGTGTTTCGACTGATGTATATATTGTTGACATCAAAAGACATCATTGATTCGTTTTTAATGCTTTTGAACTTTTCCGAAACTTCTGTCGGTGATTTGATGGGATAATCGTATGACTTAACAAGATATATCAGTTTCCCAGAAGGTTTTGTGGATCGGTTGTATGTAGGCTGGGGTCCCTAGAAGTTAGAACAATGTTTGGTCCGTTCACTTTTGGTGTACCGTAAGACCAAGGAACGACAGGCCCATTAGGTTTCATTCGCCATTGGTCCTGTTTTGTTACCAGTCTTACTTTCACTGGTTTGTTTAGTGTTTGAGTAATCTGGTTGTCGAACTTTTGAATATGGTTGATCTCTGATGGTTAGTATGCATTTTTATCCAAACTAATCATATCTTCCTGACATAGTCTTAACTGCCATGAATTGTGGTGCAGTGTAGATTTCGTTCGAGAAATAAAAAAAGCGGCCAAGTTGCGAGTCAAGTTCCGGAATCATCCAACTTATTTTGAATACCGTATAATAATATAGTCAAAGTATATATTGATCATAATATTTAACTCATTTCGTAAGGTTCGTAAGTATTTGTGACAACAGACGGACAATAATATGCTTCTGAAAAAAGCACACAACTCTATCATGTAGTTCATCATAACTAAGTTTGAGGTTCACCCCAAAGCAAACAACAATCTAAGCAGCGTAGGACAAACGCAAGTTTAGGAATTAATATGTACAACATATGAAGCAGAATCAAGACAGGGACAAAGACGAAAAACCAATGCTTTGAATTCAAAGTAAACTAGAGTGAATCGCGTTGTACAACTGACCTTTCATCACAAGTCACAACGGAGCTGAAGGTGACCCAAATAGAAATATTCCACTATTGCTTTCATTATACAGCTAAAAATCTCATCAGTTATATCTCAACCAGCACTCACACAACAACCTAGATACAAACACTTTTCAACTAGTTCCAAAGGTTCACTGGTAATAGATAGAATCTCCTATCAATCTTATAAAAGTACTTTACTCTTATACGGCACAAAACACTCTGCAGACGTTAGTTCAAATAATATGTAAAACCCACTGAAGTTAACACAATTAATAAAGAGATGAGAAATAAAATATCAACACAGAGAGTATCCATTCGTTTTTGATTATGAAACACTACCCAGCACTCCGTCTTTCTGGTTGTTTGATGACACCAATGCAAAGATGTCTGTTAGTTCTTTCAACTCAAGTTCCAATACAGATTTGAAAACAATATATTACCAGAGGACATTTCAGTGAAGAGGAACAGTTCACCAACCATATTATGTTTCCAAACCTTTTTTTCTATAAATTAATTCTAGTTCACATTTTATGGGTTACATTAACAATCTTTAAAATGTTTTTCTTGAATGACCGTTTTAATGCGTAACCATTTTACTGAGAGATTTGTGCATTTAAAAAGCTAATCACTTTTCAAAAACTGAATCATTGTATTTTAACGATAACTACATCCACACTCTGGATTATTAGCGAAGATAACGACATCTTTAGGCTGAATGAAATCCTAAAAAGCGACTCTAATAACTTCCATTTCTGTATTACAAGATAACACAGAAACCAACAAGAATGTACACAAGTTCTTACCCAAAATGACACAGGGGAGTATATTTTCACTATATCTCCATGATACTTTAGACTCTTAGCCCGGTAGGACTAGCCCATAATTTGGAGTCATTTCAGTTTATCAACAAGTGGTGATCTCACTTGAAGTTGTAGGAATATGTTGCGCTGATTCTTCTTAAAGTGATTTGATCGATGGGATTCGCCATCCGATTTCAAATTTCTCGAATAACCGTTTCAGTAGCTTGAAAATAAAAGGATTAGATGTTTAAACTATGCATTTAGACGTTGATATTTTGTTTACATTTAATTCTTCCATTCATAACCATCCTGATTATCTGACTTTATTTTTACGTCCATATTAGTAACAAGTGGTACAGAATTTTCTCATGCACAGATGATGATGAACTCCAAATAAGTTAGTTAGGGAAAACACATTATAGACTTATAGGAAGACAGATTTGTAATCATTAGTGTATTCTAAATTGTCAATAATTTAGATTTTTATGATTGAAGAAAGTAGATTTAATTATCAATTCATCTGTTCGCATAGCTGCTTATTACTCAACTGCATTCAGATCCAGTAAATCCCTTTATATCATCCCAAAACAAATTGTTTTGATACTATTTTGTTAGAATTAAAAGAACTTTACAATTCTTTTATCAAATGTGCACCTGATATTAAATTTTAAAAGAATGTTTGACAGTAGATAAATACATCTATACTGGTCTTACATCCATGTTAAAAATACTATTTCAAGGAATGATTTGCCCAAAAATGCTTTATATTCTAACTGAACGCCAGTTGATCTTACTACAAATATATCTTAATATGAGAATGATTTTAATCCCATGTGTTCATCAATGACAAATGTTGGAAATTAACCAATTTGTGAAACATTTATCAAGTTAGAATTTCTCATGATCAAAAACTTGACTTATGCTAATACATGTTCAGAATAATCACTAAAAGAATTCAGTCTATTGCTAGATAAATAAGAACAAATTGGCCAGCTGTTCTCATGAAGATAAAAAACAGTATATAGAATGATATAATTTCACATAACAAATTAACTTAAAATCAGTCGTCAGTCAGACATTCTTTTAGAAATTTCTGTACTTCAGTGAATCCTTAGGTTTGAGGACGTAGACAGCAACCGTTATTGATGAACACTTCAATTTATTGAGTGTATTTTTTATCTTTGTAAGTGCTTCAGTTCATTCAGTCACTTCAAAGAGATAGCTACAGATCATTACAAATCGATACCGTAAGAAGGGATTCAATTAATCTTTGCTCTATTGAAAATACCGAACAAAGACTTGCGTATTGTATGTTTGCCCAAATCTTAGCAAATAGAATGCAGTTCGAACCCTTGGCATCACTGGTTGAGAGTCAGTCGCTTTGACCAATCAGCAACAACTCCATTCTAATAGCCAGATCAAGAAAATATATTGGTACTGACTGTTGATTGAAGATGTAATGGAAATCTGGGCCATGGCAGCATTCTAGAGATCGACCTCCAATTTACCGGCTCCACACTCTACCAACTGAGCAACGACACTCAACTGCAGGACAGGTCTTAATTCCACTTGAATAGCCACGGTTTCCCCCAACTGCCATGTGAGTAAATAACAATAATAATGGCTTTATTCGGAAAGCTATTTCGAGAATACTCTACAGAATTTTCAGCACGTCATATAGCATCAGTAAGACAGAGACAGTATATATGTATACATAGTAAAATCAAATAAGTAGAAATTAAATGAATAAAGGTAAGAACATTCGCTCTATCTACAACTTTCTTCAAAATCCAGAGTCAGTTTAGGTAGACAATCACATTAGCAATTAGATTCATAATATGTAAAGAGTAACACGCTCATCTTCAATTAGTTTGCTCACAAAAATAGAAGTTGATTAGTTAGTTCATCTCCAATACTTTCTTCATCATATAACGGATGAGTTAAATACGGTATCGTAGAGTTTTTATATTTTGTAGTACGTGCAGGGTCTTATGTACTTGCTCCTCGTCTTTCCAGATGACCGACACGCAGAGTGCTTCGAGTGAAGAGAATGTTGGTCACCTGATAAAACAACTCCTGTCAGATGAGTTAATATGTTTGTCCACAACTGTTTAACTAGAAGGTTTAGAGGTGAACCACTAGTTCTAACGATCTCCAAAGTTCTAGGCAATATAGCATAGTCTTTTTTTCAGCAACTGGGGAAAAAAAGGGGAGTAATAGATGAGAACAGACAATATGCAAGAGTTTATAAGATATAAGAGGAGAGACTGCGTTATACCAGATACTCTCAGCTTTCTAATACACAAAGTTAGGTTGAAATATTTCTGGGAATTAGTAAGCTATGGGAGGACCAGGAAAGGTCCGAAGAAAAACACAAAACAACATAAACCACACTTTTAACATTCTCTAATGAGCAACTACCAATAGAACAGGAATCATGACAACCAAGCAGTTTACATAGGTTATGACCACGTATAAAACTAAAGTTTATGGTCTACTTTGAGGAATTAAGCATAAGACCATTCTTGGAGGACAATCGACTGACAGCAGATGAGAAATCATTCAGTTGGGAACAATCTGCTGGTGAGGAGATAGGTATGGAAATTGTTAGATCATCAGCGTATTTAATGAAATTGATACCAGCTGAGGATGTTAAGTTATGCAGAAAGAATGAGAAAAGACATGGGAAAAGGATGGCTCCTTGGGGAACTCCAGTCACAGTAGGCAATGAGGTGCAGAGCTTCCCTCTGAGAACAGTATGTTGTTTCTTATCAGAGAAATAGGAATGCAGCCACTTGATTATCCAGGACTCAGTATTTGTCCTAGTTAGCTTGTCCAGCAAAAGAGGCCTTGGTGCAGAATCAAATGCCGAAGTATAGTCTAAAAAGGTACACCTGACATACTTGGCATTTTTATCAAGACTATAAGCAATATGGTGATATAAGAGAGTGGTGGCATCCAAAGGGCTTCTGCTTTAATATGTGAATTGATTAGGGTCTCCGAAGCTTTCAGTGAGAGCATGAGCATAAATATTATTAGCCTCTCCACTATTTTTAAGAACAGAGAGGTAACTCCAATCAGACGGAATTTTGTACATGCGCCTGGAGTCCTAGACTTAGGTAACGAGAGTATCTTGATATCTTTCCAGGCAGCTGGTAAGGTGTTTTCTAAAAACGATCTGTTGAACATGTTAGCCAATGGACGGCATTAAACATCAGCACACTCCGCGAATACGAAGCTTGAAATACCGTTCGGACCTGAACTGTGACAAGATTTCAGGGATTTGAGACACTTGAAAACATCTTTTGCAGTGAACTCTGGACAACGTTCTTTATTGGACATAAGTAAACAAAGTGGGTTGACGTACAAACAATTTGTTCAAGGCACAGACGTCGACATGTGCTTCTTTGCTTAGGTGTTTACTACCAGTGAGGTCTTTAAAAAGTTTCCGAATCCTGGAAGAGCCTTTGCGTGGCAAACGTTTCTGGTTGTATAGTAGAATCTGACGTTTAATTTCCAACCTAATTAAAACGTCCAATCGACGAGCACCAGCATTATCACTTACTTTACATAGTCTTTCTGTTTCTTTTCTTAGTTTTTTAAGCTGGGGAGAAGATATACGATCGGTGCGCAGAAAAAGCTCTTCACTGGAGCAGCATATATCCAGGCAGAACTTGGGATAGCATGTCACACCATCAATAGTATCGTTTAAAACATCGTTGTCAAATATATTCCAGTCTGTACATTGCAGCATTTCTCTTAGATTAAGTATGTTGGGGTGTGACTAGTTTCTATGTACAATCATCTTATATGTGAAGGCTGTTTTGTGTAATTTGCCATTTATGTTGGGGAAAACACGTATAATGATACGAGCTGAGCGGTAGGGATCTGTTTCGAGTTTCATATATATCAGTATCATTGACGAATACCAAGTCTAGTGTTGCATCCTAATATGTTGTGAAGTTAATAAGGTTTTGATGACCAAGAGTTTTGAGAAAGCTTTGGTCATAAGGGATTGAAATCACTACATATTATCGACTGAACCACAGAGTATAGGTGATGCGAATTCCGTGGATATATCAGAGAAACTGCAACCAGGCGTCACATAAATATTTGTTATATAAATAAAGCAATATTTGTTCAAATGTTTTGGACGGCATTTAACAGTGATGCGATCTATGTAGTTATTTCAGAATTTGAAGCATATGTAACTCGAAACGCACAAATGTCTATTGATGAAGGTAGCTAAACCACCACCACTTTTCTTAGTAGAGCTACACCGATCTTGACGGAGAACTTTGAAATCATAAAAAGAAATCAAATTGCCATCATAAAGTTCATGTAACCAAGTTTCTTGTAGTGTTATTACTCCAGTACTACGACACACATTGGAGGATATAAGATTGTGAGTAATCTACTTTTCCTGCAGATCGTGCTTCTAATTTCAGGCAGAGTCATTTAAGATAAGGTTATTCGCTTCCAATCACGTTGCCACCCGCCGTGTTTTTCCCCTATAATTTGATATTGGCATCGCAGAAGGTCTTAAGCTTTTTAAAAATGTGCGTGAATACATATAATGCGATCAGAGGACATAATCGAATGATTAAAACGAACAAATCTGTAGAAAAACTTGATGCAGTATGACATGGAAAATTTAGTAGCCCAGATATTCAAGTTCATGATGAAGCTAGGATCTCATAGTTCAGCAGGTACAGCCCACGGTCGGGAACCCGGTCAAAAGTTCGAGTCCTGTCGCGACCCAGTTTCTCACTTCACCTTTAATCACCATCCTGTATCAATACAAGTGCGCCAAACCACGGCTATTTCAGATAATCAAACTGATAATATATATTAAGGTAAAACAATACTGAGAAGTGTTAAGGTGGAGAAAAAGGCAGCCTTAATTTTATGAGTAAATATTTATTGATTGCCTGCTAAATTCCACCTCACCCGTGAATGAAAGTTCGTTATTTGGATGTCACATGACAATTATTTTACCTTGGTCTAATTTTTGACAAAAATAATGGCCTTAGCCACTGATCCCTGTTTCTACTGTTCTTGAAACTGGATAGTATTGGAGATATGTATAATCCTTCAGCTTGATCAACCATCTTGAGGAAATATTATTGAATTCGAAAGCCAATTGTCTAGTTCAGCCACTAAATTCAGTGAATTTGTGACTAGACATAAAGTAAATATGATCAACACACTTTCAATTCACGATTAAAAAAGCATGCCGTAAGTCCTACTTTTGCATTACTGAACAGAATAACTATCAAATTACAACTGAATTTAGCAACAACAAATTTGGCCACACTATAATGTCACTCATACGTAGCTGACTAAACCAATATAACTTTGTTCTCTAGACGAAGTATAAAATCCTTGGCAAAAGAATAAATCGATTTGTACAATATTATTTACACATATGTATAACTGTACACACGATGAGATAAATGCATATTACAAAAGTACTGTGATGCAAGATAAGGTTTTATCTGTGAGATTGCTAAAAAAAAACAATTATTTAAGCAATGGCCACCCATACAACCATAATACTATATTGATAATCAAATCATTAAGGCAAAAGTATTCATGATGGATTATTGCCAAAGTTCATTCAGTTATCATTCGATGCAGATATTGTAGTTGGTCCAATTGCTTCTAATGGACGAATCTTCTTGAGGCGACCACCTCGAGACTGCAAAATAAATACAAAATAATTCCAGACTCTGAATGCAATTTTCAACTTTTAATCAACAGGTACTTCGTAGGAATATAACTTAAATCCTAAAATGACATGAGTCAAACCAAAGAAAAACTATTGAACAACTAACTCATTGCCATTTGAGAGTTCATCAGACGCATTCTCTTCAGCCTTTTCCCATCAATGTTGAAATTTGTCAACAATCAAATCCCAACCAAGTGATTCATTTTAAAAATTCATCTGGTTAGGCATTTAAGTGAATTCCAGACGCAACCCATAAGACGTCGATGGTATGCACAATATCTTCAGCTTTTCATTAGAAGTTCAAATAATAGTCCTTAAACAGATAAGCTAATTTCATATCAACAAAATTTCTCGGGAGACCACATAGAGAAATGGTGAACCAACAATTTATAGACCTAATTTTCAACTTATTGATAAGGAATGTGAACCACAGTCCTACCTATCAATTTTTGGACACTACAGTATTGTTACAGAAGTTCATATGATGTAAACAAATAAATGAATCTTTGATTATCACTATGAAGTGAACACAAAGAATTGGATTGATAAAATAATAAGAAAAAACAAAGAAGAGATGACAAACGTAGGTGTAGAAACAACTGATGAATTCAAGTTTTAGCAAAAACGATTACGAATATATGGAGAAACTAGAATTGAAAATATCATAAATAGTCGTTGAACTGTCAGACAGAGCTTTTACGTTCGACACAAAAATTCTAAATATAGTGCATAATATGATTTATCAGAAATACTAAAACAATAATTCAATGAAATACCCCCATTGTTTTAGCTGAGAATTTGAATAAAAACGAATCAAATAGCATTTAAATTGCAGTATAAACAAGCACAACCAGAAATAACCGTCATCTTCACTGTAACAGTAAATAATTTAAATCATATCTCGTTTTAAGCGCAAGAGGCGAACGTCTTGGTGAAATAAACGTACATCGTCACAAGACATAAGTTAAAAGGATTCGAATTTGCATAATGATTGTTAAAAGATGAATAGCTGAATGAATTTATGAGACTAAAATAAACTCTACAAAATGCTGTCCAGGTAGAATAAAACGACACTCCACTGATAACATACCTCCTGAGTAAGTCAGGTGTCTTGCTACAGATAGTTGGTTAGAAGCAATCGGGAGGTACCCTTAGAACTAGATTTCGTGCATCTTGACACTCGTCACCACAGTGACTGCAACCTCGAGGGAACTGATGTCCCCTCACTACAGTTATTTCATAGAATGTCCCAACTATGCCTATAATCCCAGTGTTAAAAAACATTGACATATTAAACTTAACAATTGATGGTCGTATTTTAGAATTCCATTGACATTTTTTGCTAGATTTGTATGTATCTTCCAATGAAGTACTCAAAGATATACAACGATAGTTGCTCAGATATCCAGTAGACTTGTAATTTCCAACAAAAAAGCTCGAAATTATGTACGCCTTTGTGCTAAGATAAAAGTTACATGAAAAAATTCTCTAAAAAGGTTGCATACAACTAGCTTTCTTGAACAATTTAAGAAAAGTAAGAACAAACTTTGTGGAATACAATGACTTTATGGTATTTCTCAGCCTTCTTTTCCAATTGTATGCGACCTATAAGAATTCTAAGACATATAGAAAAATCCAATCTACATAACATAATATTGTTTGAGAGAAAGATAGTCCATTGATGAAAACTGATGAGAGAAAGGAAGTTTGAATACAATAAATTATCAAAATCAAAGTTACTAAGTGTTTGGATTGTCATCCTGCTGCTTTCAACAAATCGAAGAATGAAACAGAAAAGGATGTTTAATTGCATATTGATAAGTTCATATTGTAAATGTCAGTCTAAAAACTGAACGTGGGTTTAGGCTAAATCCGTTTATGTAGGATATTAGGATGGTGGAAACAAAGTAAGAAATGATGTTAAAACCAGTTGTGGAAGGTGGATGAAAATATAACTGTGGAGATTTAGAAAGGTTTATTCTAAATAACAAAACAAGCCAATGGATACTATAGAACTTAGAGGCTATCAACTGCCTTTTTTTGTATATAAAAGTTATTCAGATAGCAACTGATTTTGCGAACATATATAAATGGCATTAATTTGTTTATTTGTTAATTATTTTGAATTTACTCGGGATCTGAACGTTATATCCTATATCAACTAAATGTTTGGCGATGGAGTTTTTACGATAATTATGGCAATGTATGCTCAACTTATTTAGAATGAGTTAATGAACCCGTGTCGCCTTTATTATTTCGATGTCCACCGTCTGACAATATAAAAATGCTATACGTCTCATTTTAATAATTTATTTCATTCAAAATTCCTTAATCTGAATCATCTCTCTCATTAATGGAATATCCTTTTCCCATTCATTATGGCATGTAGATTGTATTTCTTCAAACGTTTTTTTTCGAAATTTTACAACTAGTACGCGATTGAAAATAGGGCTATGAAACTTGCAGTTCTTGCTTTAAACGAATATAAAAGAAGGTGAAAAACTTACTTGTTCTGCCCAAGCAGCTTGACGTTTCCTTTCAAGTAAGTCTGAATCAACAGTAATAATATCTATTGTTTTTTGAACAGATACACTTGACTCCACAGAGTTAACAATTCCTGACGGTTGTCCAGTTACAGGTAATTCAGTATCCATGCTTGAAGTATTTCCACATAGATTGACCGTTGAAGGCGTCCCTTTAACAGTTGAAGAGACTAGTAAACGATTAGCTGCTTGACTTTTAGATGGGCGACCCCGCTGAGGTTGTAATCGTTTGCGTACCTGAAGTCTGAATGAACAAACACATGAGCTATATACATATTTTATGCTTATTTATGAAGATTCTATCTAGTGGGAAACTAACGAAGATTGAATTCATTATTAAGTATTTAGTAAGGTTAATGAGTGAGTGAATTTCAGAATAAACTAGAGAGAAGTATATCAAAAAGAAGATTAAAAATATAACATCGAAGTCGTTATGCAACGGCAATTTAACTGATAACTGCGAATGTACTTTCAAACTGTAACTGTGTGAATACATTTCGTATATGCCTATGAGTTCCAACGCCTAACAATAATACGGTGAGACATTTGCAACCTTTTCTTCATAAGATATTCCTTTCGATTAGCAGTTAACTCCTTTATGGAAATGAGTAGCATGTTCAGAATACAGTTTGGCATATAACCTTCAATCCCCACTCTGCATCAATAATACCAGTCTGCCAAAACACAGCTATCTCAGAGAGTCTCTTTGGTAAAATTGCAAATAATTCATACAATAAAGATATTGACGCTAGAATATGAAGAATATATTTTGCAGTCAACGATTGCTACTGTGGAATCGTTAAGGCATAGGTAAATAGACAGACAGACAAAATCAACGTAGAACCTCCCTCGGAAGTGCATTGGTTTAAGTTGCCACACTCCACAGTAGCATAGTAACAAAAAGTGAATAAAAAATGATATCAAAGTAAGCGAAGGTGTATGGGAAGGAAAAGAATTCAAAAATGAAGGTTAGTCAAAAAATTTAAGCTTTAGAAAACATCAAACAGTGAATACATCTGTGTCATTGTGATCGATTTTCAACCGTGTCAAAAAGGGTTGCCAACCACTGATCCCTATCATCACGCGGATCCCAGCCAGGCAGTCCACAGCTCCTGACACAGCTCATAACAACAGTCAGAGACTTCAAGCAATGGTGCAAAGGTTTGGCCTGGCCATCCTGATAGGTTTTCCAAAAGAATCCAACTCTATATAGCATTGCACAGGTCAATGTAGGCTGTGGTTCGGCATGTACAACATATTTCCAGGTCAGTCGCTGAAGCTTTACAACCTCATCAACCTACTTTCCTTTTTTGCCTAGTACCCTTCGCCTAACTTCTACATTGCTAGCATGGTGATTTCGCTATACGCAAGAAATGCTATGAAGACACCTATAGTCAAAACACGGAGTGTCTTCATCTCTCATACTTTTAGACGCCATGTCTTACAGTCGCATAACAAGACGGAATGGAATGTAGTGCTATATACTCCTCCTTGAACAGGTAGTTGGATAGTTCACCAGTCAGAGCTATAGATGACGCAAGTGGACAAATGCCAAACCAGCCTTCTGTATCCGTATAGTCAAATAAGTAGCATATCAGATAAAAGCTTGAAAGAATGATTATAAAATAAACTGAGTTTCGTAAAATAAATGTAGTAATTTATTAAAATAACTATGACTACATTTTACAGCTTTATTAGATCCGTTGTAAGAGAAGTTACAGTGAAGTGAAAATTATACTAAGGAATATTGAAAACAACCAACATTTCCCTGTATCCAGAGGCATAGCTTATGAATTCGAATAATATGTGTTTGTAAGTGCCACTATCCATAATCGTGAAGACATTATCACACCCGTAGATTAACCCGATACTCGGATATATTACGGGTAAAATCATACAAGTGAATAACCGAACCAAATTCTGTTACGTAAAATAGGATTGCAATATAGTCACAGAGCTAAGAGATTCACCATCACGGTGTACCTTATACCCACAGTATGGTTTTGGGTGGCTGGAGACAACAAAGACCTTATAGCTCAGTGGTAATCTTTTTAGCTACACCACTGAACGGTTTATGTTTGAATCTCCAGTGCGATTTCGATCCCTTCCAGTAGGCTACATACACCATGCTGATGAGTGTTAACGAGAAAGAAAACTAAATTTGTTATCTCATAGTCGTTAGATATCAAATATATCCACTTGCCAATATTAATACTACTGCTCTCACCATAATACAATGCAGTATTTCTGAAATGAGCGTTTACTGAATAGCAATACGACTAAAAACACTTCAAGCTCATCAATACAAAATTAAAGAATAATATAATTTCAAGGTAGTAATATAATTTAATTTTGAAGTTTGTGGGGATTTATTAATTGATTTCAGGTTAGTATTCATCAACTGGAGAAAAACTGGAAACCTGGGGACACTGAACAGTTGTTTCGTCCTAGTTTAGGACTCTTTCATAGTGCGCACCCATGACCTCGTTAGGGATCTAACCCAGGACCTACATGTTCCGCGGCCAGCACGTTACTGGGTCAAAATCCAACGGTCGATATTTCCTACGTCTGTCAGGTGACTGTCTTCGAGAGGCGATTCCCGAAGTTACTATGAGCAGCCAAGATCAATGGGGCCAAATCAAGTCGAGCATAAGGACACCTCAACGATAGCATTGGATGGAGATCGCACTATACTGAGGACTGAAAGAAGTACGAGATATGAACGATCAGGTTTCGACCTAGCAGCTCAGTGGTACCATGCTGGCTGCGGGACCTGATAATCCAGGATTTGACCACTGGCGGGGTTGTGGGTGCGCACCGCTGAATAGTCCCATACTAGAACAAAACAGCTGCCCAGTACTGTTTCCAACGTTTCTCCAACTGATGTCAGATAACGATGAATACCAAACCTGAGAAGTAATATAATTAACACCGATATTTCGGTATTGATGAATAATTGAAACAAAAATAAAACATGATACAACACAATGGAAGAAAATCACGGAACAAATCAGTGCAAATCTAATGGTTAATATCTATAAGTAAATAACGAGTGAATTTATTCATCACCCCTATTTCATCAGTCACATCAGTTTTGAACACCATTTAGACGCTCTAGGCAAAACTTGTATACAACTTTTAAGATACTTAATGAGGAAAAAATACAGCTTGCTCCAGAAATCACACACTGAAGTTTATAGAGTCGTGAACGTTTAAAGTTGTTTGTCGCTTAGTATGAACAGTAAATTTCTTAGGCATGTCATCCATTGCAGACAAACGTCTTCACTAACTGGTCAATAAGTTTAATCTGAAACAGTCATTACTCGCTAGCCGACGAGATATGCATCAAAGTTAGGAATCATCCATTACTGTCATTTATTTTAAAAACCCATATGTTACAGGGGCATACTAAATGAAACAGTGAATTTTTGAGTTTTAAGATGATATTTCATGAGTATACAGTTTATGCTGACTACATTAGATATTGTATAAGTTTGCAAATATCACTTAAGCCTAAAAAAAATGATTAACCCCCCCCCCTTCCTCTCCAAACACACACAAAACTACCTCAAAATTAAAACTCCCATTAACTTCAAAATACATTACTGTATAGTGCTCATTAGTGACATGTTTCCAGATGGATATCACGAGGTTCTAATGATAATGGGCGACGTGTGGGGTCAACCAGTTGGAAAAGAAGTGGATGGCAACTGAAGAACTTCGGTGATACCCATGCTATATCGAGAATTGACAGAAGTAGGGAACTGTAAACCATTTATCTCTGACCAAGTGGTTGAATGGTTAACGCATTCGCCCGGAAACCCGAAGGTCCTGAATGCGACACCTAGCCCAGTTGTGGGTGCGTACTGCTGATAAGTAGGATGAATCAGCTTTCCAGTGCTCCCAGATTTTCAGTGGTTCTCCAGATGATGTCAGTCTGGGATGAATAATACCTCAAAATTAAAATCCTGTTTAACCTAAAAATGGTTAACTCACCGTTTTACCAATTCATCATCATCAAGTAATAAAGAAACCATATCAGATGAAGTTATGTGATCTGTTGCACCTGATCGGCTTGCAACATTAGGCAATAGATTACCTAATTCTCCTTGACCTGAATGAATCACCATTTGTTGCATAGCACGCTTCTCTTCTGCACGACGAAGCATACGACCTTCTACTGTATTTTTACAAATAAGTCTGTAGACTGTAACCTAAAGCATTACGAAGTAAAGCACAGAGATATACAAAGGTGCCAAATGAAGCACTTCAGTTATACTCAGATACTTCATCAACAATTTTTTTAAAAAAGAAATTTATCCGTAAGGTAATTTATATTAGAATAAAATGACGCAGAAGGTCATGAATACTGGGTAGGGGCTTAGTCACAGTTTATAGATCAGAAGTGTACAGTACAGAATTTAAAACATCGAAAGTCATTTGACGACGTTTACTGATGTCGTGAGGTTGGAAAACTGATAGCTGACACCGAAAAAGATTTTTAGACATCGTTAATGTCCCTTTATTCTATTGAAAAGTAATTTATGTATTAATTCATATTTGCAGATGGATGAATGTCCTGCAAAATACTAATCACTCTTTATATGAACTTATTCTTTTTTCAAATCACTTTGTGTAAGTTACTCCCTCTTCTACGAAAACTAACTTCTAGCCAAACTACATGTAGCACAGAAACAGTGCACAATCTCAAGAAAGTTAAGAATTGGAATCACTGAATAACAGACGGCTGGAAATCTACATACCAGTCATAATTTGAACCTTTCAAGAGGAAAGGAAAAACAATGAAAAAGAAACACAATGTCATCTCTTTAAAGCAGGTATGCGTAAGATGGAGCTGAAATAGTACCAGCTGTAAGAGGAAGTATAAAAGAAGCTGCATACAGGACACTTTTTATGTCTACCCATATTTCAAACAGTGTAAGGTGTTTAGATATAATACACCAATCATAACTTTGTTTTTCACTTTGAAGGAATGAAGAAAAATATCGAAGTCACTGTGATTCAAATATAACAAAAACTACAGGTTGAAGGGAAAAATTGAGTCGGAATGGATATCTGATAGATTCTATGTGAACGGCCCAATCTTTAATAACGGAGAGCATAAATGCATTGGGGATGCTGCATCCCTGAAAGTGAACGTTTTATTTTCATAAATTTACTTTATAGGAGATTAGAATTGTCTTTTTCGCTCCATTTCCCGCGGCCTTATGTGTATCGCTCATCTTTACCGCTTTTAATAACGATATTTCCCTATCCGTTAGTCTTGCACTTCTAACACGCTAAGTTGTCTGTTTGCCCCAGACGTTCATATTCCATATAAACGCAATAGTTGCACCTCTGGATTTATACTTCCAATTCAAGTCAACTCTCTTCGGTCAAATATTATCTTCTTACTTGGGTTAGCTGAGAGTTGTAGAGTATTGTATCATTGATCCTGTAGCTAGATTACGCAACCCTTCCCAACTAATCGTATCTCAGAATTTCAACAAAATCACTGAGATATGACCTGTTACTCAAAGTATTGTATTATGCCTTGCCAATAAAATATTTGATCGGTCAACATTCAGGACTAGGCAACGTGAGATTGGTTGCTCTTGAGTAGTCAATCAATGTGTGTAATCCAGTCCTACGGGAGGTGACTCGCAACCCGAATGGTTCAGTGATAACATCGCTGACTGTAACAATGGGTGATACGGGTTCAAATCTCGGAGGGAACATAACTTCCCTAGAGATTCCAGATATGCCTCGCTGACGAGTATCAGTAAGCACACAATCTACCTCCGGGGCTTCCTAACGATCGCCTCTAGCTAACTGATATCCATTAAAATATTCGAAACCTGATATTCAGGAAATATATAAACCAAGTTACATTTTTACTTTTTTTCGAAGACAATTTCATTGACAGAAAAATAAACAAACGATATCAATTTATTTTTAGGGATTTAGGAGCAAAAACATAGTTCCGTTTGCTACATAAACGCAAATATCAAACCGCTTGACTCTCAATAATGAATAAACTTGCTTCCAGTCACGATATCACAATAACATGGTTAGCCGAGGTTTAAAGTGTTAAGAAAAGATTGCTATTCCTTGGCGGTTACGAATAACTTACTGAGTAAGAGATACTGATATGCATCTTCAAGCTATGACTTATTACTTAAGGAATTCGACTTTCGGTTATTGAGTTGGGTTAAAATAACACTTCATATGTTGAAATAGAAACGGTCACCGAACACAGAAGATAAGATGCATAGTTCCCTGAACAAACTTTTAAGTTGTTGAATTAAGTAGTGACTGAAGCATATGGACATTATCAATTCATAAATAAATATAAGCAAAGAAAATAAACATACCGGCTTTGTTTGACCTAACCTATGTGCTCGATCCATTGCCTGTTGGTCGACAGTTGGATTCCAATCAGAATCATAAAATATAACCGTGTCAGCTGCGGTCAAATTAATACCAAGACCACCAGCACGAGTTGACAATAAGAAAACAAACCAACGTGGATTAGTCTGCCACTGGGAAACCATATCACGACGATCAGATAGACGTGATGAACCATCGAGACGTAGATATGCATGCTTACGATATAACATGAACTCCTGAAACAAAAAAGACATTTGATCTCTAGATATAAATAATAATAATAATAATAATAATAATAATAATAATAATAATAATAATAATAATAATAATAATAGCTCTATTCAAGACATTATGGAATTCTCAATAGGCAATATTTTAAAAAATTCACTTCCAAAACGATTTCAAACAAAATGATTATTGCATCTGAATGATGTTTATAACAGCATTAAAGGCAATAATGTGGAGCGACCGGGTGGTGTTGGATTAACATCTGGTGTTTAGATATCCGAAGAATGGAAATATGTATTTTTGTTCATTAAAAAGTCCATTTCAAGCTAACATAGCATTTTCATTTGGTTTTGTTATTAATTCGAAAAACGGTGAATCCAAATGATTTTAAAAATCCTCAAGTGTATGCGATGCATTCATAAAACATATTTGAAAGATTAAAATGAAATGAAAGGGAAGAATTTAATATAATATTTCCGATGGAAAATTTTACTGGTAGCCCAAGGTTCAAGTAGACGGCCGAACAGGTTTTGTTTTGACTTCATAACAATAGTAATAACTTATATATTTATTCAAATACAAAATAAGTTTCATAAATGTTAGTCATGTAGGTGGAACGATATAACTATGAATGAATATTGCGTAGGACATGTTCCATTTGCAGTACAAGTAAATCCTTTTAGCATAGATGAACAAGTGACTGACCGTATATATCATGTTAGGTTTAATTAAGTAAATGAATTCGTCATCAAGAGGCAACTAATCATATGTAATAGAACTAGTGTTTACCTTGACAGCTAATAGCCACACATGAATCGAGGTGTTGTTGAGTGAAGTGAGAAATACGTGGATACAGGAATATACATCAAGAATAACAGTACTATTTTAAATCTTGTTGAAAAATTAGGATACTTTCCGGAAAATTGGAAATTTTCGATAACGTCAGTTTAAGAAATCGAACCTCTGAGAAATTTTAAATCTAACTCTATAACTCTCTTAATGGTTAGTCCCTGAGGTCACCTAGTCATCATCAGTATGGAGTGGCAACAGACAGATTCAGTTTTTCAGCTTCGTCTCGTTTTCATCTGCTAACAGCTTGGTTAGGAATCAGATTTGAGTGTCCAGTGATTGATTTGAATGTAACATGACAAACCATATTGTTCTGTCTTGGTTGTGTTGTGTTCTCTTAGCTGGGGTTTTTATTAGAGGATTCAGTTGCTTGCCCTGACGAACTAAATCATTCACGGATAGACATTGGCACTTCACTTCAGATTGAAGTTAATGCTGATAGTATCATGTAGAAAGACGATGAAAGCTCCACTATTAAAAACCCAGCTAAGAGAACACAACACAACCAGGATAGAACTATACGGTTTGACAGGTTGAATTCAAATCAATCCTGAGCAAAAAATATTCCCCACCACTGTTCATATTATTCTTTCAAGTCAGAATTATCAATCATTCAATGTCAACATAGGGTTAGAGACTAATCTGTAACGGTTCAAGTTGCCACGCCTGATACAACACATCAAACGAAAAAGTAGTAAGGTGAAAAACAAATAAAAATTGCTCAAAAGAAGAAAGCAGTAAAAGAAAGGAAGGAGCAATGAGAAAATGCTGAATCCAGGATAGCGCGTAAGAAGAAGATAAAGTGTGGATACACCTGTGTCACTGAAGTTGATTTTGAGCCAGATCACCTACAGTTTCTAACCAATGGTTTCTGTTGTAAAACGGACCCTAACCGGTTAGCCTACATAGCTCCATAGTGCTTAAACACACTGTCAAAGACTTAATGCACTGATGCAAATGGACGAATGTCATGTCATGATGAATACCATGTTTTAGTCTGGCTGCCACTAGCCTTTTTCCAGCCAGAATATATTTCATCCAACATTATCAGATGAGAAAGATAGTGACTAGGCATGCATACAACATGTCCCAACCAACTCAGTCGATTAAGGTTCACAACCATATCAACTGGCTTTCCCCCCTCCCTAAAAACTTGCGCCCGTCTTCGACGTTAGAGACACGGTGACACCACAACACAGCCAATGCTACGTAAATGGTGGTCAAATAACTGTAGCCTTTCTCATGTCCCGTACCTTTAATAGCCATGTTTCACAGCCAGGTAGAAGAACGGAGCGAACTACAACATAGTACACTCGAACTTTAATAAACAATCAAATATCACGGCGACGTCAACATATAATTGACGCTGAAATGTGATAGAACCGTTGAGTTAACAATGAGCAGACTTGGTGTGAAGTATGAAATAAGAAGTACAAATCGGTTAGTGACATTATGAAATGTAATCGACTAAGGCGAGTGAAAAACGCTATACATTGCTGAGTCATTGTGTTTACTGGCGTGCAATGTAAGCTGGAGTAACATTCGACTTAAAAAAGTAAGCATGAGGAATCATTTGTCGCACAACCTCCACAAATTCAGTAGCTGTTGATACGGGTCGTATAAAGATATGCATGGCATCTAGTTCGGATCCGCGAGATGACAAAAATAGGTGATCATAAACTTTAGGCGGTTTGATTTAAAAGTTGTCACAGTAATGTAAAGGAATCAACGCTTTATTTTCACCTAAATTTCTAAAATCTTAACTGTATTCCCTTTTTGTTTCCTCATAATTTGGTATGATAACCTGTTGTAACTATTGATATTATTGCCATTTCTTTTTCTCCCTCTGACTGACTTCGATACTTCAATATGTTGGCTGCTTGAAGAGATATGCCACTGTGCCAGTTTATGCCTGATTGACTTTTATCAATTGTAAGTTCTGAAAACCAACCTAGCCTAGTTTAGTAGCCGGCCCTAAGCCCGGATAAAGGGGGAAGGTTGGGCGTAGGGATAGCAACCCTACCCCATAAAACAAATTCAATCGCTAAAGAAAGTTCAAAAGCACAGACAAAATATAAAACATAAAATAGACTTATTCCTCGTTGGAATCGGAGAGACGAAATAACATTGGTTGATGAAAGCCTTCGGGAAGCCAACTGGCCAATGTGTCTTTCTCTCTCTCTCTCTTGATGAAAGCGAAAGTAAACATAGGAACATGGAATGTCTGCACTATGTTTGAACCCAGCAAGGCAGCCCAGATTGCAAACGAGACGAAGAGGTATCATATTAAAGTGCTTGGAATTTGCAAAAGCAGATGGAATGGAAGTGGACTCTCCAAACTGTCAACTGGAGAATCAATAATCTACTCCAGTATTGTCACCCACACGACAACCACGAGCACAGCACACTGAGTTTTCCAGTGGCTATCATGATGTCCACAACACCATCGAAGGCTCTCCCTCATGCAGTGGGAACCAATCTCCTCCACGACCATCACAGCAGGGTTCAACTCAAATGGAACGAAAGTCACAATCATACAATGCTACACACCTACAAATAATGCAGAGCAAGAGAAACAGGAGGAATTCTATAGACAACTGCAATCAACACTGGACAAGATCTCAGTTGGCGATATCAAAATTCATTCTAATAGGCGACATGAATGCCAAACTGGGAGCAGACAACACAGGAAGAGAACTAACCATCGGTCGAGGAGCGCTCGGTGAGGTGATGAACGAGAATGGAGAATTGTTTGCAGATTTCTGTGCATTCAACGATTTAGTGATTGCAACCAGTGAGTACGAACGGAAAGGATATTCACAAAACGACATGAATTTGAAGTCACCAGACACCAGGACACACTAAAAACCAGATCGACTTCATCTCAATCTCAAGGAAGTCGAGACGCAGTCTACTTGACACAAGGTCAAGAAGAGGAGCAGATGTAGGTTCAGACCACTATCTAGTGCAAGGATCCTTCCAAATCAAGTTGAAAACCTTCACAGAAGTTGCTGATAGACCACAGTCCAAGTTCAACACTCGGAAACTGAAGGATGAAACTACACAGAAAATCTTCACGGCAGCCATCAAGACAAAATGGGAGACATCGAGGAACATTCCTGAAGAAACTTGTGTGGGAGAACACTGGAACTCTTTGAAAGCTATGTAGAAAGAAACCCGCATAACCGTATTAGGAAGGAAGGAGAAAGAAGGCAAGGAATGAATCTCGACGGACACATAGAAGCTGATAGAGGAGAGAAAGATGGTGAAGCAGAAGATAAACCAGTACAAGGGTGAATAACGAAAAGAGGAACTGAACACAACCTACATAATACTACAATGGAAAAAGAAGTGAAGAGTGCACCCAAAGATAAAAAACACTTCTAGGACACACTGGCAAGTGAAGCAGAACAGGATACAAGTAGGAGAGACCTGACAACATTATATCAAATAAACGGGTTACTTACTATATGAGCAGAAATCAAGGCAGATGAAACTAATCAAAAAAAGTGAAGGAAACCCGGCTACTAAAGCGGAAAAACAAAGGAAACGATGGACTGACCACTTCAAAAAAACTCTTGAATCAACTACTACCACCATCACCCCCTGCAGCTCAACCAGAAATACCACCAGCAGCCCGACCATAAAACCATCCGTTCACACAAACCATCCCACAAAAGCGGAAGTGAAGTCCTGAACGCCATTAAGCTGCTGAAATCCGGGAAAGCAGCAGGAATTCATTTAGAGGAACTGAAAACAGATGAAGAAACATCAGCGGACATGCTCACACCACTACTACAGAAGGTGCAGAAGGATGGAAAAGTACCTGCTGATTGAATGGAAGAAGTGCTACCTTGTCAAACTCCCAAAGAACTTAAGTGACCCAAGTGTTTGCAAGAACTGGCGAGGAATCATGCTGCTGTCCACCCAAAGCAAGCAAAATATTAAGCGGTATCATAATCGAGAGACTAAACAATCCTCTGGATTCAAAATTATGACCGGGACAGACTGGCCGGTTGGCTTCAGGAAGAACAAATCATGTGCGGATCAAATTGAAAAGCAACACTACACATCATAGAACAGAGTATAGAATAGCAGTCAACTGCCTACCTCAACTTCGTCGACTTTGAAAAAGCCTTCGACAGTGCTGACTCAACAGTACAGTTTTAGTGCCACAAACCTTTATTAACCTCATTCAACAGAGGCTATATGCTATGCTACATGCCAAGTGATTCACAGTGGAAAGCTCAGTGACGCCTTTGAAGTGAAAATAGGAGTTAGACAAGGCTGCCGCCCACTATCAACGATGATCTTCCTAATTATGGTCAACTAGACTGGATCATGTAACAAACTGTGAGGGGGGAGAAGATGGACATACGCTGACCCGACCGATGAAAAGACCCTAGAAGATTTGGATTTCACCGATGATCATTTATGTCTGATGTCTTGTTGCACAAACTCGAAGATCTACAGGCGAAAATTAACAAGTTGATAGAAGAGGTGACGCAGGGCAACGAAAACGGGACTTCAACTGAATGAATAGAAGACGGAGGTGACGAAGATAGCCAACCAACAACAGGCAACAATCACCATTAACGGGAGAAACCTAAAGGAAGTGTTCTCTCACCTACGCCTACCTAGGCAGCATCGTTTCAACTACAGGCGGCACAGACGAGGATGTCAAAACCAGGATCGGAAAAGCAAGACAAGATTTCATTAATCTGAAATCAGTGTGGAGATCTATTGCACTGCACTCAGCACAAAGAATAAGATCCGAATTCTCAACACCAAGTCCTTTTGTATGTGCTGATTCAGAAACTTAGTGCGTTACGAAAATCACTTCCAACAAACTACAGACATTCATCAACAGCTGCCTCCTACGCTCACTCGATACTGGAGATGAGATCAGATGGTCAGAACTAAAAGAATAAGCAACAAGGAACTCACTCCTGCTGGCAACGAACCAACCAATAACCTATCGCCCAACAAATATGAATAAGAAAGTAGAGTTGGATTGGGCATACACTGGGAAAGCTGACTAGGGACATCACGCGCCAGGCCAGGTCGTCGAGTGGAATCCAAAGGGGAAACGACGAGTTGGGCGTCATTGGCAAGGGTGACATGGAGGAGATCATGTTAGGAAGAAATGAAAGCTTGAGGGCAGTCGTGTCGCCAGGTTTAAAAGACTGCAGAGAAAAGAGTGAAATGGAGACGTGCTACTGAAGCTCTAAGTTTCACTACGAACCCAAGGGACAAATAATAATAATGTTATGAAAACCACATTCAAAAATAAACATACATCTTGACTACGTATATTCCAAAACAAGCCAATCAGTCGAAATCAACATGGGATCTGGCAGCATTGCGTAATAGTTCAGAAATAACATTGCAAAATACATCAAAAAAAAAGTAAAAATCAAAACTAACCTCTAATATATCAATCATACGTGTCATTTGTGAATAGATTAATACACGGTGTCCATTCAATTTTAATTCAGTGAGTAGGTTATCCAAAGCAGTTAATTTACCCGAATCTGAAATACGTGTAGCACGTGAAACTAGCTCTAAACTTCTAGGTAACGGTAAGGCTAAATTAATTTCTCGTAATTTTAAGTTGACATCAGGAGATTGTGGTATTGATTGAACATGAGATGTATCAAAATTGAAAGTATTTATGAATGGAGTGAGTGGAGTAATTAATACCTGGAGAGGAATAGTTGAGAAAAAGCAAATTAACGGATGACAGTAAATAAGAATACAGATTCGACTATTTCTTGTACTACTAGTCTACGTGAAATTACGAACCAAATCCAATATAACACTAGTTTGGGAAATACTCATAATGCATAGGGATGACAATTGACAGACAGAACCTAAGATAGAAGTTCATCGGTTCAAGTTGCCACACTTTGCAAGGAACAGGTGGATAAAAAAAGTGACATCAAGGTAGACAAAGTTGTTTGACAGAATAAATAATCTGAAAATAAAGGTTACCACGAATATTCTAGCTTTAGAAGGTGTCAACGAGTGAATGCATCTGCACCATTGTAACGGGTTTCCAGCCACTTCACCAAGAGTCCTCAACCACTCACTCCTTTCGTCTCGAGGACTTCCAGTCGGACAGTCTGCATCTCCCAATACAGACCAAATTAACAGTAAGAGACTTCATTGACTGATACCACGCTTTGGTATGGCCACCCTGAACTCTCTTCCAACTTAATCCAACTTCTCTTAGCACGACATATCGAGGTAGGCGGTGGCTCGGCATGCATAGTATATGTTCAAGCCATATCAGTCGACTGACGTTCACAATCTCACTAATCGCCTTGCCTGTCTCACCTAGTACCCTCCGCCTGACCTCAATACTGCTCACACAGTGATTCCACTAACTGTAAACAGTGCTACGAAAACATCTATGACCAAAACCCTGTGGTCGTCTCGTATATTCTAGTTTTAACGGCTGTCTCACAGTTGTATAACAGGACAGAACGGACTGCAGCAGAGCATACTTGTTCTTTGTAGTTTGAGGAAAACCCAGATCATATTGGCATTCAAATAATCCGTAATCAATCGAAGTGGAACTGAAACCTGATTGACACAGGAGTTTCATAGCTCAATTAGTGGAACTCAGGATCAATGGATTAAAGAGTCGTTATTCAAATCTTAACACAATACAGATAGTTATGATCATCGTATGCTGAGATTACTGTGTCATCATATGTTATCTGAAATAGAGATAAGATGAGAGACTCACCAACAGAGTGACAAGTCAGCTGGTTATTATACAAACTGTTAACCAATTCAAACCAACCATCTCCAATAAGTAATCAGGTCATTGAAATCCCTATCTATTTTGATTAACTCTGTTAATTTAACTTTTGTAGGTCAGTCTGGATATTTGATTCGTTCGTTTCAGTTTGTGACTACTCAGTATGAATCGGTCTTCAAGACTTCTGCTTATGACCATTTATTCATTGCTTAGATATGTAATGGGGAATTCAGCTTATTTTATTTTGGCTAGCGTTACGATGCATTTTGACAAGTATATTCACAAACCAGTGAAAGATAATTGCATACTTTGAAATAACTTGCAACCACCAAAAAAATCCAATAACGGTTGAGAATGGATGAATTTCACTTTAACTCTAAAAATAATCATGAGTGCCATTCTGCCACTGTAGTGAATAGTGGACGTTTCACAGTGTTCAACGTGACTTCATAAGCATTCAGGTCAAACACATCACAAATGCATCATTCAATCGTCTAATATAGTTTTCTTATTTACGTATAGTTTGGACTGTTTCTTACTTCCATCTTTGTCATTATTTCATTCAACAAATAACGGATCTTTAAAGCTCTAGTTTATCTCAGTCGCTAAATAATCTTTTTGACAGAAGTCCTCCCGTATACTGTGATATCCAACTTATAGATTATAAAACTATCGATACTGCTTAAGCTATTCTCCCATAACATCTACGGGTAAGCTATTCCAAAAAAATGAACAACGACTCAACAAGTATGTGCTGAATCATAAATAGCCATATTGAAGATTAATTGAGTAGTGCTAACAAGATTTCAGTCTGCGCAATTTGAGGTTAATAGGGATTTTATTTTTGAGATAGCGATCATCATGTACTGACATCAATTGAAAAATCATTGAAAACCTGGGAGCACTGGACAGCTGATTGTCCTAGTGCAGGACTCTTCAGCAGTGCACACCCATAACCCGGCAAGGGATAGAACTCAGAACTTTCAGATTCCATGGCAAAAGCGTTAGGGTCAAAGGTCAATGGTCTATAGTTTCCTACTTCTGTTAATGGAAATCGTTTTAGATACGTGTGTTTACGTCCCTGTAATATAGGTAACTGACCTAACTGGTACGTTTTGCACCCAAGGTCAAAGACTGGTCTAAACTGGGTCCATATTGACAGACGCTTACTTACTTCTTCGCGGATTAAAAAAATCCCTAGAAATATAAAGTTTTATCGTTCTTGAAAACAACTAGTCAGAAGTGAGTAGGTTATTAACTAGTTTTCTAACAACAGAAGCCTGTAAACTTCTAGTTCTTCCCATTATAGGTAAAATATAATCCATAATCTATTCAGACATTTTAGGGGGAGACGGTAACACATGAAAATTCTACTAATAACAGTTTAAGAGTTAAGATATTCCTCTTAGTTAAGAAGTAATAATTTAGGAGTTAAAACGAGGTGTCAGAGTCTACAGGTTGAATGCAAAGAAAAAATATTTTTCTGCTTTCAGTTGTACACAATATAAATCCCTAAAAAGAAAAAAAACACTGAGTACGTCTCGTTTTCGGTATATATGACGTAATGTTGTACACTGAGAAAGAACTTTGTCAGCTTATTGTCTTTCGCTACTTCGTAACTCGGTAATCAACGATAACATTATCTAGGATTGAAAAGAAACAACGATCTGATTATACCTTTCTCCAAACTCCCACCTGATAATTACACAGATGAATGATGTAAGCATTTTTATGCGCAACATTCATACGACTTCCTTATAGTACTTTGTAAACCATATTTCTTGGTTCTCATGTCGTACAAAATTAGCCTGCTTCGAAAAAAATAAATCAGCTACTGTCGATCAAGCTGGATAAATAGTAGATCAGATAGAAATCCGGGCATGTCGATTCTATTATTATTCATGATTAAAATACTCCTTACATCTTCATGGTAGGAAGCTTAAAAGATAACAGATTAGTAAGAGACAAATACGTTTGGATAACGAGATCGAAATGCGCTCAAAAACCTTGTGCACATTCGTGCAGTAGGTGATAAGCTACACCTATTGCGTGAAGGGTAGTGAAACTATCTGGCTGCTCAAACCTAAGCTGGTGGAGCCGAGCTAGAATCCATGACCCATTGGTTGAAAGTCGTCTCCTTAAACCAATTAACCACAGCTCCATATTCGGACATACTTAATAATGTTACATAGAAGTCGGAGGAACATCCTGATCAGGAGAGTGCTATTACAAAAGTAACTATCATTAAAGCGTATACTAAATTAATTTCAGTGTTTACAAAAATATCTAAAAGAATCGAAGTACTTATGGCTTCTAAGATGACCATAATAAAAGTTTGTCTATAGTTCCTTTACAGGTCACAGACTCTCGATAACTTTCGGGGGAAAAAGTTAACAATATCCTTGCTGGACATAACTAAATAGCGGTAGTAGTGAGTAAAAACTTACCTTGTGGGTTGTTGCAGTCGAGACAAAATTTGGAATATACGGTCTTATTCCCGGAGAATCAATAAACACTGAAGGTACATGAGGTTGAAAGATCGAAGGTTCACAGTCGAGTGGATAGAGGAGAAGACCACGGAGATGAGGTAGTACAGTTATAAAACTAGATGATGTACGAGCAGAACTCATAGGGAAGAATGGATCCAACCTTAACATAGATGAAACTTTCGTACTCGCGGTCTCCTCTTGTTCACCAAAATCATTCCGTAAAATCATACTTTCTGCACATTTTGTCCATTCATAGTTTGAAAAAGATTCAAACTCCGAAAATGATAAGCCACCAGTTCGAATCATTTCCACATAACCACTGATAGATAAACCCAATAAACGGGCGAATGAAAAACCTATGACAAAAGTAATCAATATAGTAGGAACAAATCAATGAGATGCATAGTTAACAATAACAGTAATGAAGGCATAAGTGCGGAACGGGCAGCTAGTGTTACATTAGCATCTGTTCACGATTCGAAAATCAACATAAAATCGAGTGTAATTTTGATGATGGCAGTTCAGTCAGACAGCACAAAAATTCGGAATCCCAGACAGATAACCTAGGAATAGCAATGTAGTGTATTTTTGAGCATTAACAAATTCATTTCTAACCAGCGGAACGCTTTTCTTTTTTTGTTTTTAGCTTGAGAAACGAAAACTCTAAAATATTTTAAAATCTTGAGAGAGTACATGATGCATTCAGAAGACATTTAAAAGATTGAAACAAACTAAAGAGGAGAATTTGATAGAATATAATCTGTGGAAAGTTTTCTGGTAGCCCAAGATTGAAGCAGGCCACCAAAGTTGTAAAGAACACCCTTTATACCCAAATCTGTAAAGAAAATTTAAGACTGTGGAAATAACACTATAAGCAAACGTTTCTTCTACAGTGAATTGTCATGTTCAGTAATACTCTTACACTGTCACCTATCCACAAAATGTATGCTAACAACTATGATTGGCTGCAACACAATACAACTAGTGTGGAACATACAGAATGAGCAAACCGACTGTGGCTCATTGGTTTGACGATCGACTTCCACACGAGTCCCAGGGTTTAACTCCTATCCCACTTACTTCAGTCCAAGCGACCAGGGAGTACCACTTACCTTCATATACTAGTTGTGGTTTGCAATCTCATACAAATAGCTGTATAGTTGCATTTGCATGATATATTTCTGTTCCAGGTTCTGAGCAAAACAACCTTGATCACAGTCAAGAAGAGATAGATACTTTATAAAAGTAAACTGAATGTATGATAAGTCAACTGTCGATATAAAACAGATCCTCACCTTAGCGTTATTCCATAATAGTCGCATCTTTTTTCAACACAATGATTAGAAATTTAGGGTTATCGAATAAACAGACAACAACATAGAACCAGAAAGATAGACGAACAGACACAAAATTAGCATAGAACCTCACACAGATGCGCGTTATTTCAAGTTGGCACACTTCACAGTGCTACGCAAATAACAAGTGGATAGGAAAAGACTGGTGTGAACGAGAACCATTTATGGGATAAAAGTGAATGGAAATAAAGAGATATTAAAATTCAGATTCCACCAGTGCTAAGTTCTTTCAAATAAATGGCCTAATTGTATGTCGTGACACCTAACTGAAAACTTATATTTAGGTAAAAGAACCCGAAGAAGTTAACCACTCTGTCCTATGCAGCGTTTATCACGGTTATAGTATACTAGTTGATTGTATAAATAAAAATTAAACCAACATAATCACTCACCTGAGCTACAAATATCCCGTACTATCTCAAAATACATACGAAAAAGAATACAGGTGAACAAAGAAGAAATACATGTAAACTATCAAGACGCTCGACATTTAGAGGAAGAATAAGAGTAGATGTATATCGATACTGTGATTCATATCATCTAAGGTCTACAACCAGGCTTTTGACAAAATAAGAACTCCACATAAGCAGCCTACATCAACAATCAGTAACTTTATGCATTATTACCATATGTTGAATTAAGCATCCCTAGATTTCTCCCAACACAATTCGACTCCCATAGGTTTCATATGTTGTGGTAGATGGATGTTCGACACGTGTGAAAAATGTTACAGTGATAACTATTTGAAGATTCATGGACATAAAAGTGCTAGTTTTACACTTGTCATGAATAACACACGTCTTGACCTTTGCAAGTACATATATCTTTATTGATAGCATTACCTTATTTGCGTAGAATTCTACGTTTAATTTAAATATTATTCATTGTGTGATTTCAATGTCTCGAACCAATATTGGGAAGGTCACTGTAATCGACTAACCGTAACGTTTTCGTTTATCTTGAGCGATCATACCTTATAGACATATAAAAGAAGAGTGGACTGATGTATAGTACACTTGTCACTTTGTAGACACTTCGATATCTCATTGGCGTAACAGGTGCAAGCGATCGAATGTAACTGCCAAACTAACAGTGCAGACTTAACTGTGTACGCATTATCTTGGATTTGATAGACACCAGATACATATTAAACGTCCTCAGGTTTTAGATAGTTGAAAGAATCTCAACAGCCGACAAACTCAAAGAAATAGATAAATCACTTGGTAATTCTAGAGGAGGGAGAAACAATGAAATAACGACTAGCTTTACAACATCATTTATTCTCCCAACAAACATTCAGGAGTCAGAGTATATAAGGGCGCTTTGCTTATACTGGAATCGATAGGTAGATCCTGCTGCCACATACAGACACAATAAGTGTAACTATCTCTCAAAACAGATCGACATCTTGTGTAGTCAATTGCATCTTTTTTCTGTTTAATACAATTTCATTTTTTTCACAATAAGATTCATCATACTGTAAAAATAACTCATTTTTAAAGGCTAAAATACTATTTGGTCACCCTTGACAACTTGCTATACACCATAAGATTGAAATCATGAAGATATGGTTCAAAACTGCCTAAAGAGACCACTTGGTTATTAAAAAAGTGTCGAAGATACGCAACGTTTTCATAAGACTCTTATAATTAGTAAATATTCAAATGGAGAGAAAAGCACAAGGTAAGTGAGTTGATAAAAACAATTCTCACCGGCAAACACAATTTAAAAATTAGAATCTGAACTAGTTCTTCGTAAACAATTGCATCTCTTTCATTGCTCCTTTGAACAATGTTTTTTTTAAATAAGGAACTTACATTTAGTTACATAATTTGAACGATTTATTTTCTGCTTAGTAGCACAGGCTGGTCCTAAATCTGGTTCCTCATCATCGTGATGCCATAAATCGTCTTGAATATAGTTAGGATGATGCAGACAAAAATACTTTGCAATAGTGATCAGTAAACCAAATGAATAACATTCAAACGATATTGGCCATTTCGAATATAGACGATTTAAACTTCTCCGTCTCCAGCTGAATGCTGATAAAGCATCTGTAAGCGAAAGATAGAGAAAGACAGAGAGTACGACATATTAAAAAGATCAAATTGGTGGTTTTAGAGGATTTATTGATTTCAAAGAAGTTTTGACCACGGATCGATTATCAGCCGGAAAACCACTGAAAGCCTTAGTGTATTCAAAAAAATGTTTTATTTGCCTTTAAGACTCCATAAAAGTGTGTGAAGGACTGGACCCGCAAATATCAGGTATTTGTCCTCATACCAAATTTGGCCGACCCCAAAAGCCTTCTTATTAGAGATCTGAGGAATCCATGTTGAAGTGAGTCGTTAATGAGAATTGTCCAGAAACGTACTTGTCACGATCTGACGGACCTGGGAGCAATTCTTAATGAGGTCAAGAATATGCACTGACGAGTAATCCCTAACTAGGACGAAGCAGCTATCCAGGGCTCCCAGGCTTAGGAAATTCAACATGAAAACTTTGAGCCGAGTTTTAAGAATTCCCCACCTATTTCGGAGTGAGTAGTCGGGTAACCTCATACAACAACTGCGTTTCATGGTCTATATAGTTAAAAATAGGGGCCTAAGAGTTAACTTTAAGTAGCAAGATTTGAGAGATGATTTTGTAATTTACAGTTATGATTTCGTCTGTGAGACAAAGGGTTAGTTAACATAATACTGCAAGTAAATAAACAGGATGAAGACGAAAGTAGCGTTACTGACAATCGATTACAATTAATGAACTTCACAACATAATATAGGAGTTAGCAGAAAAGCTGGTAGTTCATACCAGTATCATAAGAGCTGGGATAATTTGTGAATACCTGTGTATCGCAGATGTTAGGATATGACTAAGATACTCAAAAAATATTGCGAATTATCTATATCGTGATCATTTGTGGTCATGACAACTGTGAACTGTTTCACAGGTATTGACGTAGTCTAAAAGTCCCAAATAGGATGAAGCGTGTATCCTGGATTTCCCTGCTAGCCATCACCAAGGAAGTGACATGAAATGTTTTTCGTACTACCTATCGATGTAAAAGTGGTATTACCTAGCAGTTAATACAAGGGCACCCATATGCTACCGAAGATTCTGAAGAATTAACTTTCGTATGCCTAACCACCATTTGCCTCATCACACAATGTTGACCGAAGTAGGTTCAGACTGGAAATAGGCTCGAGGTGGCCAGACTAAAACATGGGACGAATGTATGAAGTGTTTTACTGTTGGTTTGAGCCATGTGGGGCGATGGAGACTAGCCGGTTGGCGTCTACGGAACTAGAGAAACCAGTGGTAGGAGACTCTAGGTGATATGGCTCAGAACCGAAGTCAGTGGCGCAGATGCATACACACATTTATCCTCATCTTCACCACCTTACTTAATCTCACCATCTCATTCTTCCTTCTCTTTTGCTACTTTCTATTTCTACTACTTTCTTTGACCAATTTTTCTTCCCTTCTTTACCTTCCATTTTACAGCCTTGTCACTCAGTGTGCTGGTATTATTATTATATAATTTGTCCCTTGGGTTCCTAATGGAACATAGGACTTCAGTAGCATAGGGTGTGGCACCTTGAACCGTTACACAGTATTGCCTGGTCCTATGTTGATCTTGATGATGATGAACGAATTAACTGTAGAGTTCTCTTTCTTGTCAAATTTGGTATCCAAATGCTTTCATCGAATGATGACTTAATTACTCCGCGTTCCAACTTATGAACTAACAGCATAGGACTGCTTTAGACTATCTATGACTTATTCTTATTATAACATAGTTTACGCTCTTTAATTAACTTCGGGATAGCTACCATGACGTTATCATGACCCCTTTTCATTTAACTGTACGCAACTAAGTCCTCTCATAATATTCTTTGTTCTTCGATAAGTGTAGCATCTATCATCCTTGTTGAATTCTGTCCGGATGGCGAGTATTGACTTCCGGATGCCGGATGCCACATTTAGTGACATTTTTCAGCGATGTTGCACTGCATATATTCAAGTGTGATTTTAGAAGAAGCACACTTCAATCATGTACTAAAATATGGGCATCAAATATTGTTAAAGTTTTGTGATACTGTGCTTTGCTACTTAGAACTCATATCAATACGTATAATGAGATTTTGATGGGAAATGTTACTAGATGTGATATGCAGTTGATAGGGGAGCAGGGGATAAAGGTAATCGTCTAGACAAAAGTCAACAAGGACAATGGATGTTTAGCTTTCGCAAGAGCAAGACATTGCCAAAGGAACTTTCCTGGTGAAACACGGATGCAGATATTTTGAATTATGTAATGCGGCTACCCTTTTCTGCTTAAACTAGGAGTTGTTGCAGCAGAAGATAGGGGAGTTTATGAGAGGACAGTGATAAACAAGCAGGAATTGGTGTGTTTGGTCGGCATAAGGGCAGTTACTTCGTTAACGGACAAGGGGGTGTCAGAAAGTCAGACCATATGAGTTAGCAGGCATGCCATAAGGCAACATGCATCGAAGATTTAGGAATTTCAAACTGTATCGTGGAAATAAACAGCTACCAAATACGCAACTCCTTTAATGTGACAGCAAGCATAAAAAGGAGCGGGTTTCCTGAGAAGTAAAGGCAGCCATTGATACCAAAAGTAGTAAGGTGACCAAAACGTATACGGCAATTGCAACACATGAAAGCAGCAAAGTTACAGAGAAAGAAGAAAGAATACCAGGAACTGCAGCGACAAAAAAATTCATCAAGTAATCAATGAAATACGCGAATTCATTTACCAGAGATAAAGAACCCTACAGATTCCATGATGAGGTGAAACATGAGATTCCTGTAGAGCCACAGGATTACAACGCTTACAGTGCATTAAATTCTTATGCATTTTAAAGTAGAAACAGAGAGATAGGCTCGAGAAATATTGAAGTAGTATATAATAGAAGAGGCTGGTAGATCATCGGTTCTTTTCGTGAAGAAGTTCAATGAGAATTAAAGACTCTATCTTGATTTCAAGGAGGTATATAACGTAATCGAACTCAAATCGTGTGCAATACCAATTGTGACAGAAATTCTAGAACGTATACACAAGTGACATTGTTCATAGTTTTGGATTTACGGTTGGGCTATTGGTAACTTCGAATAGAGAAAAGTGATCAAATGAAGATGGTATTCACTATGGGTCAGACACTATACCAGTTTGAACAAATCCCACTTTAGCGGTCTTCACTAATCTGGATTCCTACAGCGCTACCTGACGTCCAACTAGCCAGTTGATAAAGTGTGGTTCAGATCAATTGGTCGTTTGTAAGTTGAGTGCCAATTGGGTGGGCTTCCCTTGTGCAAAATTACCTGTAGCTTAAATGAAATGATATGGCAGAGGATTGCGTCAACCGCTGAAAAGAAGGACCCAGTGAAACCAGAAAAGGAGAGAAACGCACTCAGCCACATTGTGTACATACCCCTGCAGTAGGCAATGAGCCACACCTATTGTGTGAGGGTTGGTGATACTACCTAGTAATTAAGACCTCGGTAGGTAGAGCGGGGTTCGGACCCGCGACCCCTTGGTTTATAGTCATCTCCCCAAGCCACTGAACCACAGCCCCGCAAGAAGTACTAATAGCAGAAAAACTTGAAATTAACTATCACCGCCCTAAACAATCATGAATATATTATGCATAGAATTTTGAAAAAGGAAAAAATCCCTTCACGATTGAAAGCATAACGCCATCACTTAAGTGCAAGATGTAAGATAAGTCCTTGTTGACTTTCTATTTGACTCAAAGTCATATTTTAGCAAATATATAACAGTGAGTACGCAGATACTTACATTTAGAAGTTCACTTATATGCATGCATATACAAAGACGAAACTCAGCAGCCATGCACGCATTTATAGGCTACGGAATGAATGAATGACTTCCTAAACCGTTACACCTATTTAGACCCCAATAACCTAGTATCGTTAGACCTCACAAAGGAAGTATGATTCATAACAGACAAAAAAAAGTCAGCGGAGAACGTCGCATACAATATGACTGCATAATCCAGAATGTAAACATAGAAACTGGATAGCTGAGTTATAGTATTATTATTGATAACAAAAACAGTAACTTAAGTCCCAACCAACTAACGCTTAACTGTTTTGATACCTAATAAGTCTCATGAATGTAAGGTAGTGGATGAGATTCAACAATCAAATTCTTTTTACACCTGATTGACATACTTATTTAGAGTAATAACCATAAATAATAATTACAGTGACAAATGAATGAATGGAAAGATAAACTTACCTTCTTCATACAACAAATTCGGTAACCTCCAAGTTATATGTTGACTATGGTTGGCACTATAGTTATTATTACTAATATGGCCACATTTCATTTGTGAATTGCTTAAATTGAAACAACTACTCGGTTCTGCTTGTCCACTTATACAGGAGAAATGAACATCACGACGTTCCCATAAATCTGGATGATTGCACACTTTTCTTAATTGCATAACTAAATTAATTAAATGCGCTGTTGCTGATGATGAATTCGGATTGTCAATAGTATTAGGATTAGTAGAAGCGGAAGAAGAGGAAAATGTATCCGATGTCACTGTGTTTGAATACATGATAGAGCTGAGATCTTCAAGACGAATCTTACTCCGTAATCGTTCGTAAAGTATCTGTTGTCGATGACTTAACGGACAATATAACATGATTTCAGTCTACACATATTAATGTGAAAGGAGAAAAAGATAAACCATTAGGACCATGCTGTAACCAATAACTTATGTGCATAAAATTCAACAACCAGGCACATAGTTTTGTGTAGTAGGTACTGAAAAACAAGTATTCTAAGCGATGAGACGTAGTTCGAACCCAAGATCCACTGAATGAAAGTCGATAATCCAAAAGCAAAGAGACAGTGCCACAAGTTTCTGTTTTCAGGTAAACCTCACACATCATCATCCATCCAAATTAACATAGGACCAGGCATTACTGCGTAACGTTCCGAGTTGCCACACCTCATAGCAGTACATAAAGTAAAAGGGCAGTGAAGTTGAAGATGAAGAAAAGAAAATTCAGTCAAAGGAAATATAGAGTACTAAAAGAGAGAAAGGAAGGATGAGAAAATGGTGAGATTCTGTATGGCATCGTTAAGATGAGAATAGCGTGTGTATACATCTGCACCACTGACATCGGTTCTCAGCCACATCACCTAGAGTCTCCAACAACTAGTTTCTCTTGTCCCGCGGACCCCAAACAACCTACTTCCCATCGCCCCACATGGATCAAACTAACAGTAAAACACCATACATTCGTCCCATGTTTTAGTCCGGTCACCTCAGGCCTTTTTCCAGCCTGGACCTACTTCAGCCAACATTGTGTGATGAGGCAATAAGCGACTAGGCATACGTATCACGTGTCCCAACCATCTCAATCGATGAAGGTTCATAACCTCGTCAACCGACTTACCTTTTCTCCTTAAAACTCTACTCCTGACCTCTGCGTTACTCACGTGGTGACACCATGGAATACGGCCTATACTACGAAGGCAACGGTGGTCAAACACCTGAAGCCTTCTCATGTTTTCCACCTTCAATGGCCATGTTCCACAGCCATACAGCAGAACAGACCGGACTGCTGTGCAGCACACGCGACCCTTAATAGACAATCGGATATCACGGAGGTACCAAAGGTGACGTGGGTTGGCAAAAGCCAATCGAGCTTTTTGTATTCGTGCTGAGATTTCATCGTCCACTGAGTTGGGCACCAGGGCTGATCCTACTTCCCAGGTAAGTGAAATGGTCGACACAACCAACCACTACACTGTCTATTGTTAGCCGCGGTGGGGCACCGGTAAAGACGAATCCCGGAGCAACAATTTGCATTTGGGTGGTGAAAACCATTCTGAAATCTTAATTAATGATTTTACTGAGTCTATTACTGTCAATAAGGTCTTAAACTACTTGATAATGTGTTATTTTTGCTTGTCAGTCTCATCTGCATCTGTTTAGCAAGTCGAATATTTATACAGAAATGGCTGAATTCCATGGATTCATGTCAAACTGCTACACTTCATTGCCAGGTTTTACCCCAGTTTACCTGACTCTGGTGGCCTTTTATTGAAGGTGTACTTGCTAGTTACGAATGGATGACATATTTATATATCTTCCCACGGTCACTATTAGTTTACTGCGTATATCACAAAATGAAACAGCATAATTCCCTGGATATTTTAATGCTTAGGATCATATTGATGTAATTATACGTTTTACTTTTATAGTTCTACTACTTTTTGTCCTTCGATTTTATTAGTTATAAACTTTCCGGCATATCAGAAGCTCTACATATGATTGTCGTTTAGGCTTAAATTGGGATGGCATATCAAACTGAAGACCCACTCACCGGTAAGCCTTGTTAGTCATACGACCCTTTTAAAATTCAGACAGAAGAATCCGCTTTAGCGAATCCCGTGCAATGACTAAGAAGTCAAATACACAGATGGGCCACCCGATAGCTGTTACCTTGATGTGGTGGTCAGGGTTGCGTATCTTAATGGGCCAACGAGCTACACTGGCTGGAACGCCTGTGTTTCCTTGAGGTTTTACCATATCACAAAGGTCTGTTGGAAAGTGGTAGGACGAAAAGAAGTTACAGTTATAGTGTAACTTTCAACGCGATGGTGGGGTTCCGAGGGCAAAGTTACAATGCTAGCTGGATGGGGTGTGACAGAGGTAAGATATTTCCGGCGGATGACCAGAAGTAATATGCTGATGCAGCATCCCTATGATAAGAGGCGGGGTTAGAAAACGTTCGCCTCAAAAAGTAGCGACCCTTCCAAACAGGCGATCCTCGGGTGACGGTGGTATGTGTTAGACCTACCCGGCGTTAAAACAAAAAAACCGGAGAAAAATCAACAACTCTCAAATGTCTGTCAGTGACAAGCCCCAAGGACATATCCCAAGGGCTCTAACGTCACACAAATCTTCTTTTTCAGCTGCCTTGCAGAAACAACTTCCATGGTGCGGGGAGTCAGGCAGTGCCAACCACTCGCACGCATTTGACTGTCGACCGTGAGATGTTGTACCGATGCCTGACTATGAGCAAGTACATAGTGCTAACCAAAGCTCTCTGCTTGAACTAAAGAAGTCCCGTAAAGGCTTATGGAGAGTTGCTATCAGAATTGAAGACAACTAGTGTTGTTCGCTAGAGATGCCCAATGTCATTGTTCCAATTCAACTTTGTCAAAGACATACTAATGAGTATAACCTTAGGAACGTCTGACTTCATAGAGATTGACCTACTCCTCAGAGGTCATCTGGTTGACCTGGAGTCCAACTACGACATTTTCCTGCTCAGTGAAGACGCTGACAAAACGAAGGGGCTTCTGAACGCGTTGAGCAGGAATCTGAGTATGTTTCACGTGCAATTCGCACCTGTCAAATGTATGACGCTGCAGAACTGGTCTGCAACCACTCCATGGTCAACACATTCAACCACTACACTCTCTATTGTTAGCCGTAACACTGCTGAAGAGCAACAGTTTGCATTTGGATGTTAAGAAATGCAATCCCAAACATTTTCAAATTCCTACTAAGCGTTTAGAAGACTCTGCATCTTCACCTAACAAGACAATGTCATCTGCATATTCTAGGTCTAACGAAAATCCTCCTGTGGTTAGGTCAACGTCTGTATAATTAGGTGAGGAGAGGGAGATCTCCATAAGAATATCTATGATAAAACTGAATAAGAATGCAGACAGTGGGCATCCTTGACGGACACCACTCGATGAGCACAGCTTCCTGGACATTTGACCAAAAACTCTAACACGCCTACAAGTGTTCGAGTAGAGGGCTTTCAATAAGGTGATGTACTCACTCGGCACGCCTTTCAGTGAGAGACATTGCTATAGGACTTCTCTACCAACAGAGTCGAATGTCGCCTTCAAGTCGAGAAATACAGCTATTGTCGGGCGTCTGTAAGCGTGCCTATGTCCCAGAACCTGGCGCAGTGTGAATATTTGGTCAATACACCCGCGGCCGGGTCTAAAGCCTGCTTGGCTTTCTCGGGCTTGCTGTTCCCGAGCTCCACTTAGGCGTCGGAGAATTATAGAACCTAGGATCTTGGACACGATATTCGTCAGGCTGGTTCCTCTGTGGTTATCGCAAGAGGACTTCTCACCTTTCTTGAAGACTGGGATAATCAGTAACTTAGACCAGTCAGACGGGATCGTATTTGACTCCAGTATATTAGTTAATACTTCCGTTAACCTGACTAAGAGCACTCTACCACCATCCTTGTATACCTCAGGAGTTAGTGAGTCTGGTCCTGCCACCCTTCCTCGTTTCAGGTGACCTACTGCTTTCTCGACTTCTCCTAGTGTTGGAGGGCCTACCTCAATGTTCGATTCAGGATCCAACTGAATAGCGAGCAGCGCAATGGTGGCTGGAGGCTAGTTAAACTCTTCCTCGAAGTGTTCTGCCCATCGTTCCAGTCGTCTACACCACGCGTGAATCGCAGATCCGTCCTTCTCCGCTATAGTCTCACTAACTGCAGTTGACCTTCCCCCCCCCCTCCCAGTCTCCTTAATAAGTCTTAATAACTGTCTACTATTACCGATCGCCACTGCCTTTTCCATCTCTTTAGCCTTCGCTGCCCACCACTGTTCGCGATCGTTGCGCAGACTTTTCATCAGTCTACTTTTAAGTTGTGCTCGCTCTTCATTGTACTCAGAGCCTGCAGGGATGCGTCCACGTGCATCCATTAGTTCGGAAGCTGTTGATATCCACTGGCTTTTTTAGCCACTATTTTGGAGTCGGTTACAGTCTTCAGTGCTGCTTTTACAGCAGACTGAAGATGGCACCAAGCTTCTTTTGGATGAGTGATAGTCATCTGTTCCGATAACTGCCTAGCCAACTTCTCACTGAACACGGCTTTGGTGTTTCCGTTGTCCAGCAGGACCCATAGTGGTTTTGTTGCCAAATTTTCCTCCCGTTCATTGAGATGCAGGCATATACGTGCTCGGGCCAGCGCGTGATCGCTATCCAAACACGCACTCCAGAAGGAGCGGCAGTCTTCCACCGATCTTCTTCAGCGATGACTAATAGCAATGTGGTCTATCTGTGTCCATCGCTGAGTTGAGCTCGGTGGACGCCACGTCAGACAGTGTCTTTCTTTATGTCTGAAATTGGTGCTAGATAAAAATAGGCGGTTATCTGAGCACAGCTATAGTAGGCGATTACCGTTATCTGTTCATTTAGCCGGGACTCCGAAAGTGCCACCTAAGTGCCTTTCTGCCTAACTCAGTCTACACATCTGTGCGTTGAAGTCACCTACAACAACCACCACGTCCGAACGTCTGGCTTTCGAGAGGAGGTTAGACAGTTTTCGGTAGAACTCGTCCTTCACTTCATCCGAACTGCAGTCAATGGGTGCGTAAGCGGAGATTACAAAGAGACAACAGCGAATCTCATTATTCAGTTGGATAGTGCAGAGGCGACTATCAACTGGGATCCAGTCTAGTAGTGAGTTCTCTGCCCTAGTGCTTAATGCTATGCCTACACCTGCAAGACCACGAGGGCTAGCTAACGAATCTCCAGAAACTCGAAGGGTGAATTTCGCCGATTCACCAGATTGGCCAGGAAATCTTAGGTGAATAACCGCGCTTCAGTCATGTATGCATGTCTCACAAAACACACCACACATCCATGACTCGAGTTGCTAGAGGCTTGGCCAGTGAAGCCTATTGATCGATTTGACGGAGGGTGTGAACATTGAAGGCTCCAATATGTAATTTCGAGGGTGGTTTAAGGAGACCAAGGATGCTGTTCTGTGGACTCAGATCGTTGTCGAAGGCTGAAGAGCTAGGAGAAATTAAAGATGATGTAGTATCGTTAATCAAGAGATGTGAAGGAAGATTAGGAGGTTATGATGGGGAGGTGGATAGCAGTCTGAGGAAACTTGGGTGCTGACAGAGTTGTGAGAGCGGTTGACACTTCCCGGCTGCCCACACCATGGAAGGCTATTTCTTCTTAAGGTACCTGAAAGAGATTTGTGTGGTCGGAGAGCCCATCGGACATCTGCTTGGGGCCTGTCACACACAGCCTTTTGCGTATGATCATTTTGAATTTTTGTTGTTTTTGGGCTGGATGGTCAAAAAGAAACGACAAATGAACCAACACCACCGGCCTGGCAGACCATGGGGTATGGTGGGGTAACGCTCAGAAGAACAGTAACTCACAATAATAATAATAATAATAATAATAATAATAATAATAATAATAATAATAATAATAATGACAGAGAATAAACAACGGCTTACATTTTAATGAAGGAAGCACACACACACGCACACAGTCACTATAAATATTTTGTAACACAAGAATATCACTAAGGAAAGCAACTACTTTATGCTTATTTGGAATTGCATGAGACAGCAGTTATGATGACTATCTTCCTCATCAAACAAGCAGCTATTTGCAGACTAGGTCTATTTGTTCATAATACGCTGCAGAATAGTAGATATTTGACTGATCTAAGTTTCAGTCGACGTAGATTTTGAAATTTAGCCAAAACCCACTGAATTAAGATTCAATGAATGGAAATAAGTAAAATATTCATGAAAAAAGACCACCACATTGTTGTACTAAACCTTGTTTCGTTCAGCTTTACAAAACTCGCTTCGTTAACACAACTGAACGCTAAAAGCTATGAACTAAAAAGCTGCCAAAAAAGTGCCAACTGGTAGTTAGGATGTCAAACGTGCTGTGCAATCAAAACTGGTGTCACCATAAGTATAAAATTTGCTCCTTGAGTTGAAAATATACTGAAGACCCCTACGTTTCGAACAATAAAAGCGAAACTTTATTTTATGTGATGATTATAAGATTGTAAACCGCATCTGGAAGTGAAACTATCCTTCTGGTTTTAGTGAAATGTAATGGCGGAAAGATAGTTTCCAAAAGTAAATAGAATCTTCAACAACTTTGTCAATGCTTCTGGTGACTTTCTCCGTCATTTGCGTCGTAAAATAAGCCAGAACTAACCAGTGCATCATCATTGTAAGTTTAATGTTGTATAGTAGAGATAGAATAGTAGTCAGTCAAATAATAAAAACCTTTTAGCAACTAATATTCGACAGCAATTCCTTTCCAAAGATGTCAACTGAATTCCAAGTGAAATTTGGGTAAATGACCAAATGAGGATTACCAGTCTCTTAATTAGAAGTCCACTGTTTTCCTAAAAGATCAGAATAACCTGAGAGACGAGCAGTTTCTAAACAGACAATAGTAAAAACAGCAAGCTATCTAGAAGAGAACTGGATGATCACCGATGTTTAGAAGAAACCTAAATTATGATAATTTTCAACATTCAATAAACTGCTCTAAAAGTTCACCGATTTTGATTACTTAAGATCAACAGAACATAAGGGTATAATCCAACAAATTAAAAAGTATACCATAAACATACCTTTGTAGATATTTCATGTTCAACTTCAGTTTTCGTTCGACGTAGCATAAATGGCTTTAAAATTAAGTGTAAACGTGATAATTGGTTTTCATTGAGTTTTGAAGTTATCAAAGCTCCAGTCCCACCACCACTGCCACTACTAACACCTGTTCTAGCTGTTTCACTAGCTTGAGACTCAATGTCACGCGAAAACCAATTAGCAAATTCATCATGTGAATCAAATAGAGTAGGCATTATAAAATGTAACAATGCCCATAGCTAAATACAAAGAGAAAAGAAACCGTGGATCAAATAACGGAAGAATAAAACAATGTATCTTATAAAATAATAATTAGGTGTGAGGAGGTCAAAATTCTGAAGCTTTTACTTTGAAAAAAAGAGAAATTAGAAAAGGCTGACTGCACAAACTGTATTTCACCTCGTGTGTGGACCTTCAGTAGTAAAGTTATTTAAAGAACGAAAGCAAATCTAAAAAAGGCCAAAGTTAAGAACTGCGTATAATCTATCTCAAGCAGGTGTTCCTTGGACTATGCAGACACACAATACTAACCTATTTTTTCCTTCAGATATTTCGAGGATTAGAATCGGGCTAGAAAATTACGAATGGCCAGGTCAAAACATGGCACCAGTTTATACAGTCATTGAATGTTGATCTTACTCGCGTACGGGGAACACAACTTCGTACTTGGGTTCTATATATATATATATATATATTAGTTGGCTGAAAGCAGTCACCAGGAAACCCTGGGACTAGGTTTTGTGCTTGTTGATACTCGTCAGCTAGATATATCCGCAACTTCGATGCAACTAATTTCTCTTCTGAAATTCAAATCTGCGTGATTCACTGCTGCAATCAGAGACGTTACCATTGAGCTATTGAGGTCACGATTGGTCTCCTGTAGGACTGGATTATAGACATTGATTGATCATTTGAGATTAACGTCTCTGACTGCAGTACTGAGTAAATTGGGTTCCAATCTCAAAGGAGACATCAGTTCCATCGAGGTTTTAGATACGTCCTGCTCACGACTGCCAAAAAGCAAAAAATTTAGATCCAGGATTACCCGCTGATTGCTTCCAACCAACTAACACCCACCAAAGAGCACCGCTATGACGAGTCTATTAGCTTAGTGGTCACATTCCAAAAATATGACAGATAGCATTCAGCCAACATTCAGCACCAAACAACATGAAATTGGTTAGTTTTCAGTGACCAGTCAATGTTACATATATGAACCTTGTTCCCTATTATTTTAATTTCTCTTTGTGGAATGACTGTTATGAATGTTCATGCGATTATATTCACTTCCTTCCCTCTATATAAATTTGTGCATGAATATGCTGATGTTCAGAGTAGCAATTAGGAGTGCGAAATAATCAAGCCAGATAACATTTGTCAGTTAACCGTATACAGTATGGATGTTTATCTTCTAACGACGTACTGCTTTCAAAACGAAAAGGTTGGTATTAATTAACTGAAAGCCCTTCATAACATAATTAATTTTTAGAGACTTAGTGAGAAGCTGTGCCAGAGTCATCAAAGTCAGAAATGATGGCAAATACTAGCCAATGGTGTTGGAGGTCAGATGTCTGCAACAGTGATGTGACCACCTCAAAACATAATCTCAAAAGAAGTATGTAAAATATTAACAGTAGTCTGTTTCTCTTTTTTTAGCAGTCCATTTGTGATGAAAACTAACCGTCCTAATATTTTACCCATGTTCTAACCTTTTCCTGAAAATCAATTAGCTAGGGAATGTCACACTTATTACAATTATTTTTACTTACTTCCTGCATTGTATTCTGAATCGGAGTTCCAGTGAGTAAAAGACGATTTCGGCACTTAAAAGATAGTAAAATTTTCCAACGTAGGCTAAGGAAAAAAAGAAAACACTTGACATTTGTAAATTGAATGAAACCAAAAAACGCTACGACAACAAAAACTGTACAATTCATTTGACATATCTAATTTTTAACCTTATTCTTATATAATTTTTACCAGCTAGTAGTAAACATATCCATTTGGTTGGTCATCCTTTCTCAGTAAAGATGAAATTTGATAGCTGTTACACCGGTCACATCAATGAGGTATTTGCGACCGTGATACGCAAACTATTTGTAGGAGTCCATATGCCAATAGTGGCCGGTCAATTCAGTTCAATCAACCATGAAGATGCAAAAGTTATAACACCAGAGACTATACCATACGTGTCATACAAACAGCGGCTATTGTGACTCAGTGGCCTATTGAACAACGATCTGGTGCTTCAAGAGAGTGGTTCTGGATCCAAGTCTTAGTGGAAACAACATCAGCTACTGGAAGCCAGGTACATCCAGCTGACAAGTCCCAAACAAGACGAGATGTGAGTCCTGGAATCAATTGCTAGCTACTATCCACTGTTAGATTGCAATAATTAGCATATAGATCATTCAAGAAATATACATGCATGCACACTCTTTTGGCAATAATCCACATAAAAACACCTGTAATTTATCAGAAGACTTTATCAGTGTGGTGAGAAAAGCTGTTTATCAGCAAAAACAAACGTGAAAACATAACAGTCATACGTGGATAAACTAAATGCCACTTTTTTCACTCGTTTGAGAATCCAATGAATGCATAACCGAATAAACATGTAAACGAAATTTGAAAGAAATTAAAAGAATGGACATCATTATTAGTCTATTTGGAAATTGGAATCTCATGTCCATCTGTTTAGTATACATTCACTATTTTCTCAGTTAAAACTCATCGTTGAAACACGAAGACTTTGTACTTTAATTAACGACGTTTCAGGAAATGATAGATACTGGCATAAGTATCTCAGCTGGCGTATAAATTTATCTGACCCACCAACTTACAATCAGTTCAGTTACATACTTTGTATGCATAAATACGAATCACACCTAAATATGCATTGATTGGTTGCAAGTAACTGAGTCTAAAACATTTGGTTGCTTCATACTTTCGTTAAACCTCGCCTGGTTAACTAGTTCACTAGTTACTAGCTGGTCCTAAGCCCGGGTAAAGAGGCGAAATGACTCCAGTTGGTGAAAGCCTTCGGGAAGACAAATGACCAATGTGTCTTCTCACCCTCGATGAAAGCGAAAGTAAACATGGGGACATGGAATGTCTGCACTATGTTTGAACCTACTAAGGCTGCCCAGATTACAGAGAAGATGAGAAGGTATAGCACAGAAGTGCTAGGAATCTGCAAAAGCAGGTGGAATGGAAGTGGACTCTCCAAACTGTCAACTGGAGAATCAATAATCTACTCCAATATTGTCACCCACACGACAACCACGAGCACAGCACACTGAGTTTTCCAGTGGTTATCATGATGTCCACAACACCATCGAAGGCTCTCCCTCATGCAGTGGGAACCAATCTCCTCCACGACCATCACAGCAGGGTTCAACTCAAATGGAACGAAAGTCACAATCATACAATGCTACACACCTACAAATAATGCAGATGAAGGGAAGAAGGAGGGATTCTACAGACAACTACAATCAGCACTGGACAAGATCTCAGTTGGCGATATCAAAATTCATTCTAATAGGCGACATGAATGCCAAACTGGGAGCAGACAACACAGGAAGAGAACTAACCATCGGTCGAGGAGCGCTCGGTGAGGTGATGAACGAGAATGGAGAATTGTTTGCAGATTTCTGTGCATTCAACGATTTAGTGATTGCAACCAGTGAGTACGAACGGAAAGGATATTCACAAAGTGACATGAATTTGAAGTCACCAGACACCAGGACACACTAAAAACCAGATCGACTTCATCTCAATCTCAAGGAAGTCGAGACGCAGTCTACTTGACACAAGGTCAAGAAGAGGAGCAGATGTAGGTTCAGACCACTATCTAGTGCAAGGAACCTTTCAAATTAAGTTAAGAGCCCTTCAAGGAAGCTGGTGATAGACCACAGTTCAAGTACAACACCCAGAACAGAAACTGAAGGACAAAACTATGCACAAAATCTTCACAGCAGCCACCAAGACAAAATGGGAGATATCGAGGAACATCCCTGAAGAAACCTGTGTGGGAGAACGCTGGAAGTCTTTGAAGGCTAGGTGGAAAGAAACTAGCATGACCGTATTAGGAAGAAAGAAGAAGACGTGAGACAAGGAATGGATATCGACGGACACATATAAGCTGATAGAGGAGAGGAAACCGGTGAAGCTGAAGATTAACCAAGGCAAGGATGCACAACGAAAAGAGGAGCTGTATACAGTCTATATAACACTGAACAAAGAACTGAAGAACAGTGCACGCAAAGACGAAAGACACCTCCACAACAGACTGGCAAGTGAAGTAGAACAGGCTGCAGGTGAGAGAGACCTGACAACATTGTATCAAATAACCAGGTTGCTATCTGGGAAGAGATCAACGCAGACGAAACCAATAAAAGGTGATGAAGGAAATTTAATTACGAAAGAAGAGAAACAAAGGAAACAATGGGCCGACCACTTCAAAAAGCTCTTGAATCGACCACCACCTGCACTTCATCAAGTAATACCACCTGCAACCGTAGAACTACAAGTTAACACAAATGGAAGTCCTGAACGCCATAAAACTATTGAAATGCGGGAAAGCAGCACGACCAGATGCGATCCCGCCAGAAGCACTGAAAACAGACGCAGAGAAAACAGCGAACATGCTCACACCACTAATGCAGAAGGTCTGGAAGGAAGGGAAGGTACCTGATGATTGGAAGAAGACTTACACTGTCAAACTCCTGAAGAAAGGAGACCTCAGTGTTTGCACGAACTGGTGCGGAATCTCTCCTGTCCAACCAATGCAAGCAAAATATTAAGCCGCATCATCCTGGAGAGGCTAAAGGACGCACTAGATTCCAAATGACAACCGGCACAGGCGGGCTTCACAAAGAATAAATCATGTCCCGACCAAATTGCAACGCCACTCTACGCATCATCACACAACAGAGTGTAGAATGGCAGTCAACCCTAACCCTACCTCAACTTCATCAACTTTGAAAATGCCTTCGACAGCGTTGACCGACAAGTAATTTGGAAACTGCATCAACACTACGGAGTACCACAAACCTTTATCAACCTCATTCGACAACTATATGAAGACGCCACATGACAAGTAATTCACAATGGGAAGCTCAGTGATGCTTTTGAAGTGAAGACAGGAGACAGGAGTAAAACAAGGTTGTCTACTATCACCCATGATTTTCCTGATTGTAGTGGACTGGATCATGCAACAGACAGTAAGGAGCTGTGAGAAGAGAGGGATACAACGGCCGGACCACGGAAAAGAACCTAGAAGATTTGGATTTCGCCGATGACTTGTGTCTGATGTCGCACAAACTCGAAGATCTACAGGCGAAAACTAACAAGTTGACAGGAGAGGTTGGGCAGCGAAAACGGGACTTCAAGTGAATGAATAGAAGACGGAGGTGATGAAGATACCCAACCAACAACAACAACAAGCTCCAATCACCATCGACGGGAGAAACTTAAAGGAAGAAACCTCCTTCACCTATCTAGGCAGCACTGTTTCAACTACAGGCAGCACAGACGAGGACGTCAAAGCAGCCAGGATCGGAAAGACAGCAAGACAGGCCTTCATTAGCCTGAAACCAGTGTGGAGATCTACTCCACTGCACTCAGCATAAAGCGTCAACAACATCCGGATTTTCAGTTAAGTCAGTGCTTCTGTATGGCTCAGAGTCTTGGAGCGTTACGAAAGGCATTTCCAACAAACTACAGACATTCATCAACAACTGCCTCCTCCAGCTCGTTGCTGAAGATCAGATGGCCAGAATAATCAGAATAAGCAACAAGAAACTCTGGCTGGCAACTAACCAACCAAGAACCTATCACCCAACAAATATGCACTGGAAGGAAGTGGAGATGGATTGGGCATACATTGAGAAGGCTGGCTGGGGACATCACGCACCAGGCCCTCGAGTGGAATCCTCATGGGAAGCGACGAGTTGGGCGTCCTAGGTGAGGATGACATGGAGGAGATTGTGCGAGGAGGAAATGAGAGCTTGTGGGCTGTCGTGGAGCCAGGTTCAAAAGATTTCAGAGAACAGAGCGCATTGGAGACGTGCTACTGAAGCCCTATTTTCTATTAGGAACCCAAGGGACTAATAAATAAATAAATAATACTTTCGTTGGTTTACATAGAGTGATCAGAGTTGTTATTTATCTTTATACTTTCTCATAGACTATTTTGTACAAAGTACGATTCCCCTCACTAAAAACCAGTATCTCAGGTAAACATTTTTTGATTCCAGAATTACTGTACACAAAAGTACTTGGATGGAAACAAAATACCTCAGGGACACAATATCCAAACAGTATCTTCAAGAATAGAGTTGCTGGTAGGTTCAGAAACAATCAAGTGATACGTTTAAATATGAAGGATTAGTGGTTCCATGCAAAACAGAATAATATGGAATCTTTCAAATCCCACATAAGAACACACGAAGCGTGTAGTCTGACATACCTTGATGTACTTTTAATAGCGTGAGCTTCATCCAGAACTATGTAAGACCATGAAGTTTTATTGATGAATTTCGCGTCCTGTAAGACAACTTGGTAACTTGTTATCACAACATGAAGTTCAGAGTCTTTGGTTCCAGCCTGCCCAGCAGTAATATCACCTGATTCATCAAAGGATTCACCGTCGTTTGACGACCGTGTAGATGACCAAAATCGACGCAGAACTTTACGCTCCGTCGGTGAACCCCAATATGGGACTAAACGGAAAGCTGGAAGGAATTTAGCGAATTCTTGTGTCCAATTATGCATTGTTGAGGCTGGTGTAACGATTAAAAATGGACCCCAAATATTGTAATTCTTCAAAGGAAATAAAAAAGAGTGATGACTGAAATCAATCAAAATTAGTTCCAATAGTATAAACTATGAATTAAAAACATGAGAAAAATTACTTTTTTTTTACATAATGCAAAAATCCGTATGAACATGGAACTCTCTCGAATGTTTTTAGTGATATCTGGTGTCCTTCAGTTCTAATAAAGCTGAATGTGTAAATCTCATACAATAAGAACTTAGCTCCCAATACTCCAAACTACCATCATTCATTCCAATTAAATGAAAAAGAACAGGTGTGATAAATTATTACTAAATTAGGTGCCAATTGCACGATAAATCATGATCCTATTTTTAACCTACTTAGCAACTTAGAAATCTCTCAAAAGAACATCTTGATCGAGAGATTAATATTGACTTAAGGAACAAGTGATCTCATTTATTTTTACATCTGATGACGACTCAGAACCTATGTTCGAATCCAATTCTGCTTCATTTTGCTGCTTAATCACTCAATCAATGAAATGATAAATTACTTTTGATAAGGTTTTTGAATTTATTTTTGCTAGGAGCGAAATTTAACTGATTACCAAAAATTAGGTTTCAGTCTCTTTCTTTAATGAATTCTTATGAATGACTTTGGCGTACATTTCCCCTTCTGTACTTTGCTTACCTGATACGAATTCATTCCCTCAACTAAAATAGTTTTAAGGAAAAAATCTTTTATTCTATTTTTACAACAGATGTCGAAAACGTACTTCAGCCAGACACCCAAGAAATGCAACAGTTTGTATAGTTTTTCCTAATCCCATCTCATCTGCTAAAATTCCATTGATGCCTTGATCGAATAAACCAAGAAGCCAATTCAAACCACGAATTTGATAAGCCTTTAGTTGACCTTTGAATAATTTCGGTGCTTCAACTAGTGTAGACGTTGTACTAGCATCTGTATTGACGCTTGCTGAAATGTTTAAGTTTTGGTTGATCGGTATCGGATTAAATTGTGATACCTAAAGAAAAGTGACAAAGAAATTATTTATTAATTCCGTTTTTATTAAAAAATCAGATGAATAGCAATTCTTATAGAGTTTACACTAAAGAACTGATGTCAGTTGAACAACCAGTGAACAGATCGAATTCTAGTTTGAGCCCCTCCAGCAGGTCATTTTTTTACTCAACACTTTAAGCTTTTTGGCGAACACGCTACCACTGAGCGACAATGTCGGGATAAATTGTTAAGCATTCTTCAACTTTAACCAGTTCATGAGATGACATAACCAAAGGTAAACGCCCCAAGCTACTAACCATTATTAGTCTACATTGAATTTCTCTATCCGAAGATACATTTTCTCCCTATGCGAATGGGGTCGAAGCTCACTGCAACAGATACCCGACTTCCAGTCAGTGAATCAGAAGTTTACACTCCACTATATATATGTAGGTTTAAAAAACCACAGAGTTACACTAATCGGTCACTGGGTAGTATCCAATTCCATGTTGTTGTTTAGTCCTTAGTGCTGACCGAATTCCGTCGACCATTTTGTATTGACTCAACAAGACGGTGCACTTTGATTTATGTCAGATAGTTGGAGACAGTCAGCACATAGTCCTGTTAATTGCCTCCACTTATCTAGACTGAACAGTATCATAGGTGCGCTTCATGGCCCAGTGCGCGAACTCGGATGCTATCGATGAAATACGCAATTATTATAGACACAAAATTAATTTTCGGGAAAAGATTTGACTTAAATCTTAGTTCACGCACTAATTGAAAAATTATTTTGCACACAAACTGGTTGCCGTAACTTCACCAAGACAACGCTCTGATCCTCAGTGTTGATCATCTATGTAAACTAATATGATAAGAAATCTAATTCTTTGTTGGCTGAATCAGGGAACAGAATATTACTCCAGTTACCAATTCATTTACAAATCCAAGTTATAAAACTCATTTATGAAGGCAATGTCTCAGTATTAACGTCTGTAATTGTGGTACTTAACGCTATGAGTAGGAATTTTAAAACAACAAGAAGTTGAGATCATTAAACTCATCCTTTGAAAGCCAAAAGAAACAACAAAAAGGGGATTCCATGAAATATCTAGAGATGTATATGCCAGTGATAAATAGAAGTGAAAGGCATGCATTTCAGTTAAACAAGTAGTTTAGAGGTTATAAGGTCAGATTATAGCTAAAGTCATACCCTGCAAGTGTATGTATTTTCAGTGTAAGCATTTCGATTATAATTCAAATAAAACAGTCATAGACTCTATTTTCTTTTTGTGAATTCAAGTCAACTTCTCAGTTACTGATTAAATAACATTTTACCATTCTAAAAATTGTAAGTAAACTATCAAGTTAGGCAGCTTGATTCTTGAGGACATTGAAGGTAATACAAAACCGAACAGATAATTGACTGTCACATAAAGATTAAAAGACAACGGAGTTCACATCAAATGGTAACGACTGACAGATGTTACCCTGTTCTAGTCGGGTTAGCATATCACAACCATACAAAGAACCATGATAGTAGAATACTTGCTCCATAGAGATACCACCATAACATATATGCCAGTTGGATAATACTAAGACAAAAGCAGTTACCCCTATAGTGTAGACTGCTACGCTATGACGGAGGTCCTGGAGAGAAGTCGAACAGCTGTGATGGTGAAAAATAATTCCAACGCACTACCAGCAGTGATACAATAGAACTGCATTCCCTTACAAGAAATGGCAGAGAGAGATTGATGGCAATAAGAAAACCGTACCCATTCTACCCCACAACATATCGGCTCACGGATGGACTTGCCAAAATGAACTAAGATACTCAATCTCTGAAAAGGCCACGTGTAACTGACCTCAAACAGATGTCCCTTGGACTCTGAGATCACGTGCTAACCCTTCCCTTTCAGTTATCTCTATAAGAACCAGGCTTCCCCAGTGTGGACATCTGCGTCAACTACCTTCACAACTCCGTCAGCATTCAAATTTCCTCAAATCACTCTCCACCTTCTACATCCCCACCTTATAATCATTCATCACGTCTCTCGGTCAACACTCTCACATCATCTTCAGGTTACTCCAGCTCTGCACCTCTTAACAGCGATGTGCTCACCGAACAGCAACACTGTTCTTCCGAAACCACTCTTTTAGCTGCATAATGAAGCTCACAGTATAAACACCCTGCATCAAATCTACCAACAACCTTCGCCAGCTAAAACTCTAGTAACTCGAGCCGTGGATGTGTGCAGTGTTTGTGTGACATGCATACAGCACCCAAGTTTGGTTATTCACTCAACCTCACCCAACCAATATGGTAAATCCATGGAATTCACTCCTCGAGTCTCTGGAGATTCGATGGCTAGTTTTGGTGTCTTACAGGTGTAGGTATAGCATTCTGAGTGATTGGGTGGATTCCCAGTTGACAGACACCTATCCACTGTTCATCTGAACGGTACAGGTACAGTGAGGAACAAAATGGGTAGTGGAACTCGTCGTTATCTCCTTGTAATCTCCATTTATGCATACACTGACTGCAGTTTGGATGAAGTGAGTGATGATTCCTACCGAGGACCATCTAGCCTCCTAATGCAAGCCAAGCGTTCAAAGGTGAGTGCAGTTGCAGGTGATTTCAGTCCACAATCGAGTAGGCTAATTCAGGCAGAAAGACACTAAGATAGTACTCTTGGAATCCAAGGTGAACGAACAGATAACGGTCATCACCTGATACAGCTCTGCTCAGACATCTGCTTTCAGCCAGCACGAGACATTATCTGACGTGGTGTCCATTGAGATCAACTCAGTGGTGGACACAGACAAACCATATTGCCATCAGTTATCGCAGGAGAAGGTTGCTGAAAGATTATCGCTCCTTCTGGAGCGTGTTTGGAAAGCAACCACGTACATCTCTGTGCCTTAACATAAGTGACAAACCTACAGTGGCAAGAACATTGCGAGTGCTTCTTGACGCGATGAGAATACTACGACTGCTTTTAGAACGAAAGTGGCGAGTAGGTCATCAGAACAGAACAACATCACTCACCCACAAGAAACTTGATGCCACCTATATTCTGTGTAAAAACAGGGTTAAAGACCGTAGTTGACTCTCAGGAAGTGGTTAGAAAGGACTAGTCTCACCAGCTTGTGGTTTATCGGACCCACGTAAATGCTTCCCTACGAGTTTTGAGCACAATGAGAAGCAGGGACAACTCGAATATAGACTGAAAGAAAGTATATGCAATGTTTGCTAACAGTGATGAGTAGCGAAGGTTGAAGGGATGAAAAAGGCAGTGGTGATAGTTAACAGTAGACAGTTGTTTATACTTATGGAGGAACATGGGTGTAAAGGTCAGCCGTTAATGAGAGTGAGGCGGAGAAGGGTTGACCTGTGATCCACTCGCAGAGAAGATAACTGGGACGATTTAGAGAACACTTTGAGGGGTGGCTCAACTGACCTCCAGTTACTATTTGGTTGCCCAATATCCAGTCGGATCCTGAATGAAACATTGAGATAGCACTGCAAACACTTACAAAAATCAATAAAGCTGTAATTAATTTGAAACGAGGAAGAGCAGGAAGGCTACAGAGAGTAGTCCTTGAGATATTTAAGGACAGTTGGAAGAGAATTATTTGTAAAATTAACTGAACTGATTACCAGCGTAAAAGATTCAGATATGATACCCTCTAGTAGTTGGCAATCACTGATTATCTTAGTCTTCAAGAAAGGGGAAAAATCCTCTTGTTATAACTGCATGGGAATCAGCCTGCCGAGCATTATGACAGAGTGACTGGCAAAATCAACGTAGAACCTCGCACACAGGCGCATCGACTCACGTTGCCACACTTCATATTACACAAAGAACGGGTGGATAGAAAAAGTGATATCCAAGTAGACAGTCATATCAGACAATAAACAATCTGAGAATAAAGATTACTGAGAACATTCTAGAAGTGAATACATCTACACCATTGTGACGACTTTCAAGCCATTTCACCAAGAGTCCTCAACCACTCATTCCCTTCGTCTCGAGGACTTCAGTCGGACAGTCTGCATCTTCCAATACAGATCAAATTAACAGTAAGAGACTTCATTGACTGATACCACGCTTTGATATGGCCGCCCTGAACCCTCTTCCAACTTCCCTTAGCACGACATATCGAGGTAGGCGGTGACTCGGGATGCGTAGTACATGTTCAAGCCATAACAGTCGACTGAAGTTCACAATCTCATTAACTGACTTGCCTGTCTTGCCTATTACCCCACGCCCGACCTCAACACTGCTCACACGGTTATTCCACTAAACTCAAGTAATGCTACGAGGACACCTATGATCAAAAGCCTGCAACCGATTCATGTATTCTTATTTCAACGACCATGTCTTACTGCCGTATCAGAGTAGAGAAACGACTGTAGCACAGTATATTCTTTCTTTGATCAGTGGTAGGAACTCTCGCCATTCAGTGCCAAAGACAATACAATTTGGCAAGTGCCAAACAGGCCTTCGATTTCCAAACTGAGATTTTGTCAGTAACCAGCCTGTTGGGCGGGCTGGTCAACACATTCCACCACTTCACGCCCTATCATTAAACTGGGAGTACTTCCAGCAAACCAGTCCTAGAGCACCATCGTGCATTTCACGCATGCTAACCAAGCATACTCAGATCTCTGCTTAAGGCGTTCAGAACAGTTTACATTTTATCAACCAAATAACCTACACAGAGTAGGCAAATCCCTGTGAAGTCAGATGTACCCAAAGTTATGTCTATTAGTACATCTACGACGAAATTAAGTAAGAACAGTGACAATGGACATCGCTGGCGAATACCATCATTTTTCGTCAATAGTGACGAGCGAAATTGAAACAGACAATCACCGCTGTCGGTTCGCTGGCACCACCAGGATACCACCAAGATACCTTTCCGATTGGTACACCTTCCCTTCTTGAGCGTTAAAATCATCTGCCATTATGACATCTGAACGTTTTGCTTTTTATGACCAAATTGACAGCTTCTCATAGAATTCATCCTAAGCATCTCCTAGTTTAGCGATTCTTCCTAATTCTTGAGGATCCATTCAGTTGAACAGCATATAGACGACTGTTGACTGGTATCCAGCCGAGAAGTGCACTTTCTGCTTAGCGATTCAGTGATAGCCACTGGGTCTCGGGGCATTCGTAAGGTGGATTTTAGAAATTCACTACTATGGGCAGGTGAGATAAAATTAATAACTGCACTTGGATCATGTATATGTCTCAGAGACACATCATACATCCATGGTTAGAGATATCAGAGTTTTGACGAGCGATGGTTGCTGTCCTATTTGGCATAGAGTTCGGACGTTGAAAGCTCCTACATGATATCGATGACAGGGTCTTAGGAAACTAGGAATGAGGTTTTGATGGCTTTAATCGTTGGCAATGGTTGCAGAGTAAGAGGCTGGGTAAGGTGTAAGAAGCTTAATATTATTATCAGAAGATGAAGGCAAAGGAGGAGACAGAGTTGAGGAGGATAGGTTATTGGGTCGTACGCACTACTGGGAGCATCGGGCGGTTGACGTTTCCCGACTGTCGGCACCGTGGAAGGTTATTTCTTCTTAAGGTACCTAAAAGAAGAAAAGATTTTTGTGAACACAGCCCATGGGACGTCTCCTTGAGGTCTATCACACGCGGGCTTTTGTGGGATTTTATTTGACATTCGCTTGATCTAAAACCAGATAGATAGAACTCATACCGCCGGTCCCGGAAGACCGTAGGGGAGGGTGACTTTTCCTAACCCTCTCTTTCCGTTGAGAAGGCAGCATCAGTGTGGCACTGTTGATCATCCAAGGAAAACACCTTACTGATATCACACCTTATCCAGACAGCAGTACAACTTCGTCCTCGAACCCCCCTCATAGTGCAGTAATTTACGCTGGAACGGTAACTGCTTTTCGTCTCATCACTACCCAACAGACCTTTCTGGCATTGTAGGATCTCGAGGAGACAGGCGTTCTACCAGCATAGCTCGATAGGTCATTGTGATATCCAAACCCGATCACCACATCAAAGGAGCAGCTATCGGCCGGGGACGAACATAATGCCCAAGATTCACGGTTCTATGACTAACAGGCATTTAATTGGGAGCTCGGGAAAACAGAACCCGAGAAAACCAAACCGTGGATGTATCGACCAGATACTCACTCTCCCCAAAGTTATGGAATTTAGGCACACTTACCGAGGCCCAACACTGGTTTTATTTCTCGACGTGAAGATGGCAGTTAGCTATCTCAAACAAGTAGTCTTATGGAAAGCGTCTTTCACTGAAAGGAGTGCCAAGTAAGTACATTACTCTATTGAGTGGTCTGTACTAGAACACTCATTGGCGTGTTACAGCGCATGGTGACTTATCAGATGCGCTGCGTACGTCGAATGGTGTCCGTCAAGAATGTCTACTCTTCCCATTCTTATTCAACCTTGTCACGGAAGTACTTATGGAGTGACATCACAAGGATTGATCTTATCACAAAAGACTCCTTGGCAGATCTAGAATACGTAAATGATATCAACCTGTTATGTAAAGACCTTAAAAAGATGCTGACTCTTCTGATGTAGAGTTCTAGGGAGGAAAAGCAGTTGATGAGGTTGTGAACCTTCATCGATTCAGGTGGCTGAAGTAGTCAGGCTAAAACATGGCATCATTGGATGAAGTCTCTTCAGCTGTCGACCTGATCCGTGTGAGGGAATGTGCACCTCCTGGTTGAGGTCCGCCTCACAGCAGAAACCAGTGTCTCGAGACTAGGTGACATGCCTCAGAATCGAGTTCAGTGGCGCGGATGTGTCGACACATTATCCTCATCTTAACCCGCGTAATGAATTCAGTATTTTCTTACTCCTGCTTCCCCTTCTTTACTACTTTTTACTGCTTTTGACCAAATCTCCTTTAGTCCAAGGTGGTATTCATCATGTACTAATGTCAGCTGGAGAATCACTGGAAGTAGCAGAGCATTGGACGCCTGTCTCATCCTAGTACCGGACTTCTCAGCACAGTGAACTCTTGACTCCACCAGGGATCGAACCCAGGACCTCTAGGTCTCGCAACAAGCATATTACCATCGGACCGCTGGGTAGGAGTCAAACGGCGAACATTTTTCGGTTTATGTTAGTTCCCGGTATAGCGCAAACTCCGTCCAATGCTATCGTTGAGTATTTCTCTTCACTCGCGACTTGGTTGGCCCCAACGGTGACGAATTCTCCTTAGTACTTCGGGAAATCTCACCTCAAAGCATGTTACTAATGAGTACTGGATAGTAACTCAGTCCGTGGATTTCTTGAATTCTTTATCCTAGTGATTTCTTGCTTGATTTGTCGATATGAGATGTGGACCGTTATGCAGCAATGCCTGGTCCTATGTTGATGATCATGACATCAGATGATGAGTCAAGGTATAACAAAAAGGGAAGAAAAATACTTTTATAAGACTGTTAGACCCTGCTTTGAACAAATTGTAGCTTGATGTGTAGATGCAGAAGGCGTTCGATGAAAAATTTCGAAACTAGATATCACACACATTAGCATTCATTAACTAACAGTCATTTTTAAGTTTAATTAGGCATTCGACGGTTGGAGATCTGACTTATTTATAACGTGCTATAAATCCAAGTGTACTATAATTCGGTATGGCAAAAAAGAGCGAGAGGAGAATTTAATGAGTTATAAACTTGCAAATATGTATACACGTACACGATTACGCTCAATTGTAACAGCTGTTTTGACTTTCATTAGGGCTTCAGACTTCACTCGTTCAATATCTAGAGTAATAGCAATATGGAGGAAAAGTAAGATTATTGTTTTAACGCATAAAAAGGCCTAAGTAGAACGAAATAATCAGTCTAAATCACTACAATTACTGCTTGATTCGTTCACATAAATGGTTGAACTACTTTTTTACTAATAGGTTCAGACAATTTTCAAGATAACCTCAAGACTACAAATTGAAAGTGTGATGTACAAATGAAAAAGGTATTTAAAGCAAATCTTGTGCAAATGCAGTCGCTTATGATTATAGTGAACAGAATACCACAGTGTTAAATCAAATAATAAGGATTTATCGGCAGTTTACAAGACTCTTTTATTATCTTTGGTTGGCTAGTGGTTGTTTGATACACAGTTTGAATATTTTACCTTTTAGATATAAGTGATGCTCTTATTTTATTGACTATCCTCCAAGTATAGATGGTGATTGAAGGTAGAAAGAAAATGTGGGTCGTGACAGGATTTGAACCGGTAGACTCCAAGTGTTCTAACAGCCGAGTTACGAGACCCCGCAGCTGCTGATCAAATCCTAATTTCACTTTAATTATCAAGGGTTAAGTAAACATATGCAGTCAGTTGGTCAACAGCTCGGTTAGAATGAGCTAATAGACATCAGTTAATTATCTAGCCTAGATACCTAGTCAAGTTTGCAATCAGTGAGATGTGACCTCAGTATTTTTGTTGACACAAATTATCGATACAATAACTCTCTAACAAAATACACTAAATTTCGATAAACACATAACTTACATCACCTGAGAGAAGGTTGAACCAACCAGAAGTGTAGTAGTTTTTGATTGTGAAAGATTAATATGTTAGCAGAGTTCGTCATCTCTCTATATATATTTAAATGTCTGGACTTGGAAAGGTATGGAGAATATACCAGCCTTCTACGTATAACTCCATACCCTTTAAGAAAATGATTTCCATTTTTGAGCTCTATCTCATTTACCTTCTATATGATGTTTACATTTTTTTCATCCTTTCCTAGCCGTCAATATTCATGTTGTAGTTATTATGTTGCTTTATATCTTTCATTGTGAAATGACTTACCACTACTTCAATTCATTAGTTTATCGCCTTCTATTGTAAAATGTATTGCTTTTTCGTTTGTGATTTATAATGTGTGTTGTACACGTTTTGCTTATCTTATGCCAATTTCCCTATGCAATTTAGTGTTGAACATTGTATTTTCATAATCACCTTTTATTTGTCAACTACACAATCATATGCTGTTTATCTACTTTCAGTATGTTGTGCATTTTTGGTGTTATCTTACCTTCATTTGAATGTGCCTTTAGACAGTGTGACACAAACACGATTTCAATTAACCAATTTTATTAATTTTGCTTGACGATAGATTTTGATTTTGTTTTGAAAAAGTTTACATGTTACTCATAATATATGAGATCTGAACTTTCTACATAAAATCTACAACAAGTTACTTATTTATTTTAAGTTTTCGGGACCTACATAAAAACAAAAATTGAATAAAGCCACCATAAACAATTTTTAATTTTACTGCTTGTTCATAATTTTAAAATTCACTAGCTAAATAGTCATAGTGCAAACTTCATTGGCAGGCCTTGATGAATGCTGAACACTAAGGATTGGACAACCATATCGATTACCATCCAGCGACCAATTCGTGTGAAGAAAGATTTTGATAAGTGTTCTTCGAAGTTATTTTTCCATACAGCAATGTTTATATAACAACCTTCAACACAGCTTTTATCCCCTGTGTACATGAACTGGAGCTAAAACATAGATTGATGTATTATGTGTCAGGAGTCAATCAAAAGTAAGCTTTGAACCTAAGTTTCGCACTTTTTGGCACTCATCATGTCTATAAATCTGAAGCAACTCGTGTTAACTCTGAAACTCGAGTGACACAGGTTCAAATATCTCATGGAACAACTATACCCTCGAATGATTGGGGTAGAGAATCCAGTGTATGATATATCTAATAAATCAACTAAAATGGAATTACATTCTACCACAGCACTCAAGTTTTACTCTTATATTAATCCAACGAAGGAGTAAGAAATAACTAGAAATCATAAGAACAAAGGCTTGATGTTTCATGAAAATCAGATGCCATCTGTACTTCTATAAAGAGTACAAACATGAATAAGAACTATGACTAAATGGTTTAGGCAGTTGGCCCTTATCCAGGATGGCTTCACCTATAGGTAGCATAATCAATCCTCATACAATAGGTATGGCTGACTGCTAAGTGCAAGAACCTTCACGATACCTATTAAGTTGTATACGCGGATAATCCACATCAAATACAAAAACAGGATTCACCATGAAATAACACAATGTTTACCAAGCAGTATGCGAACAATTTGTGCTTACCATACTCTTCCTCAGCGTTAATACCCAACCGACTAGCTGCTGCCTTTGCAGCTACTGCTATTGAACTGCAAGATTTTTTCAATGTATGTGAAAAAGATGCACCAGCACAATCTCGATCATTTTGACCAGAGTCCAATGCAACAGAGATATCGGATGCAGTATCAGTCCAATCATCATTTATTCTTCTTTCCACAGAATCATCAATTTCTTCAAGTCGACGTAATATTCTACGAGTTTCCGCTTCCTGAATATCCTCCTGACCAGCACTGCTGGACACAACTTCAGGATTCTCAGAACCGCACGTACTAGTAAAATCCTCTGATTTACAGTTATCAGCATTCACATCTGCCATCTTTCTAGCCATAAAATGAGCATATAATTCCGTTTGCGTGATTAAAAAGTTCAGTTTTCGTTGTTGTCTTCTTGCCTCCAAAAGTTCCAAGTCAGCTTTACGTTGCTCAGCTGCAGCTTTCTCTGCTCTCCGGCGTGCAGCTGTACTAGACTCTACCATTGCTGCAGATACGCCCAGTTCCATAGTTCCAGTCTCAGTTAAAACTGAAGCATAACAATCGGATAGATCCACAAGGGATGAAAAATTAGTGGTATTTGAACTGGATGGCATAGTTACACCATTAATTGTAAGGGGACCAGAGCCATTGGCTATGTTAGATGCCGAGCTACGCCAATTTAATGCAATTTCACGTGACAGACGATGTCCACGACCTTGGAAGAGAACACAGATAGATGAACAGAAGAAATTCAGGCATGCGAAATAACAGAATTACCAAAAGCTTATCTCGTGTGAGTTACCGAATTTATTATTGGAACTGTTTCAACAGTTACATGGTGAATTACGAAACTTTCTCTTCCTATGAGCGATTAGGAGAAACATAACGCTAGTTCCTGTTCCCAGTAAAGAGAAATGTCATGCTGCTTTCAACCATACCGTTAGAGAAAAACTTGGTCTGGATATTTCGTACGTCTGTACACAAAACGGGCTACAAGTTGCATTCCAAAAATTTCTTTTTCTTGTCATTTAAATGGAATAGAAATACTATCCTTATCAAGTGCAACTGAAGTAGCCTGTTTGTGAACAATCATAGGCTGAGTTTGATATCTATTCCATTGAAAATATAAGCTGTTGCACTACTATGATTATGCAAAAAAGCAAAAAAAAACTGATTCGCGAAGAACCTGACAGGTTTCCTTAGGGCTAGGGACACACTGATCATGCACTCACCATCAATCGAGTGTATCTCAACACCACTAAATGTCTTCCATGTCAGAAATTTTCATATCTCATTGGTATCAGGGCTAATTTCAACACAATGGATAAGTTGTCGGACAAACAAGATGAGCCTGTACAGTATGCGCTCTGTATAATTTAAATATAAAGTTGTTTTAAAGGACTAACAAGAGTTTTTGCTCACATTTATTTATTTAAGTGTAGTTATCTGGATACTCGTGGGGTTCGTAACAGATAGAATAACCAGAGTAGTAAGTGTCGATCAATAACTCAGAATACTTGTATTAAGCCTTTTCAAAACTCATGAATGGGATACCAAAAAAGAACACTAAGTCGATCGTCCAGCATAGATATAACCGGAGATTCGTATCAACACATCGACAATGCAGAGAGTAACTGGAAACTTGAGGTCGTGCATGAACAACGTAAAGTAATAGCGTTGTTATGACACTTGTAATTACCCGTTGCTATACACGGCCGAATGTCTGCACCTCTATTAGCAGATGGGCTCTTATGCGGATGCCTCGATACCGCTGGATATTCATAATGTTATATTGATCCTGGCCACTACCAGAGGAATCCTCTGTTAGATAATGCTGTACAAAATAAAGTTAGTGCTCAACGTTGAATAACATTAAGTATTAGACTGTTATTGGTTTACCGCTACACATATATCCTAAGCTCAAGTGATAATACAACTCAGTAGTTAGATGGTATTCTAGATGTCGCTTGAAATAAAAGCCTGGTGGTATTCCAGATGTACTCGTACACAAACAGGAAGATGGTTTCTAAACTGATTAATAACCCGTCTAATGTATCAGGAATCTGATCTATATTGATTTTGCCGTAGAATTTAGACCGATAATCACTGACAATCCGCACTAGTCTGACGATAATAAAGGTCCTTATGATCTCGTTCTTCACCTAATACAGTATGCTAAAGTAGAGTGATAAGTAACTATGTTCAATACACACCCAAAAGTAAAACTTTATCACTAAACTCTACTCACACTCCGAAAGATAATCTTCTATGGATTAGGTTCCCACTTATTTTACAGTATTATATTGAGAAATTATTCGAAAGAAACAGTATATATTTTAGTGGAAAAATATCATACTCTAGACCTGAAAGCTAGCGCAATGTCAAGCGGGAAATTTTAGAGACATTTTGACGAGACAGAAGAGTTTTAATAAGCAAACAAATAAATATTTGAAGAAAGACAAGTGAGCAAAAAGCTGAAAGTGGTAGAATTTCAATCGTTGGTTGTCTGATTATCAGATCAGTGAGCCGGTGGTTCTGAGTTTCTAACTTAGAGGCTCAGGGTTCTTTCTAGCTTTAATCACCACCACCGTATGGTACGCACTTTACACCATCGAAGTGCAAAGTACTTTTGCAAAACTGGCAGGAGCCTGTCTGCACTCACCCTCGATGGTGAGTCGTTGGAAGTAGTCGCAAACTTCGTCTACCTAGGTAGATACGTGAGTGATGAAATTTCTAACCGCACATCAAACGCCAGAGTGCCACTCGCCAAACTAGGCGACCTATGGCGCAGTCGCGACATTAGTCTGACCGTTAAAGGTCGGGTTTACAACGCTTCGCTGCAAGCAGTTCTGCTATACGCCTGTGAAACCTGGCCTCTCCGAGCTGAGGATATGCGGTGACTCTGTGTGTTCAATCATCGTTGTCTCCCTGGGATTGCTCTTATTCATTGGCAACACCGTATAAGTAATCCTAAGGTACGACAGCGTGTGTTTAGGTACAGTGGAGATCGTCATTCAATAAGTGAAGTCATCTGGAAACACCGGCTTCGGTAACTTGGACGTGTTACGCATATCGTCCCAATGGCTTCCATACCGTTCATTGTTTGCTAGCTCTGAAACTGGATGGAAGAAGCGAAGGGGTGGTCAGTGTATGACGTGGCACCATGGGATGAATGATAGTTGTATCGGGCTAGCATCCGTTGGTGCAGTTCGACTCCCTGGGTGCAGTCCGAAAGATCACGCAACTAACCGGCTTGAGACGTTATCAGATATGGCTCACAATCAAAACCAGTGGCGGTTATGATGTAGTTTCCTTTTATCTTCTGTTGCTGAGAAGTAATGAATGTTTTGTTTTGAATGTATCTTACTGGACTGCCCATCTAACCATGCTATTCTGCTTGTGTTTTTCTTTCTTACTTATCCACTTCCCATCACTTTATGTCTTTATAATGTTGTTCTATTGTTTTGTGCGGCATATTTGTTGGTGCCCTTGCTGTACCATGTTTGTGTTATAATAATAAGAAAAATGATAATCACCTCCATAAGATATACTGGAGTTCAAAGACTAAAGCTATGTTAGGTAACTTAACTATGAGTAGGTCAATTACTCCGCCCTATTTACATCCACGTAATTAAGAATATAGGTAAAAAACCGAATGCTTAGTTACTGTAAGTATTTGGTTTCGCATAACAACTATGGTGGAAAAAAATCTATGACCGAAGTTAAATCGAAACCTGGCTGAACTAGTAGTATGCAGCGCGTTTCAGCTGCACGAATACCAAGCAGATAATCTGCGGATAACCAATCAAAATTTAGAAACAACATAGATTCCTTCTTCCCTATATTTCAACTAATATTGTTGAGCAGACACGTGAACTTGCCACCCATAAAGTTAACTAACCCTGAACAACCTTGTTAGCATTATTTGTCAGACAAAAATGTTATAAGGAATATCACCAAAATGATAGGTTGGTCATGATTTTCATAAAAACAAATAAAACATTGAGATAGAACTGATCGAAAAAAATTGAAACTCGATCTTACTTATTGAATCTCTAGAAGCTTTTTGAGAAAGTAATGCTTTTTGGCGTAATAAACGTGCACATTCACGAGCAGCACGTTTCGCTACTATCATTTTGTCTCGACGATTAGCAACACGTTGTCTGGCCACCTTGCATATTATCTTTTTAGCCAAAGACTTCCAAGCCCGCAGGACCTTAGCAGAAAGTCTCCTAGAAGCTGGAACACAAGAAACAGTAGCGAAGTGAGTAGTTACAAGTCTGCTTTCAGTATTTGACTTCGTTTTACGCACACTTGGACGACCAGCAGCTGCACGTGCGGAAAACGCTTGACGTTGACGAGAAATTATGGTAGTAAGTTGATCTTCCTCTTCTTCTTCATCTTCATCAAGACATTGTGGTATGGTGTCATTATGAGTACTCTTTTTTAGCTTTTCAGACGAGGAGGATGTTTTGGGTAATTCACGCCTTTTCAACACTGATTTATTACAGTATTTTCGTGACCAGGATGAATTCTGAGGATGGGTGGATGGACGACCAAACTGAATAATTCGAAAAAATTAACATGACAGAATCAGCTTACCGGTATTATCTCGAGGCACAACTTATTTAGTATGCAACAGTAATGACATTACACTTCTGATTCACCCACTTGATCTATGCACTCTAAGAATATCACTGAGTTAGAATTTAACCATCCTCCTTCGCAATTAGGTAGCTCTACAATTCATGGATTTCCATCAGATAGATAGACAGACAGACAATATCACCAAAACTGGGAATAATTTTTTTCCAAAAACTAACAGTCAGTCGTTGACTAACACTAAGCTTTACAGCTTTAATTAACCAAGACATGTTCTTCATACAACCGTCATTTATACAACCCAACAAAACTTGATGTGGCATGGCAACCCGCATAAACACAAAATCCTAAAGCTCTCAAGAACTTGAAAGAACTGCTGATAAGTCGGTTCACCATTGAATCCTTTATGCAAGTCAACTATCGAAGTCACATTGAAACTTTACATTGAAACACAGACCAGTGTAGGATGCTGATAAGTGTGTTAGTGTCCTCAAATTAAGTACTAAATCATGAAGCCTAATTTATTGCGATTAATGATAAATGAACTCTAGAAACTATTCTACTTCTCTGCTAGATCCCGTAGAGGATAAAAGGCAACAAGTAAAATAAGTCTGATGGACATAAACGTGACCCCATTTGAAATAAAAACATATCTAAATGGTACCACTGAATTGATAATTTTGTTAATGATTGAAAGTAGTCGATCACGATTTTCTACTTATTTCCTGGATTACGTTATTTTTAGTCGATCAAAAATTAACTGCGATTGGTGGACGAATGCAAATGTCCAGACCAAAATGATGGCTGGAAACCAGAGAACCTAAGGGGTTACTAACAGCTAACTTAGCCGCTTCTAAAAATTCCTCGTTCGGGCAAACACTTAGTGGTAATTTCGATTTTACCCGTAATGATCACTAACCAATGGAATTATCTAGTCCTTATTAGTCAGTGATGATCGATAAACTTCGATTGGCAGCGAGCGCTAAGCAATAGACAACTACATCGGTTAGTCGCTGGTGGTCAACTCGTGTACTTGATCTAGTCCGACAGGGAATCACCAATCGTGGGCGGAATAGCTTAACGGCATCTTCTCTGACTTCAGTACTGAGTGGTGCGAGTTCGAATCATCAAAGCAATATCCATTTCCTCACATATACAGATACACTTTACAGATAAGTACGAACAGCACAAAACTGAATTCAAGGACTTCCTACTGATTGACTCGTAGCACCTAACACTAAAATTTCATGTCTTCTCTGAAAACGTAATAAGACGGAGTGACACTAAAACTCTATATCCAGTGAAACAAATAAATGATAATTCACGTAGATGAATTTAAAACCATGTAGCTTAATGATTACCTAGTTAGCAAGCTTTTATTATTTCAAATCAAACCTTTCTAAACAAGTTTAAAACTCGATAGTACCTTGAAACTTTTATGGTTAACTATTACACTAGTGTTAAAAAATAATCCCAAAAAAAACACAATCCCATGTTTCCGATAAACTTAACAGTTATCGCTTCATAAAAGGAAGGATAAAATATGGAGGATCACTACTGAACTATAACAAATTTTCTAAATCAAACACAGCTGATTTAGAACTGATGATCAAGAGCCCATGTGAAAGTATGAATGAACAGGATGAAACCACTGAAATCCTCATAACATTATCAAGACAAAACAACTGGACAATTAACACTAATAACAAGTTACTGGATGATGATTGAAGGTTAAATGAAAAGTTGGACCTCAACCGGAAAGCCAGTAGTGGCTAATTCGAATCCGGCGGCGGTCCAAATTTTCACTTTACCTTCAACCATTTACCCCGGTAACAATACTAGTCTGCCAAATCACGGGTATCTCGGATAGTCAAAATGATGACTAAGTATCCATCTGTAACTCACAAAGAGAACATACAAAGCATGAGCATGCTCAACAGTAAGAGATTTAGTTGAACGAAGTTGTTTGACATTTCAAATATTAATTGATAACACCTAAAAATGTGCAGTGTTATCTGATATTTTTTAATATAACGGGAAAAACCACTCAGCACTGTAATTTTTACTGAGAATGGTTATGGTGAAAACTAATCTCACACTTACCAAAAGATAATTAAGTAAACTTAAAATAAAATCCACAAGCTGATTGCTTTTTATCAATTGTTTGAGTGTTTGAAACAAGACAGTGTCTCTATTCTAATGAAATTAGACCTGTTATATGCATCTATACTAATTATTAGTGTCAATTTCTTAAGAGTGCCAAAGTTATGTGTTGGAAGAAATTCTTCTAGGAAAAAAATTCGTAACAAAACACAGGGAAGTAAACACTTTTTACTACTACTATGCTTAGGTTTCACTGCAGCTTGATGTAGTACCAAAAGTAAGATGCGAGGGGAACTAACCTTAGAAGACCGAGCTCCGCGAATTAATTGAGTTGCTTTCCGTTTGCGCATACCTGAAGAAATGTTTGAACTTTTCCATGATGCGACTCTGTCTGACGTTATGGAAACATCAGAATTTTTATGTGATTTCTTGATACTGCAATTACCGGATGTATGCTTAAACCTTCGAGATGCTGCATCCTCTGAAAATGCTTGGATACCAACTGAAGCGAGGATATGCCGTCTTTCTTCCTCTTCCATGCATGCCACACGTTCACGAGCATCTGATCTCCACTCAGCTAACAAATGATGTAATTCTCGTAGTACTTGAGGTGAAAATGAACTGACAGGACGCCACTGTTCACCTTCAGATGGTTTAAGTAGCTGATGATTAAAAGTGCACGAAATTAATTATTTCCATGCATCATCCGAGCAAAAAGGAAACACGAAAAGTAGAATCAGCATAAATATAATCTCACTAGAAATAAGAGTAATAACAGAATGGTTATCATACAACACGTTCAGAATACTGGAACAATCAAAAAAGCGATTAGTTTTATAAGCTGACATGATATTCCACTAGCAATACCTTTCGGTAGAACACCTTAATCCCTTGGAGGAAGCAGTACCAAAGCAGAGAACCAGAGTTCAAACTGCACACTTCACTACTTTGCATAAGACTCACAAACTAAATAAATCCGTATCCAAGAATACTAACAGACACTAACTTTCGGTGACAACATGAATCGCTTCAAAACGTAGATGGTTGTTAACACTAAAGTCGCAACTACAATTTCGTCTGAAGGTTCTTTCTGATTATGTAACATTTAAAATACAGAACGGGTACATAATCAAACTGATCAAAAAGACTGTATTAATAACTGTTCTATAAAATTATTCACGATGAACTACTGTCTTAAACTTGGAATTAATAAACTATAAAAGATGATGAAGGAAATTTAATTACCAAAGAAGAGAAACAAAGCAAACGGTGAGCCGACCACTTCAAGAAGCTCTTGAATCGACCACCACCTGCACTTCTTCCAAAAATACCACCCACAGCCGCTGAACGACAAGTGAACATAAATCCTCCAACAAAAGTGGAAGTCCTGAACGCCATAAAGCTACTGAAATGTGGGAAAGCAGCAGGACCAGATGGGATCCCGCCAGAAGCACTGAGAACAGACGCAGAGACAACAGCGGACATGCTCACAGCACTATTGCAGAAGGTGTGGATGGAAGAGAATTTACCTGGTGATTGGAAGAAGGGCGACCTCAGTGTTTGCAAGAACTGGTGCAGAATCACTCTCCTGTCCAACCAGTGCAAGCAAGATATTAAGACGCATCATCCTGGAGAGGCTAAAGGACGCACTAGATTCCAAATGACAACCGGCACAGGTAGGCTTCACGAAAAACAAATCATGTCCCGACCAAATTGCAACGCCACTCTACGCATCATCACACAACAGAGTGTAGAATGGCAGTCAACCCTAACCCTACCTCAACTTCATCAACTTTGAAAAGGCCTTCGACAGCGTTGACCGACAAGTAATTTGGAAACTGCATCAACACTACGGAGTACCACAAACCTTTATCAACCTCATTCGACAACTATATGAAGACGCCACATGACGAGTAATTCACAATGGGAAGCTCAGTGATGCTTTTGAAGTGAAGACATGAGACAGGAGTAAAACAAGGTTGTCTACTATCACCCATGATTTTCCTGATTGTAGTGGACTGGATCATGCAATAAACAGTAAGCAGCTGTGAGAAGAGGGGGATACACCGGCTGGACCACGGAAAAGAACCTAGAAGATTTGGATTTCGCCGACGACTTGTGTCTGATGTCGCACAAACTCGAAGATCTACAGGCGAAAACTAACAAGTCGACAGAAGGGGTTGGGCAGCGAAAACGGGACTTCAAGTGAATGAATAGAAGACGGAGGTGATGAAGATACCCAACCAACAACAACAACAAGCTCCAATCACCATCGACGGGAGAAACTTAAAGGAAGAAACCTCCTTCACCTATCTAGGCAGCACTGTTTCAACTACAGGCAGCACAGACGAGGACGTCAAAGCAGCCAGGATCGGAAAGACAGCAAGACAGGCCTTCATTAGCCTGAAACCAGTGTGGAGATCTACTCCACTGCACTCAGCATAAAGCGTCAACAACATCCGGATTTTCAACACCAACTTCAATGAAGTCAGTGCTTCTGTATGGCTCAGAGTCTTGGAGCGTTACGAAAGGCATTTCCAACAAACTACAGACATTCATCAACAACTGCCTACACTGGCTCGTTACTGAAGATCAGATGGCCAGAATAATCAGAATAAGCAACAAGGAACTCTGGCAACGAACCAACCAAGAACCTATCGCCCAACAAATATGCACTGGAAGGAAGTGGAGATGGATTGGGCATACATTGAGAAGGCTGGCTGGGGACATCACGCACCAAGCCGTGGAGTGGAACCCTCATGAGAAGCGACGAGTTGGGCGTCCTAGGTGAGGATGACATGGAGGAGATTGTGCGAGGAGGAGATGAGAGCTTGTGGGCCGTCGTGGAGCTAGGTTCAAAAGATTTCAGAGAACAGAGCGCATTGGAGACGTGCTACTGAAGCCCTATGTTCCACTAGGAACCCAAGGCACAAAGAATAATAATAATAATAATATCAAAACAATCACATTAATGTTCATGGACTCAGCTATGATTAATACGCAGTGAGTAAGGACTGATAAAACTAGTTATTAACCTAAATGGAAGTAGATATGATGAATTTAAGTCATTATTCAGTGACTGACTGACAAAAATCAACGTAAGACCTTGCACACAAGTACATTGGTTCACGTTGCGACACTACAGTGATACACAAGAGCAGGTGGCTAGAAAAAGAGTAGTGTCAAAGCAGACAAAGTTGGGTGAGAGAAAAAGTTATTTGAAGATAAGTGTTAGTGCAAATATTCAAGCTAATATTCAAGACAAATTATGACTAAACAATTAGACAGGCATTTGGTGTTACAAACAAAGAGGTTCATTCATCAAAAAAATAAAAATTTTGAAGTTCATCGCATTTTTATAGCACTTACACAAATATGAAACACAAACGAACAAAGTTTCATCGTCTGTTCTAATCTTGTTTCACATTAAGTCACAACAAAAAACTTTCACTTACGCTGTATCCAGGGTGAGAAGAACATTTTTCAACCCAGTACTCATTTGCTAGATTATGGTCTGAATCAAGAAAAAAGTATATTTAAAACCATATTAGATAATCATGATCCTATCCATATCATGAGAGCAGTAAAGAAACTTTACTAAACAACTAATTCGGAATAAAAATAGACATTCTACGGCTACATTTATACAGATCCATTTTGCAATCATAATTGAAGTAATTCATGTACAATTTACTCAAAGAAATTCACCATTTGTGGAATCTAGGAGTACAAAAGGAAAAAGCTTTAGACTGATTGAAGAGTAATAGTAACACGAGTTGTCCGTTTTTCCTCACAACAGCTTTCAGAATGGTTGCATGAATTTACTAACGAGATGTGGCCTAGAATTTGATACCTATACGAGAAGACAATGTTAATGTGCTTCGTAACCCCATGACAGATAGGACAAAAGTGTAATCTGGCATTATTTTATAACGATCCAATATGTAGCACCTCACATCAGCACATCAAGGCAACAAAGAGGAACATAAATAGATTTTTTTCTAAAGTAGTCAAAAGTGGTAGAAAGTCATGAGAAGAAAACGATAAGAAACGGGACGGTTACGAAATTGGTATGGGGAATAAGATGAAGATGAAATATGTAGGCATCTGCGACACTGAGGTCGATTATGAACCATAACACACACAATCTCCAACAACTGATTTCCCTTGTCACACGGTCGACAACCAAAAATTCTACATTTCTTCAAACGGTTAAGACTTCCAGTAAAATAATGACGTCATGTTTTAGTTTGGCTGCCTTTAACCTGCATCCAAAGTAAACCTACTTCAGTGAACATTGTGAGACGTGATGAATGATTATAAGGTAGGGATGTAGAAGGTGGAGAGTGATTTGAGGAAATTTGAGTGCTGACGGAGTTGTGAAGGTAGTTGACGCAGATGTCCACACTGGGAAAGCCTGGTCCTTATAGAGATAACTGAAAGGGAAGGGTTAGCATGTGATCCCAGAGTCCAAGGGACTGGTACAAGTATGCGATGGGGTAGGAGGGTGTGCTATTTTTAGGACCGACCTCTTCTCCCTATTCCCATAGGGGAGTGCAGTTTTATTGTGGCACTGCTGGTCGTCCATGGGAAATAATTTACTCTCATCATACCCCGTTTTGTCATCAGTACGACATTATTGTTGGACCCTTATCACAGCTTAGCGATTGGCAATATGATGCTAGATGCCTGCTGTCCTACTACTATGCAACTGACCTTTCTGTTATGGTAACAGCTCGAGGGAACAAGTGATCAACTAGCATAGATCGTTGGGTTACTGTGACAAGTAAGCCCAATCACCACGTCAAGGAATTAGATGCCTGTTACTTTGACAATTACTTAATTAATGTCTCTTCAACCTAGATTTAGATGTCTGGGACTTGATAAGAAGCCTCCTAAAATGGGGCTAAAAGACTTAATTGAATAGCAAGTTTTAAGATTGAAGCCTGGCTTTTTCCCCTCTGGCTCACCTATCAAAGTGGGCAAAACCAAACGACGTCACGGGTTCCAACACCATTACACCCACTATCATCTAAACAACGACGAAGTACCACTAGTCTATACGCTAAGTGCAGCTTATAGATTAGTACGAAAACCTATAGTGAATCCATTAATGTGCATAACTCTAACATTATGCAAGACTATGCTCTAAGAACAACATATTTTTCTCATTAAGTAGCGTCTTAATAATTAGCAGTGCAAGCAACTAATAGTATAAATGAGCTCAAATATAGTTCTCAATCAGCTTTAAATAACATATTACTACTACAATACTCTTAATACAAGACTAGGCAAACCATTTTGCAAGAAAATCAAGATGACGTGTTACAATAAATTGAACCATATAATTTTTGCAACATCCATATGACTGCAGTAATACTAAGAATGCTATCAATGTATGAGTTGGAAATTTCAATGATCACCTAAAGTACGCAGTGAGTAACTGACAAACAAGCCACTATACTGCAGGCAAAATAATTCAAAGAGAAAAATGCCAGGGCTATAATTGGACCGTAGAAAGTAAACCACAATAACGAAAATAAAACATATTTATAACGCAGGATTGTCTGTAAACTATTCAGAAGCGTACAAAAAGGAGTCAACCGTAGCCACGTCTGATAATGGATTGACATTAGCTCAGGAGAATGAAAGAAGTACAGCTAATTCTTCGACTGGGTTTCACCTAGAAAATTTTTAGGCACATTGAACAATTTGGGTACAGACCAAAATATAATTTCAGTGAACTTTTGAAATTCCGGTTGCACTATGAAGTTTGTGGAATATATAGACGACAATTTTCGGGGAATTCCTGCCAAGTGACTGTACTTTCTAATGAGAAATTATTAGGTCTCTAAGAGTACCCAGCTTCTTGGCCACAGAATGCCAAATTACGCCCGAAATGTTTGCTGACTGGGACCAAGCCGGCTAACACTTTGGGCGCACCTTGGAGTTTTCGGGCAAAAAAGCTTTGGGCTTACTGCAGAAAACGAATCCTCGTTCCCCAAATTGTCAAGCATCTTTCCCGAAATTGCCAAAATTGTCAAAGTACGCCCAAATTATCCAAAGTTTCTGCAGTGAACCCAAAGTTTCACAAATACGGCATTATGACAGGCAGTAAGTAGTGTACGTGAATAGAACTTGCGTGTGTATATGCTTAGTGGTAGTATACGATATATACATGTATATATATACCTGTTAAATAGCTTCCTGAAGATTGTAATCTCGCGAAATACAATTCATTTTGGAGATGTGCCCAAAAGTTCCAAAATGCACCTCAAGTTGGTTTCGGGAACTACCCAAAAATGTAAAAGTGCACCCAAAGTGTTTACCTGCTGAAAAGTATTGTCTTTCTAAAGTAATTTTCATCTTGGATAGGCCAAAAAAAGAGTTCGCCCCAACATTTTTGAATCACATCTACTCAAGATGTCAACGAGAAAATGGTTTGCGTCAACTAGACATAGTCATTTATGTTGACTGGGTAAGGTTCTTAACTGTACTAACTAACAAATCTGCGAAAATTGAGACTTTTTGAAAGCCATTTATACAGAATAAACGTTTGGTTAAGAACGCTCTATAACATGAAGCAAAAATATACTGTGGTAACACATCGGACATTAGTGGTATAACATGGTGTACATACAAATGAAGGCTTATTTAGTTTGTGCACTTACGCAGAAACGAGGGTTGCAAAAACAATGACTGAGGAAGAGACAGCATTTTAGCTGCCATACTTATCTCGCTTTCCATTTTCCTTTCATATAGTACATGTCCACAAACCTAACTTGGTGGCGGGCAACTCGAAATTCCTCCAACTTGAAACCAGCCAATGATTTACGTCGAAAATCAGCCGTCTAACTAGAATTTTGATTTTTTATTCTCTACTGGAGGCTTTACTTATCTTTCTCCAAATAAATTTTTCAACAAACTCTGTAAACTCTTCTCTGACTGCACACAGCTAAAAACAATATTCAATATCCAATATCGTTTTACGAGCTAGTGTAAGCAACTGATTTCTTCATGCTCGCTTCTAGGTCTTGCGGAACGGTTCCAGGTCTTTGAGGGATCCCGATGCAGTAGGCTACCCACTCGACTACTGTAGCTCTGGTTAGCCCAACGGACGGTTGGGCGTTGGTTAAATTTGTAGTGTGTTGTTTGTTTGTTTTTCTCCCAAGGACTGTGGTGCAGGTGAGTTCCTTAAGTGTCATGCCGGCAGACAACTGGTCGGAATGGCTTTAGAAAGGAGATGAAAAATATGCGCAGAGAAATCAAGGGGGAGAAAGTGTAGGGAAAAACAAATGGAAAAAGAAAGGAAAGAGAAAGACGATTGGGAGAAAGGGAACCCTCATGGAAGAAGAAACATTAGACGATTTGTGGGAAAGGGGTGATGGGGAGAGTTTTTGTTAAAGTTTGGGAACGTAAAGTCAGAAAGTAGGAGAATAAATAACATTATAGGACGAATGGGAATATAGAAATCCTTTTAGTAGGAGACCGTAACTGGAGGGGATGTCTATAGCGAGGTATAAGGTCGAGCCGAGTTTCCAGTGACAGCGGTGCTACAAAGTATTCAGTGACGGTTGGCCGTACCGAGTTAGTAGGTCGTGTCGGCCTAGTTCATATCTCAGCTGGATGAGAGCAAACCGTGCGTCGCTGCGTAACTGTCTGACCTCTCCTTGAAGCTGTCAACAAACGGAGCAGTCGCAATCTCAGAGGGCGATGCGTTCTAGTGGCTGCAAACTCGCAGAGAGAAGGAGTGCAATTGCACACGGATTTTTGCTGTTTGGCGGGCGATTCTCCTTGGGTTACCACGAAGATCGCCATAATGGCCGTTCGGTAGGATTCCACTGTAAGGATGACTTGGGTTACCTAGTATTTTGTAGGCCGTTATCAAGTCACCACGTAATCTATGGTAGCTTAGAGAGTAGAGTCCTAGATCTTTCAGCCTGTCCTGATATGGTTTTTGCCTCATTCCTACGATACCCTTTGTGGCTCGCCTTTGGACCTTCTCTAGGAGGTTTACTTCTCTTTTCAGATATGGTGGTGCAATGACGTCGTGGACCTCTAGGTGGGGTCGCATATAGGTCTTATACAGCTCCAGAAAGAGTTCCGGGGTCAGGGTACCCAGTTGTTTGCTCATGAAGTGCAGTACCACGTAGGTTGCAGATATATCCCCTGGATAATTGTCAGTCAGTACTAGTCCTAGGTCTGGGGTGCGGAGAAACATGGTTCGGCACCTATCCAGATTAGATGCTGGTCCATTGATATCCACCCACTCTGCAAGTAACCTGAGGTCACCTTACAGTGCACTTGGTTCCATTTCCGACTTCATAGCTCTCCATAACTCAACATCATCAGTGCAGAGTAGTATTGAGGAGCTGAGATTCAGGGGGAGGCCGTTCACAAAAAGAAGGAATAGCAGTGGACCCAGAATCCCTTCTTGTGATATACCAGATGATAATGTCCTCCAAGTCGAGCAAACTCTATTGGCTTTCGTGCAGAATTGTCTACCACCTACGTAGTCCTGTAACCATGAAAGTACTTGTCCCTTGATGCCCAACCTTGCTATTTTGTGCATAAGAATGGTGTGTGGGACTGCGTCGAAAGTCTTAGCAAAATCCATAAAGACGACATGGACAGGAATTTGGAGATCCCAGCATGCCGTCCACTTATCACCTGCAGCCAGAATGTTTAAGGCTTAGGATCTACTCTTTCTGAAACCCCTTTTCTAAGTACTTCCTGACATGGTCGTCCACCAGGTTCTCCATTACTTTTGACTATGAATTGGTGGCATTTGGGTTCTGCCTGCTTCCTCCTTTGAAGATGGGGGCAGAATAGCACTTTTCCACTCTTGTGGAAGCATGTGATTTTCTAAGGAGTGTTGAAACAAGTTACACAGTGGACCCTACAAGGCACCCGCGCATTGTTTCAGCACAGCCGGTCGGATGTCATCACACCCTGGTGATTTCCCTGCGAGGAGCTTTGATAGCTTTACGAAGACCATAGCAGGAGTTGCCTTTATTCCAGGTAACTACCGCATTTGGTGGCGCTGGATGTTGCTCTAGCAGTTTGTAATTTTGTTTCGATAGAGACGTATTCAGTTGCGTATTGGAGGCGGTGCTAAAGGCTTCGGCTATCTGTAGTCCGGAGAGGTTCTCTCCGTCTAGGCCCTAAAGGATGGAAGCCACTCGGCTGGTAGACTTTCTGCCTGCCATAAGTCGCCTCGAGCTTCTCGTTAAGGTTTATCTGGAACGGCCTCCCGTCTCCCCTCACTCTGATGTCACATCGATTTCTTACGGCCATATATGCGGTGTGGTCAGACTGTTTTCTGGATGTCCTCCACTTATGCTATGCTTTCCTCCTGGCTTTCAAAAGGTGTTTGGTGCCTCGCTTCGCCACTAGGTTCGCTTCCGTGGTGTTGCTGTGGTTACAGTGACTTTTTCAGAGATGGCCCTCTTGGTGGTACCTCTAACTAGCTCCCAATGTTGACCAATCGGCAGGTTGACCCACTCCTGAGGCCATAGTGCCACCGACAGGTACTGGTTCATCGCCACGTAGTTTGCCTCGCTATAGAAAAGACAAAGGCGAGATCCCTCCGAAGACATTTGTTCGTTGAGTGCGGAATCGAACGCAACTACGTCGTGATGGCTGCTGACGAGTGGGTTTTGAACCTGTACATTTTCTACCAGTAGGTGGCCACTAATAAAAAGTAGTCCAGTTTGGATGGCTTTCCGTCTGACCCCTGGCGACTGTCATCTGTAAGGATTATGATCTTTGGAGCAAGGCAGGAACAGGGGGATCGTCGGTCCCCCATCTTACTTCCTATTCCCCTCACATTGCCGTAAAGACGCTTGGATTTGTTTCTAACAACATAAAGTGTCTTGGTGGGGGTGGGCTGAAGAGGGTTGCGCTAGGCGGCGAAACTTGCTACAGGATGGCCGGCTCCAGTGGAACCGGCCCAATTATGTTTCTTCTCACTGTGGTTTCTGAGGGTTTTACAGAGTCTAGGCGAGGTTGGGCGTCTTGTCTGCTGACAGTGATGGTGACCCCGACACTAGGCGGAGCTGTCGTTTGCTGTTGTCGCAGTGTCCTGAGCCTGCTTTCACAGCGACGAACATTCCAGCTGATGCTGCCTTTTACGGGGTGCCAAGCCTGCATTACTTTGGTTAAAAGTTCTTGACACCAGAAGTTAATAGCCACCAACCTGTCTGACGTCATCGTCGTCAAACGTGGGGGACGCGGCAGCCTGCAGACCACCGCCGCCGCTTTCCGATTCAACCCCATCCTCGCTGATGACCGCTGACATTGCTGGACGTTGTGATCATACTTTTCCACCACTGTGCCGGTCGTTAGTTTCGGTATGCCGTGGACAACCACAGTTGTTGGCTTCGGCGCTAGCGGTGTCCCGCAAGACACTTTTCTCGCTGACCAATTACTGTCTGGCCTGTCTCTAATGCTGGATGACCTGTTGATGACTAGTGTATGTGACAGCAACAAGAATCCTTTTGCTTCCTAACCCGAGCTCAGGGTCACTCTCATTAACAGGGGCTTTCCCTGAGGTTAGTAGATGCCTTCTTAGAGCCGGCACAGCTTCGCTTCCAAGCTACCCAGTCCTGGTGTGCACATACGGTCTCCCATTGCCGTTTGTCGAGAGATTCTCTGTTTCCAAGAAGGCTACCATGGCACGCGGGGAAGTTAAATAGGGTGATGGAGTTCGATCTGTCATCAACTTCTCTGTTTTCGTGTACTTTGGATGGTTTTTTGTGGGAAGGGTGCACCTCCTTTTCCAATGTTACCCATTTTCCTCTGTGTAGAGTGAGGATAACCGTTAAAGTGACCTCGTGGTTAGGGACCAATGTGGTTGGTTGCCTACCTGGTCGTCGTCTGGGTCTTTCTGGTCTATTCACCGGTGCAAATACCCCAGAGAACGGTGCCGACACTCTTGCCACTTGGACCCTGGGTAGTGGTCTGCATGGGTGCCGGCATCATAGTAGCCACCGCGACGGCATGTACGGCCCCCGTTAGCTGGTCCGTAGAAAAGAGTGGCCTCATACAGCACCGTGGACAGATGTACCAGAACCACATGTGTGGGTAGCGCGCCATGAAAGTGTAATATTAGTCTGGTATGTCCTCATCGCACTGACTGTGCACCCGCTTATTGCGGATGTTACACTCGAAGGCAGCATCCTTTTTGGCTACGCTAAGACCACGCTCATGACAGTCACCAGTCTGATTAGAAGGTTTAGTTGATGACTTTTTTTCTCTTCCGTCTCTCAGTGGTAGCCTTCACAGGTAGACGAGGGTTTGGGCTGGTGGCACCAGAAAGACATGCTCTTCGGTGAACTACAGCACAGGGGTTCAGAGGAACGGGAATTCGACTTTATTCGGGAACCGGTTCTCGCAACTGCCCTCCTGAGATCGGCTTGTGATCTTTAGCGGCATAACTAAGCCTCTTGCCTCCGGCCCTAATTACTACCAAGGATGGAGGGTTAAAAGCTGAGGTGAGGCTTTACCTGAGATGTTCCTGATACCAAACTTGGTTAAAACTCGGTTATTACTCACTTCCAAGGGTGATTGGGAGGGGATATAGGTGAGTTAGACGCATATGGTTGTAATATTTAAAACGTAGAAAAGCGGTGACAGATAAAGTAGGTTGTTGACGTTACCTAGGATTACCCAGTTGTACGACGCGGAAGAATGCCCAGAGCTTCCCTCAGGTCCAAGGTGCATGGTCAAATGAGATAAGTGGCGCT